TGGAAATCTCCATACAAGTCGTGCTAACGGGGGGAATGACCTATCATCTGGCATCCTGACTTCCTCCCCGGGGTAATTCCATTTTTTTTTTCCAGATACCGGCTCTGTTGGGGAACTCTCCATGGAGCAGAAGACGCGAATTGCGGAGGACTCCCCACGGCCATCGTCGGACGGTCGAGTAAGAAAGCCGATATTCGTCTGGTTCCGGTGTCAAGACGGCAATTTGCTGGATAGCGCCGAGTCCCATGATTGGACGAACCGTGCTCCGACGTTTGACCCCGGCTAGGAGGACCCGTAGCAGTCGTATTGTGGTTGTCTCACAGCCGACGGGTTGAAAGATGGACCTGTACGCACGTCCCCCAGTAGATACTCTACTCTCGACCAGTCAATCGACTCAAGCCTGTATCATGACTATCAGGATATTTCGCATGAGATGTGGCTTACAAAATGAACAATTAGCCAGCCGCTGCTGAGACCCCAAGAATGGCAGACTCGCAGATCGTCAACACAGCCGTTTCGCATATTTGCCGATGCCCTTTGAGTTTGGGAGGCGAGACTTGGCTCCCCAAGGCTTTCTCGGCGCGATTGAGTTTTCCCTGGGTCTGCTTCTCTCTGTGCTCCGTCTAGGTCCCTGACCCCCTGAAAGGTCGTTGCCGAATCCTGAGCCGATGATTAAGTCATCGTTCAAAATTGTTCACTAAGCGCGACCTTGTGTAGCACAAGAGACACAACAAGAGTGAAGTTGACTACTGTGATAATGTTAGATGATGACGAATGGAATGACTGTTTTTAGTAGATGTGATCGCCGTGCAGCTCATTGGGGCCACGAGTGTGGAGAGTTGATGCAGCATTTGCCTCGAGATCATCAGCGTACAAAGTATTATTATTATTGTTGTTGTTGTTGTGCTTCTGCTCATCAAGAGGACTCCAGTGGACTCCAGTTGCTGCCTGAGGTGTGAAGCGTCAACGTGACCTCCAATTTTGCACTTATGCACACGCCATAAGCATATTATTGCCACCTACCCCACAGAGTAAAGGTACTACTTCCCCACGAGAGTCCGAGGTCGCTTCACCCCCCGATTCCCCATCTTCATCCGTTCATCCAGGCAGCGGTGTTGGTGATCATGATAGTGTGAATTTTATCATTTGTATCTTCTTTAACTAAATAGCCATCACTATCTCCCACATCGTTAGTCATGCCCACCACAGCAGCAGGGATGAAGACCTTGGTGTGTCGGGTCTGTCAAAAGGCCTTCTCCAAAGCCGAACATCTGAGGGTAATTATGCTCCATTCTCACATCCTTGTGGGGACTCCGCTGATTGCATCGGTAAATAGAGACATGAACGTTGCCGTAAGATAGCCTCTCCGCCTTATGCCCTGTCAACTGTTACTCCATTACTTGACTGAGATCGTCCTCTGCATGCTCGAAGGCCCTTGCCGCTAACTGTATGATGTAAAAGATACCGGATCCAAGCCATTCGTGTGTAAAGAATGTCGTCGACCATTCGCCCGCCAAGATGCTCTCACTCGCCATGAAAAGCTGCATACTCGGGCAACAAGCTCAACTCCCACCGTCAAAGTTGCCCAAGGGGATAGTGCTATTCCTCTTCCTCCCCAGACTACTCCCCTAGATGCCCTCCCCTGGGATACCACAAGAGCTGCAACAGATGGTGCAGCACCGACCTCTGCTCCTAGTCACACATGGAACACTCCTCCGTCCGAGCAGCAGTCTGGACTCCAGCACGCTGCCTCAGATCTCGACTTCACCCTGATATGGCCTGACTCGGAGAATCTGTTCCATAGCATCATGTCGTCAGATACGACAGAGCAGTGGCAGATGCCTCTGGGAACACTTCCATTTCCTCCAGTGGTGCAGGACATCAACGCGATGAATTTCGGTTCGCCCAACTCCTTTGATGACCGGAGTTCCTCAATAGGCACAATTCCCTCAGGTGGTAGTCACCAAGCTGTGAGGGATGTGACGGAAATGGTGACAAGCTCAGTAGGTATTCTGGTTTTTTCTCTTACTCGCAGAACTGATTCTTCTGCAGTCCTCGAGTGTGACAGCGGCCATCAAGGCAACCTCTATCACATCGGTTTTTCTCGACGAATGTCTGCACATGTTCTTTGTACGGTTCATTCCAACCTTTCCGATCTTGCACCGGGCGACCTTCGTGTTTCGCGAGTGCACTCACCCTCTTCTCCTGAACGCCATGGCACTTGGTTCGTTGTATCTTGGGCCTAAGGATTCAGTTGCAAAGGTAACATGGCACCCCTTTCTTATCTTTTAGACGTCGCTGAACCTTATTTACAGGGTGAGGCCTTATGGCGATTGGCACATACTGCTGTCGCTACTTCGGTAAGAATGCAGTACTCTGCCATATCCATGCCCTGAATACTGACCCTTCCCAGTGGCAATCACTGATCACACACCGCGGACCCTATGATGCTTGCAAAGGTGTTCAGTTGCTCATCACGGCTCTTCTGGGGCAGATCTATGGTGCATTGTCAAAGGTGGGTTATTCTTCTATCAGGTGAATTCGTTTACCAACCCCTAACATTTTGAACACTGTTTCTAGAATCGATTGATACGTACAACAAGTCAGGTCTTCCGTCCGCTTGGCTTTTTCTGGGCAAGACACTGTGGCATGTTAGACAGCGAACCCTTCTCCGCGGAGAACCTCCCCTTCCCCAGTGCTTCTCACGCCGAAAAAGACCACCAATGGCGAGTCTGGGCTGCGAGAGAAATACAGCAGCGTGCCTTGCTCGCATATCACATCCTAGACGGCCTCGTGGCGCAAATGTCGGGTGACGGGGCCTCTACACGACATGTCGCCAATCCACTTATCCTCCCAAGCAGCGAGGCTGCGTTTGACGCCAGCAACCCTGACGAATGGCTGGCTCACATGCGCTGCCAAAAGACAGAACAGCCGTCGTTTCGACTGGTGTTTCGCTCTCTGTTTCCTCCAATCGGCAGTTTCCGCCCCCTCGACTATCAGTTTTCTGCCTTTGCGCTTCGTGTAGTGCTAGAGGGTTTGCAGTCCCTCGTCTCGGATTCGGATGAAAGCGACCTCGCAGCCGTTGGTGTACCAGGCCGTTCTGACGTGAGAAGAGCTCTGGCGCAGGTCCACGAAACTATCACCATGAGCATCCACCTGTCCGCTCCGGAACGACTAGAGGTCCTGTTGCGTTGGCATACGATCTGTCTCGACACCATGATCAATTCGACTGTGCTTTGTAGGCACGTTTGCTCCCGCTACAATATCTCCCAGCAGGTCTCCGGAGGATCTCGGACACTGAGGCCCGGATTTGACATGGTGAAGTGGGTGAACACAGAGGACGCTCGCCGCGCCTTGTTGCACGCTATCGCCATCCAGGATATCATTGAGCAACTCCCCAGGGGGCGGGCCCATGTGATCCACATGCCGAGCTCTCTCTTTGCTGCGGCAACGATTTATGTGGTCTTTTCGCTTGCAGGCGTGGCGACCATTCACCTTCCGCGCACAATTGTATGGCAGGATGCTCTTCTCTCGCTCTCTGATCTTAACCTTGGAAGCGACAGTGTCAGGCCGTCGAGTACCTCCGAGACGCGACGCTTCGTTGAAGAAGGTCGGACGGACTCCCCAGCAGGCATGGGTGCGGTTCGGAATCTGTTGTACGAGATGAACTCCATGCAAAAGCTGTTCCGCTGCCTCATCTCTCAATGGGGTATCGCACACGATATGGAGGAGATTGTTGATCAATGGATAACATTATGCCACTGAGAAAACCGTGACTGATCTATATATGAGTTGATACCTATATGTTTGATGAGGACAGGGTGGAGTTAGGGGCGCAGTTGTGAATATCATCGTCCATATCTATGTTTTGTTGTACATAAGCTTCAACATCTGAACTCGAATTTGGACATTGCCATGACAAGCAATCTCCATTATGATCTTCAGGTGTTTCACTGTTACTCTGACAGCCATACAGTAAGAGACCAGCGCATTAAGTCAGACAACGGCCGGCAAAAGCGTTAGGTACAGTAAGTCTAGCTAGCAAGGTTGGATGATTTGGATTTCCTTATACCGACGCATTCATATGCCGGGATAACACTTGATCATTAAGCGATGCAGACCTATTGAGGAGCCTTGACTTCACGGCAGGGGTTCTGCACTGAGCCCCGTTTAAATCCGCCACCGAAGTTTAGGCGATTCTACTTCGTTTATTTCCTCGATAAGTGTAATATTCCACTAGTCAGCTTTCCAAGAGAGACTGTTGTTACCCACCATGTGCTTACGACGTGATCTATGGGATGATCTCTGATGCCCACAGCTCCTCGGTAGATAAATGATAAGAGTGTTCTTCAAGAACAGGAAAAGCCCCCTGCTCTCAGCCACTACGTTCTTTACGACTCTAGGAGAAACAGGGGACCCGGCATGGTCATTGTATGATGGATAATCATTTATCGGTATCGACAGCATGGGCAGAGAGGAGATAAAGAAAATCAGCTCTACCTGCATAGTCGTTCTCTTTTCCTGCAAAACCACATGGTCATAGTATTAGTATTCAACTTTTTTAAGAATTGAACATGTAGAAGCGGGTTAATCGAAGGAGATGTTCCACCGCGAATAGATCGACCATCTCTTATAAGATCGTACCCGAACAACCTTTTCCTGCTTTTTATGAAGACATATGGACATACTATGTCGTATCTCGGAATATCCGAGCCTTCCGAGGATCTGCATCTCGCAGATCGAACCTGGCTACGAGCAGAAGTATATATATGTAAGATTTGGGGAGAGGGAATGGAGAATTCAATCACATTGACTCATGTAAAAACAATATAAAAAAGGTAAAAACATTCAACAGCAGAAGTATGTCGCGGCTCATGCCTGGGAAAACATTCCGTATTCTCGAACCCGAACCATGAAAGAGCAACAGAAAGGCAAAACGCGAGCATTAGGCAACAACAGGCCAACATGGTTGAAAAAAAAAAAACCGTCTCCTGCCTTTGTTAAGTTGGGGCGGGATCTTCCACTACTACCAGCGCCTTCCCCAAGAGCATATCAAAACCGTATTGAAGTTCCATGCCCCCCACCCGGAATAACTGCGGTTGCATTACGAGCAGGACCGCTTTACCATCCAGTCTAGGGTCATATTTGTTTACAAGTTGCCAGAAATGCGGCGTCAGCGTCTCGGGATGCCAATAGAAGTTGTCCACCTTGTCGAGACCGCGGATCTCCCACCGCGCCCTTGTGGCCCAGCAGTGGGCTGCCAGTTCAGCTACATCGCAATAGATCTGAATAATTATCTGTTTTCGTAGATCAGCTTCTTCTGGGCTGTCGAGTTCACGCAACATGAGCCGCATGGGACCGTCAAGAATACTGGAAACGAGTCGTTCAACCGCGGATCTTCTGGCTTGTTTGCTCCTCTCTCCAAGGACGTGTGAATTTGGGCCCACAGTTGAAGACTGGCCTGCGAATTTTCTGATTTCGTTTTCCGGAACCCATGAGTTCGCAAGGCGAACCGTGTCACCTCGCCATACTTCGGCCTGGGCTTCATCAACTACAGTATAGTCAGTCAGCTTGCCCTGCAGAATGTGGGATACCGTACCTGTTCGGAACATTTGATACATGTTCAGTAATTGTGTCGGAAGCGAGGTGTCTGGTTTGCCCGCGGTGCTGGTCATTTCTTCCTGCCCATAAAAGTCAAAGTAGAGGAAAGGCTTCAAGAAGATATCTTCGAAGAGATGCTTGGTCCAGAGTGTTTGAGCAAACAGCCGAAGGATGAACTTTTGAGCCCTGGCTGGAAAACGTTTTATCAAAGACTCCCAATCTTCCTGCTTACAGTATCCGTCCAGGGAGGTGATGATGCTCTGCTTTTCACTGGCTGACAGCATTGGATCGACAGTATTGACATCCTCGATGGCATAATCATGTAACCAATCCATAAACTTGAACTGAAGGCGTTCACAATACTTTTCGATCGCTGAATCCGTGCTTCTCTCGGAGCCTCCCCATGTTACCCGCGTTCTTTCTCTTTCCCTGGCCTGAAATAATTTGTTAAGTAGGATATTCCTCTCTCGGAGCTCCTGATTTTCAGTTCTTAAAGCTTTTATCTGCTGGGCCAGGTCGTTACTCGGCTGTTCTGTCCGTTCACCGAGAGAGTTGTGCTCCAGGCTCGTTGTGTTGAATATCTGCACATCCCTCTTGTTAGACCGAGCTTGTGGGAGGTTTGGATCGGCCTCTTCGGATTCTGTCTCTTCGGATTCTGTCTCTGAATGTGTATCCTGTCCGGAGAATTTCCTCGTCTCGCGGTGCTCATCAATCGGGGAAATGTCCCTTCTCTTCAGTTGAGGGGATGAATGCACCTTCTTTTTTAAGCCGGGATAGTTAGCAGAAAGCCAGACGAGAAGATTTGAATAACAAGTGCGGTAATCTGACATACATCAACAGCTGCCTCATCTGCGCCATCAGCGGCTGATAGTGTTGCAGGTACTGTCACCGTCACCTCTGCGTTCAAAGAGCCTTCTGGCTGGACTGATGAGTCTCCTGCACCACCTTCCTGTGATTAAGAAACAGGTGTAAGCCTCCACACTGAAGATGAAGAAGATAAACGTAGATGTACGGCAAATGCGGATTGCCTGGTCAAGTCTAACGGAAATGCAGGCACAGGAAGCATTCTTACCTCAATAGTAGCCATCTTCTGTGCAGTCCGCTTGCCCTTTCTGTTCGCCATAGGAGCAGGGTCTTGCTGAGACGGTCAGGAGAGGGCAGGAGTTGAAGACTTTGTAAGACAATCGTAGCCTCCAAGAGTAGGGTATGGAATTGGCAAAATGTAAAGATGAACTTTTTGTTAATCGTTCAGAATAAACAAGGATGGTTGATCAAACGCCAAAGAAACAGGGGAAGTGAGAGCAGAGCTGTGGCATACCAAGTAGCAAGACATTAATTTAGAAGAAGAAGAGCAGATTCTTTGTCTCAAGAGTGAGTGGCATGTCCCCATGGACTGGGCCAGTCCTGGACAATCTCGATGGCTGTCAGAGAATTCCCCCCTAGAAGCGCATAGCTGACGCCTATTTTGCGTGATTCGATCAGATCAAGCATATTTTTCGAGTTGAGAATAGCGTACCTGTGTATGTGGTGCCGTAGTCAACACCAACAACGATTTTAGGTTTGGGACTCATTGTAAATGGTGGAGGAATTATCGGTCTGTTCCTCAAGAAGTTGGGTTATCGTAAGGTAGAAAGATCTTTGATGACAGATTGACTCGCTAAAAGTAATTATAATGATCAGACAGAAGGAATTGCTCTTAGTAATTATACTATGTCAAGCTGGTGTAGAGAGTCCTTTTTGAAATCTTCGCTGCTAAGTGCTAACACATGATATCTGAGACAGAATGTCGAAGAGATTGAGCATGCAGTTCAGCAAGGTCTCAAATTACTCCTACAGAAACAGTTCAACAAGGTCTCAAATTCTATGTGAGACCCTGGTGATGAGCTCCCCTACTGCTACAAAATACTATTAAAAAAGCCCCCCTAACCACCCTCAAAAGGAGATTCCTTATTTCTAACCCATTAGTACTCCCTAATCACCCTAATGATCCTAATCTTGGGGTGCTAAATTAGATAGTTGATGAAAAGTATAGTTAAGACCTTACTAAGGTTTTCCATCTTACTATATTCCAGTAGTAGCTTGAAACCTCATCAAGGTCATATCCCGAGACCTTGTCGAACCCTTCTGAAACCTTGCTGGACTGCATTCTGCAACCCGGAAGAGATTTCATATTGAAGTCAACACAGTCAGTCTGGATACTTCCAATAAAAATCAGTCATTTCTTTGTGCATTGAGAGACAGACCGAAATGACCTGTTTCTCCATTGACAAAGAAAGCGGATCTTGCTCTAAGTAATCATACTATGCTAAGCTGGCAAAGCTGACAAAGAGATTCCCTTTTTAAAATGTTCAGACCTGCTAATACATGATATCCAAGACAGAATGTCAAAGAGATTTCGTATTGAAGTCCACACAGTCAGTCTTGATCAGTCATTTCTTTAGTGTTGAGTGACAGACTGGAATGACCTGTTTCTCCATTGACAAAGAAAGCGGATCATGATTCAAGTGGCCCTCGTATTCGAAGCGAGAAAACCATGGGTGGATAGACTTTGCTTTGTATGTTGGGACTTGGGAGAAAAAGTAAGAAGGATTGGCGCTGCAAAACCGAAAGTCCAAAACAAAGAACTTCTTGAGACTTTTCAAGCAGACGTCCGGAAGCGAACCGCATCAAAGCCCCATCCAGGATAGCGTATCCTCAAGACGATCGCGCGATTCAGAAAAAACAGTTGGGGATTCCAGATTGAACAAGGGACATTGGCCTCTTCCTGGACCAAGTTGCTCTTGGACAAAGGTGTGGATATAGCGCAGTTTAACGACAAGGCTTTAGAGGCTGCAACTGCAATCGGAATCATGAAGCTACCTCACGGAAAGGTTGCCATCTAGGTTGTCACAGACTTTCTGAGGGAGATTTATGTGCACACATGCCGGCAGCTGGAGAAAAGCCTTCATCTTCGTCTTTGTGATGTCGATATGGAATTCTGGTTTACAACGCCAGCGGTCTGGTCGGATCAGGTGCAGTTCGAATATAAGGAAGCTGCTATCCGTGCAGGCTTTGGACCAAGAGATGACAGGCCGGATGATACCATATACATGCTTTGCGAGCCCGAAGCCGCAGCGCTTGCCACTTTCAAAACAATACCACCTTATGGACCTGGAATTCAGATCAAGGTGCGCGGTCTGATCTTGAACGCAGAGGACCCTGGCTAACCCTGACCATTTAGCCAGGTGATGGCGTATTGATATGCGACTGTGGAGGTGGCACCGTGGTGAGTCAAACGCTCAATATCGGAACTACTTGGGCCTGGCTGACGTGGCCTAGGACGTGACAAGTTATCTGATCTCGGAGGTCTCTCCCCACTTATCCTTCCATGAACTAACCTCGGCCGTTGGTAAGTCCCCTGAGGCCCATTGGGTGGATGTCGGCACTGAAAGTGAGCAGGTGGTATGTGTGGCGCCACAGCCATCGACCGCAATTTCTATCTTCTTATGTCCGAGAGGTTTGGGGCGGCGTTCAATGACTTGCCTTTCACACAAAAGGCCCCAGGCAGTAAGTTCATGGTCCTCTTTCAGGAGATTAAGGAGACATTCTGCTGTTCGGCTGAGGACAGGGTCTATCGACTTGGCCTGAACATGGCCCTCAACAACCCCAACCCCTCGTTCTTTGACCCAGAAACCCTAGACGTTTTGCTTTCCAGGTATGCAATTCCACGGTTGACGACATACCTGGAGAACGGCTGACTGATAGTGACAGCAATGACCTTCGTGGAATATTCGATCCGGTGCTCCGCCAGATTACGCAGCTAATACACCACCAGATTGAAAGCGCCAACCAAGAGGTTGGCCGCTTCATCATCAATGTATAATTAACGGCAAGCCTGTTATTGGAATGAAGGCCCCAGAGCTGATTAAAATCCAGAAAATTGTGTCAGTCGGCGGCTTTAGCCAGTCACCCTACCTACGGGAAAGAATCTCAGCAACCTTTGCCGTCGATGGCAAGCTGGCCGTACTCACTCCAGCAAACCCGTAATTATCCTACATTTGCGATGGCCTTTCACTTGAAAGGAAGCTAACTGCATCACAGGCAAGCAAAGGTCATGCTCGGCGCAGCGATTCGGGGACTCGGAGGGCCTCAGCCAACAACAAGAAAATGCCGCCGTCATTACGGCTTTGAGCGTTCTCCTCCCTTTCATCCAGGGCTCAATAATGACATGACGGCGTTTGGTGACGTGAACGGTACCAGAGCGATCCCACGCTTTGTCTCCTGGGTCCTTTCCAAGGTGAGTTCTAAGAATGAAACCCATCAAGCTGTTTCTGACATTGCGAAGGGTGAGAGATATGCCCAGAATCACACGGTGACGCAAGACTTGGTTGTGATCCACCGCTCAGGTGATTCACTGATTAAGATCACCAACCTCTACGGCTGTAATGATATGACCCCCCCAGAGCGAGTTGATCACCCAGGTGGGTTATTGGTTCCTAATCTGACAATGTGCGTGAATCCGTTGGGTCATGCTTACCATTCATGAAATCTAGGTGTTTACCTCATCGCACAGATCATGTGTGACTTCGCCAGTGTAAACCTTGCTCAGTTCCAGCACCAGCTGACGAGCGGGAAAATGGAGTACTGTTTGGAGTATTCCATTCAGATCACCTTTGGGGCCCAGGATGACCTCCAGTTCAGGGCCGTCTCGCAGGGCCAAACGGTTGGGCAAACAACCGTTAACTTCGCCAGAGTCTCTGTCGGTGGTGCCTTCTGAATTGCTTTCTAGCTTTTAAGAATTCCTGAATACTCATATCACTGGCTGTAAAGCAATCAATTAGAAATTTAGTAACAGCAATGGTCGAGAGGTGCAGGCGTTTGAATTCTTCCAGGCGGCTGTTCTCAAAAAGTCCTGTCGATAGTCTGCCTGACTCCAGTTCCCCCAGTCAGGACTTGTAGAATGACACTCAGCCGGGGAGTTTGAATTCCAACCAAATTAGTAGAAAAAATGCTCCATTTTGATATAATCAATGTGTGATCCAGTGGATGATCTGCGTGAGTCCGGGTGTGGGCCGGTGGCGGGCCGTCTCTACCCCCACAAGGGCCCCAAGCCCACAACCCCAGAGATCCCGACTCCCGAGAGACTTGCCTAAGGGTTCTGTGACCTTCTGTCATCACTCCACTGATCTTCTATTGCATCTAGGTCCTTTCTGAGTGTGTTGATGGCATTATTGAGAAATCTTCATCACTAAACATCCTTTACCTTGGGATGGAAAACACATGTCTTTCATCACAACAGCAGAATGGTGTGGCTGGGCTAGCGTTGACACCTTGCGCGGCCAAGGCCCGGTACTAACGCCGGTCCATTCGGCCATCTCTTACTCTTTTGGGGGGGAGGGGGAGATATTTGTTTTTCTTAGAAAATGAGATTTTCAGAGTGTGAGCCTGACCATTAGACGGCCACCTTGTCAACCACTTGACGTAAGGGAACAGGCTAACAGTTCTTTTGTACTCTTTAGGAATGTCCGGCCTGCCCATGTTTTACCACCACCTGTCCTGCGAAAAGCCAGCATTATCTCTCGAGAATCGAGATCGCATAATGCCAGCAACACCCTGGACGGATGGTTGTCTGATTCTATATAGTTCTTGGGCTTGTTGTCCCCGCCTACCTCCAAGAAAAATGACTGAGGATTTCCACCAACAGCAGAGCAGCGCTAATATAAAGCCAAATGCTATTAACCCTCGGATGGTCCCCAAAGGTGTAGGTTCCGGAACTCCACAAAATAATGGGCCGCTTGGTGGCATACTCCTATCGAACAGGGTGGAAAACACGGGGATATTTTAGGCTGGGGCCCCAAGCCACCCCATATTTGTCTGCTACCCTACTACTACTACTCTAATGTCTCAGGGATGGCAAGGTTGCACCTATCAGCACCGACGACAAGACACTTCCAGGGCGTGTTGCTAAGCATTTCCCTAAAGACGGACAAAGTCCGGTGGGCATGTTGTGCTTACCTCTCGTGTGTCTGTGCAGCTTTTTCAATCAAGAGAATAGCCGGGTCTAGGATGTGAACCAACTCTGACTCGAGTGGCTCTAACCTAGGATTGTGACGCTGGCCTTGTCTAGCTGGCGCCTCTCTGGCGATCTTATCTTGATGGGCTGATTTGACTCAGTGGTTTCGAGCAGGGTTTGTCGAACATGGACACGCCAGTGAAGTCACTGAGCGGATAAATACGTTTAAGCGATTGACTTTTCTATTGCGTGGTCGATCTGCTCCGGCTTTCGTGCCTGCCGGGTCATCTCCGGCATGTGTGGCCGTCCTCCGTATAAGATGCGCTTCCTCACCCTCAAGGTGACTCCTTCTCCGCTTCTTGAGAAACCCGTCCTGTAGGCTCCATAGTGTATGGCCTTTTGTAAGACAAGAAGGGCGTTGTCCTCCTCGCGTTCACCATGAAGCTACCAACGTCCCCCAAGATATACAATGTCTACTTCGTCGCTGTGATTGCGACTGTGGGTGGCATGTTGTTTGGCTTCGACATTTCGTCGCTCTCAGCGATCATTGGAACCAAGCAGTATGTCGCATTCTTTGACAACCCGCATGGAGTTCGCCAAGGTGCTATCAACTCTGCTCTCGCCGCAGGATCGGTTGTTGGCTCCATCATAGCTGGTCCTATCTCCGACAAGATCGGCCGCCGAGACTCTATCATGTTTGCCTGTCTCTGGTGGTTGGTTGGTACTGCTATCCAGGCTGGTGTGTCTGGCTTTGGAACGCTGATGGCTGGCCGCGTTTTGAACGGTGTCTGTGTGGGTATTACCTCATCCCAGGTGCCGGTCTATCTGGCCGAGATCAGCAAGAAGGAGAAGCGTGGTTCTATCATTGTCATTCAACAGGTCAGTCAATCCTCCCCCTTCAATTTCATTTCCATTAGACCGTGTGATATTGCTTGGATGAGAAAGACACTAATACGCGTTCTAATCCACAGTTGGCAATCGAGTGGGGTATCTTCATCATGTTCTTCGTCGGCTATGGCTGCTCCTTTATTGCTGGTTCGACTTCCTTTCGTCTGGCATGGGGCCTGCAATTAGTCCCGTGTGTTCTGCTGATGATCGGCTTGCCATTCCTGCCTGAATCGCCGCGTTGGTTGGCCAAGGTCGACCGCACCGAGGAGGCGATTACCACCCTGGCCAGAATCCAGGCCGGCGGCAATGTTGATGACCCGCTTGTGGTTGCCGAGTGGGAGGAAATTACCACGGTGCTCGCAGCCGAGCGAGTAGCAGCCCCGGGCTGGCGCAAGTTTTTCGTGAACGGTATGTGGCGCCGTACCATGGCCGGCTTCACCTGTCAAGCCTGGCAGCAGCTCTCCGGAGCGAATGTCATGACATATTACGTCGTTTACGTCTTCCAAATGGCAAAGTAAGGCCGACATATTTCCGAGGCATCGCGACCTGAAGGCTAACCGAGTGGCAGCTTGTCTGGAAACATCCTATTAGTTTCGTCCGGTATCCAATACGCACTGTTCATTGTCTTCACCTCCGTCATCTTCTTCTACATCGATAAGACCAGCCGGCGCAACCTCCTGATCTACGGAGCGCTGGGAATGGCTGCCTGCCACTTCGTCGTGGGCGGAGTTCTGTCGTCGGGAGAATACGTCCCGGAAGGTGTAGACGGCAACCTGAACGTTCAAACCCGGGTGAGAGGATCCAAGGCCCACACCGTCATTGCATTCTCCTACCTCTTGATCATCATCTATGCCCTGACCCTGGCGCCCGTCGCCTGGGTCTACGCAGCGGAAGTCTGGTCCTTGGAGACTCGTGCATCGGGAATGGTAAGCTTCTTCCCCCTCGACCCATTTCGCGACTCCACTAACATATTGACCTACGTAGTCTATCGCTGCCGTCGGCAACTGGTTGTTCAACTTCGCCCTCGGCCTCTTCGTGCCCCCGGGCTTCGCCAACATCAGATGGAAACTGTTCATCGTATTCGGAGTTCTGTGCATCGGAGCCGCGGTCCAGGTGTTCTTCACGTAAGTGCCTTTCTCCTTGAAATTGATTCAGCACCATTCCAGCACCGGACCATTCACTAACAATGTCCTGAAGCTACCCGGAAACCTGCGGCAAGACCCTCGAAGAAGTGGAGGAGATGTTTAGCAAGAACGGACCGAAACCATGGCATACCAAGCCCGGTCACTCGAAGCTGGACCACCTGATCAAAGAGGCTCGTGAAAAGGGTCTACACGTCAAGGATGTTGGCATTAAGACCGAGACGGTGGAGGATGTCGAGGAGACCAAGGCCGCTGAGGCAGCTGTCTAGACTTTGCTGTGGTCTAAATAATCCGTATGATGGTGGCTTTTCGCCTGCCTGTGCATGCCGAGTCGAAGGTCTTCACCTCCGAGTGGTGGTGCATATGTTCAATGGCAAAGTTGCAGAGCCTGCACCAGACTATGACCGTGTAGTTCGAGGGTGCAAAGTACTTAGTATAATAATGAAACTGAAACCAGGAGGATCACTCCATTGCTCATCTGGAAGTCTGGAAAGAAATGGGAGAAAGATACCTAGTCATTGATTGCACAAACTCCGCCTGTCTATATGATTGAATGCAAAAGGAAACGCTGTGGAATGGAACAGATATAAATCATCATAAGAAACGCTGAACGGGACAGTCATGCAATGGGTATCTCTAGCCAGTCTGGTGCGCATGGGAAGATGCAAATAGATGAACCACTGAGAGAGAAAAAAAAAAAAAAAAAGAGAACATGAAGAGAGGAAAATATCAGAACCCATCAACATAACATAAACATATCAACAAAAGCAGAATGCCACCGAAAGATCAAGAAGAGAAAAAAGAGAAATCAATCCTCAGATTCGGATTCGTACTCGGAATCCCAATCCAAATCGACGAGTCGGTTGACAGCCTTCGAGAAAGCCCGGCCAAGATCCCGGTAGAGATCATACAGCACCAGTCCGAACTGCTTGTTCGTCTGAGGCTGGTCCCGATGCTCCTCGTAGTACGGCGCGATGCCCTTGGCAAACTGCAACCAGAGGCTGTTGACCATGCGGTCTACATTCTTCTGTGCCAGCATGGCAGCAGGAGATTCTCTCTTCTCGGAGGGTTTGTCGTCGGCCCCAGGCTGAGCCCGGGGCTGGAGCTGGGGGTGTGGATCGAGATCCGTACGGGGACGCCGCGCGGGTCGCTCTGAGGCGGCGGCGGCGCCGTCGACGGCATCGTGCGGCCGCTTTCTGTCGCAGGGGCTGAAGATTCCGAGGGGAGGGCCCGAGGGATCCGGCTTCGGTTTCTGGTCGTGTGCTGGTTGTGGGTGGCCGAGCTCGCCGTGGAGCATGACGGCGTCGAGCGCCAACTGCCGGCTCTCGTCCGGCCGAACCTTGGACAGATGGAACGCGAGATCAAGACCCTGAAGCAATCGGCCGTCCATGATGACGAATCGATGCGGAGGCATTCCCCAGTGGCTCGGCTGGCGCTCCATTTCCTCTGGTGGAGGCAGATTCTTCGCCCACTCGAACGTCCGCTGCAGCTTGAGGGCGCGCGCGAGTTCCGCCTGCTCGAGCTCGGACTGCTGCACCTTCTCCCTGCGTTCTTTCTCCTCTTTCTCGACGCGCAGCTCGCACCGCGTCATCCAGTCGTCGATGTCGGAGGCCAAGTCCTCGTCCATATCGCCTAGATCTGGGAGGGTCTTGTCGGCGTCGAACGCCGCCCAGAAGGCCTTTCGTTTCTCGACGTACTGCTGGATCCGTCGCCGGCACGACTGCCAAGAGTACTTCCGACCGGTGGATTTGAGGAGTAACTCAGAAATTTTCATCCAAAAGCTCTTCGGGTACTCGTGTGCGTCGTAGCGGTTCATGTACTGCTCGCAGAGGTGGAAGAGAGACTTTTGCTCCGGGAGTGTAAGGCGTTTCCCCCGACCGGAAAAGTCCTGCGGCGAACCGTCGTTGCCATCTTCGTCTGCTGGCATTGCGGTCGGCCCCGAATGATTGGGGGTCGGTAATTGAGTGGGTTCCTGTATTTGTGTCGAGGGAATCACCATGGAGGGCGGTTTGGCGGTCGAGGCTGAGGGATTGTGGATGTGGTGCTGGTGGTGCTGGTGGTGGAACGGGGATTGCGGTGTGAGGCCCGACCGGTGCTTGAGGGGATGGCTGAGCATCATTCTGTCCGTCATTATCCGTAAACCTTCCTCATCCACACTTCCTGTTATTCCAGCCCAGCCGCCCGATAAAAGGACAAGGGAAGAAAGAAAAGAAAAGGAAAGAGAAAGGAAGGATGGAATGAAATGGAGGATAATAAAGGCGAGAGGCGAGGGAGGATATAGGGAGTACGGGCGGGAGAGCCGAGCGATCGGGGCACCGCAAACTGGGAAAAATCTCGCCAGTACGGAGTAACTCCCGTAGTTAGACAACAGTGCTAGCTAGCGTAGGAGTAGAGTATCGGTACGGAAGGTAGTTATTTGCCTCCTGCAAATTTTCCGACTAATCATCTGATAATAATACCTACCTACCCATAGTTAGGTCCATACCCCATTAAAATACGAACGAACGTACTTATCGCCGGGATTTCCGCGTGGTACCGCGTCTCGCGTCCCAGAGAACACGTGATGATCGTTGAGTAAGAGTGTAAGAAACTCTGACAATTGATGATAATGAATATCCTCGAAGTTCTATCAATTGTTGGGCAAAGACTCGGAGGATGAGCAAAGTCTGGGATTGAGGCAGCTTCCTACATAAAAGCAACGATGCTGGACGATCTTATGATCCATGTTGAGGACTCGATGTCTTGGAATTGGGCATCCGATCGTACGACTGCTCATGCATCTTGAGGTGATAGAATCAGTCACCGAAACGAACTTATGGATCCGTTGACTAACAGACTCAGGAAGACCCATCATGATCGATATCAATCATCATCGTCATCATCATCGTCATATCCAGATCTCTATCCGCTCTAGATCGGAATGTCTTTGGCATACAATTCCTCAACTTAATCTGAGGATTTGTATTTATTCCCTTTGCATACGTTCATGCCCCTGAGTACATTCCAGGACCGCCATCTGGGCCTAGCGATCGTCAATCGATACGGAGACGTTACGCTGTACGGTTAAAATACTGCCTCGGCTGCGATCTGCTCCATACCTAGTCCATGCACTCCCCTTTCCAAGCGCAGATCTAGTTCGTTCGCAGGGCTCAATTGCTGAGGACATCGAGGGGCTCACTGCTGCTTCGCCTACGCATTGAATCTGATGTTCATGGCGCTAGCAGAGTCGCTTGGATTAGCCAAGTTCCATTATCTTTGACGAACTGGTATCGAATAGAACCCCCCTATCTATACAGCTTTGTCGGTTATTTCCTGCGCAGGAGCGCCGTTCTCGGAGTACTAATATTGGGAGAGTGAGAAAAGGAGGACGCTCAAACTTGCTTTTGCAGTTTTAATTATCGATTGCTGGGATTTTAAGGTTTGATAACTGACATAGCCAGCGCTGGATTTACTCTGGAGTCTCAAACCGCTAAAACCATACATACCCGGACACACATCTAGTCGTTGAATCTTCCCCACTTCCAGGCCGTCATTGTCTTGCTTGTAGCCATGGAATCGCGACCGTCTTCCTCCCCGTTACTGGAAGCGGTCTCTTCCGTCTACCAGGATAAAGAAAACCCCCACAGATTCCTGGCCAGTGTCTCCCAGGAATGGACTACCCAGCAGTACGTTTAGCCGACTTGCGCTGTGATGATGGATCCCAGCAGCTCAGAAGCTGACTAGAACAGCTCCGTACTAGGAGGCTTCCTGCACGCACTGATGCTGTCCGCGGCGAAGAAGTTCATCGTTGCGGAGCTCGGCGATGGACGGTTTCCCGACCCCGTGCATGCATTCGTTCAGTTCCTGAGTATGGTTCCTCCTGGCCCGGTCTCAATCACCTGCAAGCTCTTGCGTGTTTCGCCGCGGCAGTGTGTGGTCAACGTGGAACTGGTACGCTCTCCTACTGCGCTATGGAAGAAGCCGGAACCTCCCGCTACTGTCGGAATCTTCACATACGGTGATCTGTCCAAGGAAAGAGGTCTGTCGCAGGCAAGCGACCCTGCTTTGAGGATCCCTGCTCCTCCGCGTGAGACTGAGTGCGTCACCATCGATGACCCAGTGGTTGATGCGACTCCCGTCACGCGGAAACTACACTGGGTAGCGCCGAGGTCTGCAAATGGGCTCTGGGGTCATCGACTGGGGGGGCATCACCGCGAGGTCTGGTTGTCCTTCCGCGATGGGTCGACGGTCTCCGACTTTCTGCATCTAGCCTTGCTGTCAGATATGGTGAGTGCACACGGAGATCTACCAAACGAGGCTGAAAGCTGATTGACCGACTCGAACAGCCCCTCCAGCCTGCTGCAACCCACCAACCAGGCTTCTACAACCGCTACGCACTGTCTACACTCTGCTTCTCCGTTGAATTCAAGCAACGGCCCGACCCGTCCACGCAATGGGTGATGATCCGGTCGAACTCGCACATGGTGTCCAATGGCCGCTATGATGTAAACATCCAGATCCTGGCAGAGAACGGCGATATTCTGGCTCTCAGCAACCATGTCCTGTATATATCAGAGCTTCGTCCACGAAAGGGTGCTAAGATGTAGCCAGGAATTCTTCGGCTCGGACGCAGATTTGTTCGTCTCACCTTGTGCCCTCGTTTTGTAATGGTCGAGCTATATATTTAATATCACAGGCTACAGGAAGAAGCCTGCCTTCCAGCACGAGAGATTGGAAGCAGGGATCGCTTGAGGTATTCGACAGACACCTGTGCTGATTACTGCAATTGCAAGCTGCTCTGAGATTGTCTAGTCACTTGTCTCCTTTAACTTACAGCATGTTCTCCATTGGGAAATGGGCATAGGGCTTAGGGCTAGGGCCAGCTTTTTGAAATGAAGGATTAGTACAATCAAAAAAAGTACTAACATACTGAGGGCCAGACTTTTCTTCTAGACTAATGCATGCACAAAGCAGGAAAAAGCGCAATGACACCAGCACGACTACTAATGTATGACTCCTCTGTGTTGTGACATGTCACATCTTTCCCTGCTGCCACCCACCTAATGTACCCTCATCACGCAAAGCACAGGTCTAGTCCTCCATCCCCCAATCCAGCTCATATTTCCCCTCCATTTATTCCTGCTACTTAACTTTGGACACTGATCAACCGCTCCAGCCGCTATCCAGTCAGTACTCAAGCAGCCCCACCATAGATGTCATCCATGTCGTACCCCCCATGGCCATGAAAGTACAATCCCGCCATATCAAACTCATCATGCTCGATCGCAGGCACATCGATATCCCCCGCAGCGACGTGACCGATCCCCTGACCTTCCTGCTTAACAGCACCACCAAACGCAGACGAGAAGCTCTCCGCGACATCTTCCATCTTCATCGAGGCCACCGAAGCAGACGAGGCACTGGGCGTACTCGCAACAGTCAGATCATGCACGACCGCAGAATTATCCACAAGCCCCGTGAGTATCTCAGCAGCCTCATTCTTCACCTTGCTGTCTTCCTCCGAGACCCCGTCGTCGAGGAAGATCGCCTCCATGAACGACATGCCGTTGCCGTTGCCGTTGTTGCTGCCACCACCACCTCTGCCCTGTCCCCGTTGGGTCGGAGTGGAGAGCAGCTGGCTGACATTGCTCTTCCTGCTTCTTCCGGTGCCGTTGGAAGAGGAGGGTTTGGTGATTCCGCCGCGTGGTCCGCGCGGGGTCCGCGGTGTGACGCTTCTGTTGCCTGTGGTGCTATTCCGGCCGCGCGGTAGCTCGGTGATGCCCCTGCTCAGTGCTTCGGCTTTTATTTCGTCGGCCATTTTGCGGTAGCGGCGGAAGCGGCCTTCGATGGCGTCGTAGGTGGCTCCCTGGCCGAAGAGGGTGGCCATTGCTTGGTATTCGAGCTGCAGGGCGGTAAGCTTGGTGTTTATTTTGGGGTAAGAAGGTAGAAACCTTTAGGCCTGGATGAGCTGCGACGAGCACTGCGATCAGACGTTCGGTGGACTCGTTGGCTTTCCAGTTGACCATTTTGTCGTTATCTTGGAGGAGAGTTGGGGGTTGGTACTTGTACTTGAGGGGGTGTTGTGAGGAATAGCGGTGCAAATTGCTTGAAGTTAGGTAAAGTAGATGGCATCTATGTAGCCCAGGGACATTTATAGGGATTCCGAGAGAAGTGTGTTTCTGGAGATGGCAATGGGTAGTGGCAGGAATCACAAAAGAGACCTATAGTTCAAGTGGTCAGCCACAGACTTCCCTCTGATTTATATGCATACTGACTAGAAGGTGAGAGAAAAGGGCATAATTACAACACACAACACTGGGGGACTCTGTCAAAATTGCCAAGTTGTAGGAATGATGTAGACTAGAGATAGTCTGTGAATGTCCTGGTCGAGTACAGGTACAAGTAGAAGTGGTGATCCGAGCACCAAGCAGTTGATAAGGAGGGGAAGAGAGCAGTAGACAGAAACTTAGAGACATGAGCTCTGAACCCACAAGTAAAAGGATAAAACCCCTGCAATCCGCCTTGAATGTTGTAGTTCTCGAGACTCTGTAAATGCGCATTGGCAACAAATCCTTGAACTTAAACCAATGGCGATCACCAACAATTGACCAAACACAAGAGCGGGAAGAAAGCATCAAACATCCGATGCAGATAATCTAACGCCATCACCCATACCTAGATGTGCGGATAGTTGATAGATCCATCAGACACACAAAGATGCAGGAACATCCTGGACGGTGATGATGCCAAGATGGAAGGATTCTGGCGATGACTCGTGGATTTGAGGACTTGGGCTGGATTGTATCCCTACACCGCTTGTCTGCTGTAAGGAAGTAAAGTGACAGATGGATGATGTTAAAAGTGTTGTATAGGTGATCTGGTTGGGATACAGTAGGTTGTGGAAGATGACAACTCTAGCATACAAAATGCCTGGGAAGGGTGTGGTGTGCTACCACAGACTGTCATCCTCCAGAATTTTAGATGAGGGAATTACAACAACACCAGTGAGAAGTGGATGATCCTGTACTTTAAGACCTGGGATATTCACTGCCACAGCTACAGACTCAGAGAGAGAAAAGGCTTCAGACCTGCTTCTTCCTCTTCTCTCGGTATTCCTCTGCAACACATTCCCTCAACTCTTCACCTTCTTGCTCTTCTCACCTTGACGTACCTTGATATCTACTTTCTTTACCTCTACACAGCTTTCTCCTTACTTACTCTTACTCTTCAAATCTCCTCTACCTCTTCATCATACCCTTTAGCTACTCACTTGCCCTCTTCTTCCACTCTGCAAAACACTCTACTCAACTTTCTCAAGTCTCAACCGCAACAATGCCTATGCGTTGGACTCCGGAGAACGACCAGCTCGTGAGTACCTACTCTCTCCTCATTATGGAAACCAAGACTGACACTATGACTCAAACACTAGCTTCTGCTTAAAATCCTCGAGACTCATGACCTATCTGTCGACACAAACAAGGTCGCTTCTGCCTGGCGTAAGTTCCTACCATTCAGGTCCCTCCAATCTAGAACTTCATATATGACAACCACTAACGCTAAGCAGCCGGTACCGATGAGAATGAAAAGCCTACTCCTCGCGCCATTAGAGAACGTCTCGTCAAGATGCGCCAGATCGTCAAGGCCTTCGGAAGTGACGGCTTCAGCATTGGTGGCAAGACAGGCAGCGAAACGTCTACCCCGAAAAAGGCCAAGAAGACCGCTACCCCCGTCAAGACCCCTAGCTCCACCAAGCGCAAGCGCGGTGGAAAGGTCGGTGCCATCGCTGATGTGAACGAGAACGCCAACCCTCTCAAGAACGAGGAGAACGTCATCAGTCCGGTCAAGATGGAGATGGGTGAGGACGAGATCGAGACGCCGACCAAGAAGAAACCGCTCCAACCCACTCTTTCAGGAAACCAAGCCCAGGTCCAGAGTGGCTTCGTGAAGACCGAGATATCTGACGAGTCTGCTTTCGGTAATCTAAGCACTCCTACTAAACGTTCCCGCAAGGCGAGCGTTCTCCCCGCTGGTATGGTCAGCTACGAGGACGACGAGCAGGGAGAGGATGATCCTGAGAGCTCTGCTTCGGAGTTACTTCCTGACGAGGCGGGTGTGAAAACAGAAGATATGGACATGATGAGCTTTGCTTGATTTGGTTCTGCTGGTCTCCTCGTGTTTCTGGTTCATGTGCCTGGGAGTTGATCGCTGGTTTGGAGATTGCGAAGGCAGCAAGGCCCTACATATTCTTTCCTGTACCTAAGGTAGTAACAACCACGCTATGCAATCCATGATTATTATCGTCAAAAAGTCACGAACGAGCAGTTCTTACTGTACTAAGTAAACGCAAAACGACCCTGCCGCGGAACACGGCGAGGGGGCATAATCCAGCTGGATTAACAGACTGGGCATGCTATGCCTACACAATGTTGCCAGAGTCCAGGACCTACAGTGGAAGGCGCAGCAAACTCAACGTAACGATTCAATTCCCAAGTCATATTCCAGATAACGACTACCCTAAGACGCCAGTACCACAGGCACCGCGTAAAGACCGGGCTCACCCCCATAAACCATAGATACCAGCTACAAAACCAGAACACAACGCAACATCACAAGTACGAGAGCAACACTCATCACCAGAGAACCGATACGTAGAAGCAAAACAGACAAGCTCAAGCGCCGTCGACAGCAGAACCGTTCTCCTCCTTCTTCACGGCCTCTTTCTTAGCCTTCTTAGGACTGGCGTTATCCTTTTCCGCGGCGTCACCATTGGCATCCTTCTTTGGGCGGCCACGCTTGCGCTTCTCCGGAGTAGCAGGGGCCGAAGAGTCACCGTCGGCAGCGACGACAACCCCAGCATCTGTTTTGAGGCGTCCAATTCTGTGCTGGATAGCCTTGACAGTGCAATCTGTGGTCATTTCGTGTCAGCAAGCTCCGCTCCTGAATATTTCCTGTACCTATCATATGACTTGTGGGGATACTGACCAGGTCCCATGTACTTTGCAAGAGCTTCGTAGTCAGGCTTAATGTTGCTCGTGCTGAGGACGCCGAGGAAAAGCTGTTACGGTCAGTCTTGGTGTTCTTTAAGCATGTCGAAATGCGGCGTACCTTTGCATCAGCTTTGTGGCTCCAGGTCATAGGCATGATGTCTGATTATTTGGAAGTTTGAAGAGAAAGAGAAGTCTTGTGAGGTGCGGTTGTGGAGTATGTATATTAATATGAGAGTAAGAAGAGTACTTGAGGGATGACAGGTCGATGTAGAGTAAAAGGAAGGTGGTGTAGTGAGGAGAAGAGGAGAGGGGAGTTTAAAAGAGCTGGGTTGTTTATCTGTGTTGCTTTAGCTGTGCCTAGCAATGACCTGAAGCGGAACCGGAGCTAAGTAGCTATTTTCACTTGGAACAGTAACACAAGGACCTTATTCAAGCAGATAGGGCCTCCACCAGAGTTGAAATAGTTCCTATTTACCAAGCTGAAGGCTGATTGAGAGTGTCAAGAGGTCACACTGGGGGAGCCAGAGGGCGATATAACAGGAAATATGCCTTAGGCTACCTTAGAGACTGGCTTTATTTCCTTGCACTAAGCACTACAAGCTCAAACGTGAAGAGTCGTGGAGCTGGTGACCCCGTTCATTCAATATACTCCTAGAGAGATAGGTATCTCGAGACCCGGAAGTTGTACTCAACCACTATCCGGCGCGCTCGAATATAAATTTGTTGTATGCTTCAGGATGGTAGGATGTGAAGTAGTCATCGTATAATAACTCTTCTCTGGTTTTCTTCCGCGTCTTCAAATCGTCGAATTGCCGGAATACTCGACCGAGGGTTATGTAGAGCTCTGAATAAGCGAGTCTAGGCGATGTCAGTGTCCGACAACAATCTCGATTCAAATCAGAACGCACTGCATCCCAACACATTGCCGGGAGCCCTTGCCAAACGCGAAGAGGTGCTTTTCGAGGGCACTGTAAGTGGCAGGGTTCTGCCAGCGCGTCGGATCAAACGTCTCTGCGTTTGGAAATAAGTCCTCGTTTCGATGCAGCATCCACGAGCTCATGCTCACGATAGACTATATCGCTTAGTGTCACTAACCAAGAAAAGGATACATCTGTTATACTCCCTCTGGGAAATGGTAACCATGGAACTCAGCACCAGATTTGGGAACGACTCGTGGAAGTCGGCCAACGACACCGAATGACAATCTGGATTGTGTAAGTGGTCATCTTACAGTCCGGTGAGGTATGCTTACCGAAGTGCTTCCTTGATCACTGCAGTCTACATAATTTAGTTCATTATGCTCAATGCAGTATGAGTGCAACGTACCAAATAGGGTAATTTCTCAAGGGTCACAAAGTCCATTTTCGCTTCAGGGTCTGGAAACTTCCCTCTCAGCTCTGCTGTCAGACGTTCATATATCTTTGGATTGGAGACGACATTATATGCTGCAATCGTCATTGCGTTACCTGTTGTATCAGCAGCGGCGGCAATGAAGACATAGGCATCGTCATTGAGTTCCTCGATAGTGGGCACTTTGTATCCTTCCGCGGCGTCTGGTCGAAGGAGTTGGTGGAAGACTGTTTTTCGTGAGACTTTATCACCTCTTTCCACAGCCTCCTTGACTTTCAGGATCTGGTACTTGGAACGCTGAACAGGAATACAAATCAGTCCCGACCACCGACACAAAATAGGTCATGATGAGAAGGTGTTTCTTACCTCACGATGCAGCATCAGTCTTGTCAGTGGCTTGCTCATCAATTTGGCGAGCCAGAATGGAGTCTGAATAGCCAGATCTCGTATGAAAGGAAATTGCTGGAAGAACCAAAATGCAGGACCCATATCGCGGAGCATATTGAATAGCTCAGCCCCAAAGTTCTCCTTGCCCAAGCAGCCATAACAATCATCGAATGCATAGTCGGTGATGACATCAATGGAAATTCCCCGAAATCCGTGGTGCAGGTCAATGTATCCTGTAGACTCGAACGCCGATCGCATCCGAGTTACCAACTTCTTTGCCTTTTCTTGTACGACGTCTTCTAGCTCAAAGACCATCTTGCGCGAAAAGAAAGGATTTAAAGCTGCTCGTTTCACCCGATGGAGGTCATGGCCGGGAGTGGTGAAGGTGGCATTATCTATACCAAAGCCACCGTAGAAGGCTTCGCTTTTGCCGAACCGCGATCCAAAATAGTAGATCTTGTCAAGATTTTCCGGGTTACTGAGGTGGATCTCGTCTGGTGTAATACGTACTATTGTACCAAAAGGAGTAGAAGAAGGATGCTCTTGCGAGAAGAGGTCCTGGGACCTTCGCCAAAGGATGGAAGAACAATCGGTAGATGATAACCCAGACGTCCCGAACCACGGTTACAGCGATGAGGATGGCTGCGAGCTGCCATGTGATAGACATATTGAAGGATGTAGCAGCGATGTTCATTCTGGCGCCTTTTTTGAGCAATCCAAGAAACGAAACAAACTGGCTGAAGAATGGCAGAAATGACAAAGAAGTAGGTTGCGTATTTAGCACATTTAGCGAACTGTCAGTCGGACGGCACCAAGATGCCAGCAGGACGCCAACCACGCTCCTCCAATCACAACCATTGGCATGATAAATCAAATAGTGACAATTTGACAATCATCAGAGACAGGGGATAGAACCCCGCTATCGCATCGTCCTACGTAGCAGTGTGGGTCGGTAAGACTGATGGCTACATCATGAGCATGCAACCATGCACGATGGCGGACATTGCATGAGACCGTCGCAGAGCACTCACCCAAGTCGAACCAATAGCCATTGGCCCCAAGCATCACTGTCAATTATCACAAGAACTACTGAATCATGGTTTATCTATGTCCCGTCGTGTCTTTTTGTAGTGATTCGGTGCCGCCTTGCTACTTACTGGAAGTCATGAGAAAGGTGTATCGAGATCAGCTGCCGGCACATTTTGAGCCAAACCTCGAGACTTGATCTATATCAATGACGATACCTTCGGGCTATTCTTTCAGTGATTCAGCATGGATAGTTTAATCTCTCTTTAGGATTCGCAGGACAAAGACGCAAGGCCAGACGCAAGGCTTCCGGATGCTCACGTAGACTGCATGCGATCCAATGGACTATGAAGTAGGAGCGAAGGCGAGAGACATCTTCTATCAAATCCAGTATATGCAGCCTTAAGCATTGAGATACGCAAGTATCAATCCTTACTTCGCGGCTATCGCGAAAATCTTAACAGTGACTTCCATCCGCGTCATCTGTATGTGAAGGAGGATAACGACATCAGTCGAGGTGACAGAGTTTACCATCCTCGTCGAGAGCGACTGTCTCTTATCAGAGCACGATGAGACTTGATCAATCATTCTTAGTCGCAATTCCTGACACCTAGAAGCGAGCACGTTCGGAAAAGTGGCAAGCTGAGCTGGCCCACTGAAAGGGCGAGGTGAAATATCGAGCAGCTTCTGCTACTGAAGATTGGTTCAAATATTGACGCCAATGGTGTGATTGCTGCAAGGACTCGGTGATCAGCCTGCGTGCTTCAATGTGGAAAGGGAATGACACTTTACAACAAAAGAAATTGTTACTATGTCCCTGCTGCTTCCCTTACCAAGATAGGCCAACTCTAAGGTGTCTTTTCAGCAGCAAACCTGACATTATGGAAAAATTTCCGCCCTTGATGCTGGCTTTTGGAGCACTTTATGAAAATCTCTTCGATCATGTCCTTGATAGACATGAGCGGAGCATGATGATTTGATGATTTTGCACCGGAGATGTTGAAATGATGAGTGTCCATCATTCCGAATAAGAAGGAATCTGTTCCGAGTACCTAGGGAATAGAATATTTCCCTACATCTGGTGGAGGATTAATATAATGATCAGGCATTGAAAAGTCAACTTTGAGAGTCAACTGGTTTGCTTGAATGACTTCATTGCAACAATCAGCTGGCTTGGATCCAACCTGCGCTCTGGCAACTCGTTGCAAAAGGCGTTTTTTTGTCTGTTCCTGACCGTGTAGCTATACGGCAAAGTGGTACAATAATCTGTGTTATGGTGTCACGTTGCACCTCAGTATGTTTTGAGTCGACTTCAGAGACCCCGGGGCTTGTCGATTAACAACAACATTTTACAGAAATGCTCGAGGTATGGCGGACACAGTCGATTATCTACCAAGCCACTGTTGATGCACAGCTGAAACAATGTCGTCGAGATTTTTCAGACTTTACTGAATTTTCCCTCGTGATAGGTAATTTCGACTTGTGGCTACCTATATCTCACCCCGTCAGTTGTCAAGGAACCCTCAGCGGGGGAACAACACTGTTATATCACTAAGAAAGTGATTCAGAAAACAATGCTGTGGATACACAGACACTGTCGAGAGTAAGTCCATCCCTTATCGCGGGTACTCTTCATTTTCTCTAAACGCAAAGCAAGCACCGTGTTTCGGAGCTGACCATTTGCTTTAGTGACTGCCAGCATGGAAGTAGCCATATCACCCTGCCTGCCACCACCGCCACATCCTTGTCCCTGTAAGGCGAGAACAACCGTTGTGATATCAACAAATCAACAGTCGGCGGCAACATCAGCCCTACAGCGTTAACACTCAAATCCTCATCCCCTTCCGATTTGCTGCGAGCAATGACACGACAATATCAGACGGCGAAAGTTCCCTACGCAGCAAACCACGACACAATAACCTCATAAATGACATGCATGCCGCAATCTGGCATAATGGAATTACTCCCTGCCTCATCGACTGATTTTCACTCGGATAAACCAGAGGAGCGGGGTCAGAATGGAACAAAATCATTACCCCTCAGGGTCCACTGTTGAAGTGGCCGCCAAGCGCCTCGATGGCAGCACACAGGTGGGGACAACCCTCAACACCACAATATGGCGGTGACTCTGCATGCTCCTGTACAATAATTGTGGCTGGTGGTGAAATATTGTTGCCTAACACTTTTGCATCTCAGGCCAAAAGAGGATACACTCGCATAGGGCTAGGGACGCTGTTCGCTGCTCAATGTCGCACCGGCCACGGTGGTACCCACCAGGGTCCAAAAAGGCGCGACCTGCGAGCAAATAGGCCAAAGCCAGGTGGTTAGCACAATATGTCGTGCTATAAGCTATATGGGTAAGGGCCCACATATCAGGACGGTGATGGGGTATAAAGCTAAAGCTGTTTCCCGAGAAGGGGAACTCTCGTCATCAGTTCAGATCAATCAGTATCATTCCCTTGAAGAAATCCCCTTAAGTCTTTCCTACATTCAAAATGAGCTTCCACCTCAGCGCTGAAGACATCCGTATCGAGGATAACCATGTCCTCGTTGCCCGACTCCGCAACTCCAATGGTGACCTGCAGGACGCCCAGATTGACCTAAACCACTTCCTCGGAAATGACAACGGTACTTCAACCCCCAAGAATGACTCCTATGCAGAACGGTAGATGACTTATAGACGCAGGCCACTTTCAATGGGAAGGTGTCAACTTCTCCGAATCCGCCGAGGATGTTCACTTCGCTATCGAGGGAGGCGGCGAGGTTCCCGTCCTTCGGGCTCGTTTGGCAAACACGGAAGGAGAATACCAAGATGCTGATGTCAACCTGTCTGAGCGCGTTATCAATGTTGATGGCCACTTTGAATTCCAGTGATTGATGGTGAGTCCATGCATGGTCTATTGCGCAGCAGACAGTTTTCGCAGATCTAACATGGTTTAGAATGGTCACGGCGGAGTTTGCGCAGGTTGTTAATAACATGATGAGCATAGGGTACTGTATATGAGTTTATGAATGGTTCACATCCGTTGTAGGTAATTAGTCGGATACCCGCTGGTTATTAGCAGACATTGTACCTGAGAATGGCAAAGGTCGAGAATTGTTGCTGCCCTGATGTAGTTCTGCAATTAGTGGGCTTGCAAGGTAGTGAGTGGTGAAGCTGTAGGATATTTCTACCACCGTCAGAGATAGCTTCGCAAGTGGCGAGCGTAGTTTCGCATTCGCGGATACCCATATTCCAGTAAGAGTACACGGTATTGGGGAACACTCATTTGTAGAGAAGAGAAATTCTGAAAACACAGAGCCACCAGGGTATGAAACTTAATGCGCCCATACCGTTGACCATGATAAATAACGTTCTTTATCCCGGAACCCAATATCCTCTCAAGACGCCGCTTTTTTGGGGTGCTCCAATTAGGAGAATGACATGAAGAAGCAACCATGAAACCAATCGAGCGCCTGTATTAGAATTTGCGCGAAGAAGAGACCCTCCAACACCAGAGCAATGGGGAAATAACGTAGAGATGGAAAGACAAAGAACCCGAGGGCGTTGATATCACCATGCATGCCCTGCCGCACTAGCATCGAAATCGTTACCATTCCAATCTTCGTCACCACTGAGCTCATCATCAAGAAAATCTTGCTCATTGAACTGCAGTTCAGTCGGGCGTAAATTGTCGATTCTGACCATGACGATATCGCACATGCCTTGGATAAAGAGGTCTGCATGGCCACCATTCGATACTCGGTCTGGTGTACTCAATTCCACATTATCTTCAGCTTCTGAATGCTTGCGTTTCGCAAGGCGTGCGCTTTTGCGCTTGGATGGCGTGGATAAACCGCTATGATGTGCTTCAGACTGAGTAGCAGCATCATTTTGGTCAAGCTGCGGGGTTTCCTTGCGAAGAGTGTGAAGATCAGGATTCGGAGGAGGGCTCCTTCTCAAAAACACCCTCTCCATCTTTCCAATCCATTTCTCTCTGAAAGATGCACGGTCACGCCATCCGATCTTCAAGATGGCGCTAATAATCAAGCGGCGCAAGTTGCGAAGCTCAGACGCGGAATCGATAAGAGATGTGAAGAACACCTCAGCCGTCGTGTCGTCCCATTTTCGCAATTGTATCAGCTCGATTTCTTGCAATGTGGCGGGCCAGGTTGGCACCTCAGAGGGACTAAGCAACTCGCGGAAATGTGGCTCAACATCGTGATAACTGGACCAGTCATGCATAGATATGTCCATCTTGAACCTTTCAAGAACCTGGCAAAACTCTGCTAGTCCTACAACGAATGACATACTCAAATGCCTGTTGTGATTAAGGTTGAGTTCACGCAGATGCTGCCCATGAGTGGCGAGAAATGCACTAAGATTTGAGGTTGTTACTTCATCGCAGTTATTGATTGTGAGGGACGTAAGTGTTGAGGGCATATTGAGGAGAAGATGCTCGTTGACAATCGAGCACTCGGAAAATTCCAGCCGATGCAAATCTGGAAGCTCCTTGATCGCAGTAGCGAGGATCACTTCCCGCTCGTTGGACAGCTCCGCGGTTCCATCGTGATCAATGTCTTCTGAAGCAACATGCAACAGCCGTAACTCCCTCAAGCCACGAAACGCTCGGTCATAATGTTTGCCGAGCAGGAAGGGAATCAAGCGCTCCGCTTCCATAAATCGGCTGTTCCAATCCCAGCTGCGCAGGTGCACCAAGCTCGAATTCATCGATTCGAATAGACTCTCGGGATAGATCCATTTAGACCGCTGTATGTGCCATGGAGCGAGGCCAACAATGAAGTCGTCTTTGTGATACAACCGCACTTTTTTTACTTGAGGGGTCTTTTCGATGAGCCTAGGCAGTTCAAAATAACCGAGCGTCGGCCCGCTTTTGTGGAGCAACAGGGTCTCCACGTCGACGTGCAACTCTTGGATCTTATTTCTATAGTTGGTTGAAAGTGTCTCCTGCGGCTGACATAGCAGGTTGAGCAGAGCATGGCATTTGATAGGTGTCAAAGGCGGACAATGGTAGAGGGCTGCCAATGCTGGCTCATGAAAAGCGCGGCACAACAAGGCAACGCTCACAAGCCATTGCGTCGAACTGTTCCTAGTTGCCGTCTTCTCATCCACCAGAGGAAATGATGCACGGAAGAAGATATCAAACAATATGTGGTAAGGAAGAGTTTGCCAAGGTGGTATGACTTCAGAACCGACCGGGAGCATGTCATCTGCTTGAACCTTTGGACGCTTGTTGAGGGGTCTACCTAACTCCAGGCGGCTCTTGACGGGGGATCGTTTGGACCTTCTAGTCTGGGACCTAGTTTTCACTGTGCGATTGAGTCTAGGTCGAGAAGACGTGCCATTGCTAGCAGATTCGGGAAACGGGTAGGGGTATCGAGTTGGAGCTTCAACAGGCACCACGGCTGAAGCGTCCTCGTTGGCAGATTGCTCAAAGTCGTCATCTGTAGATTCCTCGCGATAAGAAATCGGAGCTCTATTCGAACTGCGTGGACGCAGCGAAAGCGACGCTCGTCTAGATCGCTCCTCGCCAGAGTCGGTGTCTTCGTTCAGCCGATCATCCGAACTGCTATCTTCAAGATATGATTGCACTTGGGTACGGCTAGTGCGAATAGGACGAGACGAGCTAGATGTCCGATGACGGGGAAAGCGCATTGAAGAAGACATGATTGCTTAGAGTATTCGCCCTAACTTCAGATAGAAGATCGGGTCGGCAGCAGGTAACACATGGCCCGCCTGTCGGTCAGTTACTCAAACACCGGAAGTTCAGATAGGAATGGGGACACAGGTGCTAGCATCATGTGTTGGTAGACCTAGAATCAGCAGAAGGGAGAATTAAATGAGCGTGCTTGAATGAGAATGGAGTAGGAGGGCCTCAAGAGGACTGATGGGGAGAGAGAGGATAATGAGGTCAGTCGGTGTTGCCGTCGATTATCGCCCTTGCAAAGGTTTATCGATAAGAGAAAATCAGCATTGGTCTTCATACCTGAGGCCACGATCACTCTAATGCGGCCTAGTGTTGCATGTGACAGCAACTAAAGTCCCAGGCACCCACTCCCCCGCCCCTAAGGCCACAACGCTAGTCTTAGAAGGGTAACAAGCAGAATCCCGAAATAGAAACAGTCAGCGGCCTCTCTTTTAAAGCGCCAGTCGTCCAGCCACTCCATCTCTCCTCTTCTCCCCGTTCCAGACCGAAACGATGGCGTTTACATGTCCAGACTCGATATCTTCATCCCGTCCATTCCAATGCTGAGTATATATCCGTAATTTGCTCGCTCCTTGTTGACATATAAGCCGGCATATTTATGCGCTCGATCTGGGCTGGTCCCTGATCTACAGAATTCTGTTTATTGCGATTCAGTCACACTTGGAAATCATAGCATCTAGTGTTGCGATTATGCGCATTTGAGCTTTGGCATCTTGAGTTGATCCACTACAAATGCAAATGATCCTCGGTTTTCTATTCATTCTCAGATCCGGTTCAACGGTTCAAATTTCGAAATCAACAAGTCCTTGTTTTTGTTCGTCTTGATTTTTTTTAATTACTCGCAATGGAAAGCTCGTTCTCCAGTGTGATAGCACAATCGGATCGAAATGACATTGGAGGAACACCGGTGGTTATCCAGCAGTATGCGAGATACTCCTCTACTTTGGAGCCAGGGTTACAGAGTGCCTCTTCGTTAGGGAGCGCTCGCAGTCGGTTAGGAGCCTCAAAGTCTCCTCCCCTCCATCGCAAAGCGACTCCTCGCAGCCTGCAATCTTCCCCTACTGGTTTACGGCCAGTCGTTCCTGCGACGTCGGCTACGCGCTCAGGGCCGTCGATGTCTCCTCCAGTTTATGATACCATTCGCCAGCGACAGGCTAGGGACCCAATGGATCAGGCAGACTCGCGGGGCTTGCCCTCTCGTGATATCAGTGATGAAACTATCGACGATGCCTATGTGACATTCATTCTTTACTGTAACCCAAACGTTCCAATTTCTGCAGACACCACTGAGCTTCGAAAGACTTTCCGATCTCCGCCTCGGAGTGATGGCAAAAGCTTCAGCATCTTCACCCTCTGGGAGCTTATTCGGAAGCTGGACAATAAGGAGCTGAAGACGTGGATCCAGTTAGCAATCGAGCTAGGCGTAGAACCCCCTTCGGCAGAGAAGAAGCAAAGTACGCAAAAAGTTCAGCAATATGCGGTGCGACTCAAGGTTCGTTAAGTTGCGCTTACCCAAGGTGTCGCGAAGGTGCTGATATCTCATAGCGTTGGATGCGCGCAATGCATGTAGATGCCTTCTTCGAATACTGCCTTGGCCATTCTCATCCGTACTACACCCAGCTTCCGGCCTCCAACGCAGCGGTTAGTGACACTCGCGATGGCGTACCGCTGGAAGAAGATCTTGCCTTGCGTGCGCTTGTCCCTGAGTGGAAACCGAAACGTGGGCGCAAACGGGCCGAGGAAAGGGAGCAAGCTAACGAGAAGCCGGTGAAAAGACCTCAGCTGGATACTTCCGTCGGGATAATGCAGGCAGGCTCATTTGCAGATCACTCTGCAACCTTTCCGCAGAGCGCCATCCCATTCAGTGCTTTTCCTGACAACGATCCATGGATGACTGCTGCATCATCATTCCCAGCTGATGGCTCTACTGACAACCAGCAAGGCCAAGAGCTTCGGTGGAGACCTCTAGATCGAGACGCATCGCCTGCTGGATATCCACAGTCAGCGATAATCCCGCGAGGCCATCATCCATCAGAAGTTCTTCTTCCAACGGCAGAGCCACGCTCGGCGATCGATCCGTCCCCTGGTGAAAAGTCGCGATCTAGGAGGCGGCATGGTCCGGCAGTTTCTTCTGCCTGGCCTAACAGCAATGCATCGATCACTGGGAAGACCCGGGGCAGACCTCCACAGAGAGGCGTTGTCTCTGGTCCATTCTCCACGTTTCCCGTGAATCCTAGTCGGACTGATTCCAGGCAGCGTCAGAGTCCCGGGTCAAGATCTTCGCCTGCTATTGTGCTAGAGCAGAATTCCACAATTCGTGCAGACTCCCAATATCAACAGTCGCCTACTCCCTTTCCCCATGCGACTGCCAGGCCAAACAAGCTTCAATTACAAGTTCCACAACACTTAGGCGGACCTGTCCGCCTTGCCACACCACCGACGCTAATGGTAAATGGAATGAGTACTCCATCTGCCTCCCTTAAGGTGGAACCTAGCCATCGGAACGGCTCTACCGCTCATTCAAGTGACTTATTTAGCGGCAGTACTGTGCAAACTGTCATGCCGCATACGAACGCCATTTCTCTATCTGATAATAACGCGGCCTTGGAGGTTAGCTTTGACGATGTTGCCCGTGTTCTATCGGGCGAATTACTCCGCGCAAAGCTCACAGGCCGATCAGTGCCTCTGGGCGCTGAGGAGGCTCGTGCCTTGGCATTCTCCGTCGTGAGGCATTTGAGTGCTACTTACGTACGACTTCCCTCGGGGCTATCGGCTCTCGCATCAGCTCTTTATCTCGGGCTTGGAGGGCATTTTGGCTTCACCGGTCACGCCCAGAGCTCCATGACAGTGAATGTCGGAAGAGCGCCTATAGCTGCTGGGGACGGTTCAACGATGGCGGCCGATAGGACATCGTCCAATATCATCTATACGATTTCCCATGAATACAAACACGGTTCTCAGTTCTCCACGAAAGTCGTCTACAGCGATACGGGCATCTCGAATATGGATGTTGGTAAACCTGAGGAACCGTCCCGAATGACTGATGATATGGACAACAGCGTTATTGAACTTGACAGTATAACCGATGCGGAATACGGAATCGACGGTGCAGAAAGCACCGTGTCTGAAATGACATGGAAACAGCGTTACATGAAATTGCGAGCACAGATGCAGAAGAGGGAGCGGTCGCTGTCCCAGTACAAACGCAAGATTCTCGAGTCAGTGATGGCAGACATATGAAGACGCCAACTGGCTTGCCCCACTCGAGTCGGCTTGCGCCAGCACGATGTTAATCCGTCTGCGTATATCATCTGAATACTTATAATGATACCCTTGGTTTTACTTTTTGATGCCACCTGGCGTTCGATTCCAAGTCGGAACCCTTGACATGTCATGGTGTCATCTGCAGTAGTCGCCAGCTTGTGATGCTGGGTTCTAAAGTTCGAATTCTGTTAATAGATACCCCCTGCGCAAATGATATGTTTGAGATGTGACACGATTTTTTACCTCAGCGTAGAACATAATGAAAGCATAAATAGGGCTTTGTATTTATCTCGGTGCTCTTTGGCTAGAACCACTTGACGCGATGAAATTTATGACTCAAGATTACGAGCGAGTCAATGCGCAAACATCTGCTTGAAAGTCACAACTGAATCAAGAACATGAGGCCAATAAAAGAAACCAAATGTCCAGCCCCCAAATTGCATAGCAAGAAATCATGCTGCAACAGCAGCCCGCGGCAGAAAACACAGAATCAAGCTACCTCCTCAGTGTCCTTCTTGACCTTCTTGACAGCAATATGATCGTCGCCCTCGGAGTTGCAAAACTGGTCAAACAGCGCCTCGCCGTCGACAGCAGTCGCATCAGCGCCCTGACCCTGCTCCTCTTCAGCATCGGACACCTCTGGCCCCTTCACGGGGCTCAACCTCTGCTCAACCATTCTCTCTGCGCTCTCAACGACAGTCTCCTTCGACACCCGAGCTTTCTTTGTTCTGGTCTTGCTACTCTCCCCTGCAGCCTTGCGCTTCGCGGGTCCCGGACTCTCGCCCGCCTGTTTGGCTTTGGTCTTCTTAGCAGGACCAGCCTTGGCAGTTCTGGTTTTCTTGGGAGTAGAGTCCGGAGAAGTTGCGGCTGCAGCTGCGTCGGGTTCGGGTCCGGCGGTGGTCGTGGTCTCGTTGTAAGCCTTGATCAAGCGTTCGTAGCGTTTTGCGCTGGGCGGAAGGTTAGTTCACAAGGGGAGCTGTTTGTGAGGTGGCTGTGACGTACGCAGCTCCTTTGGTGACGATGTTGCATTCTTTGGCGACTTCGTTGAAGTCAACCTGGGCTTTGGTTAGTGAGGTCATTCAAAAGGGGTTGGGGTTCGGGGGTGGAGATCGGACTTACCTTGCTTGGTTTGGTGGGTTGGTCTTTTGGATGGTAGATTGGGTGGGATATTGGATCGTAGATGTAGGTATGGTGTTGAAGTTCGGATGGTATAGGGAGAAAGCTGAGGAAGTTGAAGAAAGGGGCAGTCTTTAGAGAGAATAAAGAGAGCAAGGAGCCAGAGGGAGTGACCTCGAGTATTCGAAGACAGAGGTGAGAGAGAGGTGTTACGAGAGGCAGATCAACACAGTGACCGAAAGGATAAAGAGATCGTAAAGGAAAGGTGATGCCAGAGAGGAGTGAATATGTGAAGTAGACCAGGTCACTTATTCTGAGCTTTTGAAACAGTCAAGCGACAAGAATGACTTGCTTCTCAAGTGTTTCTAGGCTATGGGGAAACAAGAATTGACGAAGGGGATGGATAGTTGAAAGAGTCTATTGTTTTTTGATTGGATTTGCGTCTGTATGTCGCCTCTATCGAGGGTGTATCGATTAGCGATATAGTCTTGTATAAGCTCTTTACGGATTTATTGTATGCTATTGAACAGTCATCGATGAGCTATCATTTGTTTTCTAACATAAATAGCACCTATTCTAGACCTAAGGATGAGCTCCAAACAAATTCAATGCTTAGAACTTCTCGGTAGAGAGATAGTGCCACAAAAGAAACATCAAGGCTCAAAATCAAATACGAAATTTCCAGATTAGTGCTCGTATCCTCCAGAATCCTAGTTTTTACCAGTTCGACTGTGATGACTGTTTCCATCCTGAGGTCGTTCGTCACGCTGATCCGAAAAGTGGAAGAGTGTACCTGCTTCGTACCTACGCTATCAGTCATGGTGTTCCCTTATGTGGGAAGACGGCGTGACAACTTACAGTATTCATACTCTCGGCAGGTCGTTTAAGCTTCAGCTTTGATGGCGTCGCCCTCCTCCATCTTCACATCTCCGTTGTCTTTAATGACCGGAATCTCGACAGACTCCATAACGGCCGGCTGCTGGGCGACGACCTGCTTGCCCTTGCCTCTTGGACCGCGCTTTCCGGTAGGCTTCTTGGAAGCAGAGACAGAGCCATCGGTGTCCACAGGGCCAGTGGCAGGAATTGGCTTCGAGTTGGCCTTGGCTCCCTTGCGGCCAGCAGCAGGCTTGCGAGCAGGCTTGGAGGGAGAGGACGGGACCGTCTCGCCAGGAGACGAAACATCCTCATCGGCAGCAGGACCATCTTTGGCAGCCTTGCCAGTAGCACCAGCCTTGCCAGCCTTGGTAGGGGTAGAGGAGTTCTTGCACTCCAGGTTTGCGAATCCATAGCGCTTGCGCAAAGCGCGAAAACGGTTGCCGGCTGATGCCACATTGCTGTACTTCAAGGCAGTGGCAACTTTACCGATGTCGACCTGGCTGCTTGTTAGAGGTATTGCACTTCTATAGAAGATAGAAACATGAAGAACTCGTGTTGACTGACCTGCTTAGACTCGTTGAGATGCTTGAGGCATTCAATGATAAAAATGGCATCGGCGCCATTGATTTCCTCGCCGTTGGTCTCGGGGTTGGTGGACGACATTTTCAGTGAACTAAAAGTACTAATGACTGTCAAACACAGCTTTGAGGAAGGTAACAGAATCTTCAGGTATTGAGAGTTCTTGAAGGGAAGTTGAACGAGTTGATGCAGAGACAAGGTAAGATGTGGTATGGCTATGTGGGTGACATGAGGGAATAATATGGTATGAGGAGAAGAACAAAACAAGATCACAAAGGAGGGAGAAGAGAGTGATAGGGAGTGATATCTAGGAAGAAGAGAGAAGACAAATAGGTGGCACGATTATATTTGTAATAGCACGCCGAGAGGTAGGGGCTGGTGATCGTTACGGCAACACAGAAGGTGAGTCTGAACTGTGATTGAAGTGAGATATCAATGCTAAGTGATGGACCAGACCACAGGTAAAGTGAGTTCCAGAGACTCACTAAATCGGCGCTCATATCAAGTCAATTTGTGTGACACTAGACTGCCTCTATGCTTCATTCCGGTCTCTGTCTGTCAGGAGAGAAACTTAAGAAACAGTTCTCGTATGGCTCAGTAGCCCTAAACAGAATCTGAAGAGAACGTGATGACTGAATAGTTGCATTTCATGGTTCCGAGCATCAAGGGATAGTATACTTAATCAGCTAGTCAAACCACATTGAAAAAAATCGAGCCATAGAATACATTTGCGACGCCGACTCTATCAAATCATAGATCCAATTCACACATCGAGAATCAAATGGACATAAGCCAAACATCTTAACGCCTCACCGTAAGTCATGCAACAGATGCTCCACACTCATCACGAATTTGCTCATTTAATTTCTTCCGGCCTTGTCAATTCCTGTCCTACTGTTCTTCCTGGAGCGGTTCAACTTTCACGGGTGTATCATGCACTTTGACTCCGGCTTCCGGCTCGGGTTCAGGCTCAGGCTCAGTCTTGACAGGAGCCCATGTGCTTGGACCAGACTGCTGATGAAAGGCCAGAGGCGGAGAGAGCGGGAAAGCAGGGACAGGCGCATACATGGTCAAAGTTCCCGGGGCCACAGTCAGTGGAGTGTATGGGACCATCTGCGGTTGGACAGGCTGCGAATGCATCACTTGAGCGGAGGCCTGAGGGATTTCTGCCAGATTCTGGACTTCTTGACCGTACGGATCAACCTTAATGTAGGGGTTTGACTCGTACGCAGGACCAGCGTTTTCTTGCTTCACTGGCGGCTGGGGGGCCGCCTTGTCCTTCTGCAGATCGGCTTTGCCGGCAAATCCCTTGCCAGTCTTTGCGGGAGTCTTCCTGGGGCGAGAGGAGCGAGGTGTAGATGTGATTCCTTCCATTTGCTGTCGAAAGCGAGAGTAACGCATCCGAGCAGCGTGGCCGTTGGAAATTTCAAGCTGCGACGCAACGAGGTTCCAGTCGATCTGTGGAGGCACATTGTTAGCTACAGTCCACAACGCCTCCTGGAAGTTCAAGAGGAAGAAGGGTTGACTGACGGACTTCAAGTCCAATTGCTTGATGATTGTGTAGAGGAACTTGGCCGTAGGGCCATCAGTTGGCATCGCCTTGCTGCGTCTGACGGTCGTCATGGCTGACTTGGGAGCGAATGGTTTGTCTGATGAGAGAGGTATCGAGCAGAAAAGCTGCAGTAGAAGGCCCAGTTGTGCTTGGGAATTTGGGATATTGAGATTGATGGAGGAAGATGCACTCTCTCGCACAGAAGCTGGATATATAAGTCTCTGGCATTGGATTCAGACCAACAGGAGAAAAATGCTGTTATTGTCCGCCACAACGGCTTCTTGCAGCAACAAAGAAGGAGTCTGGGCATGAGTAGAGGAAGCAATAAACAAAGCAGGTGGAGTTAATTCTTGGGTTTCTGGTAGAATCGGATAACCCAGAGAATAATTGGCCACTGTAGCTATGTCTTAGTGATGTCGTTCAAATGGGTATCTAGACTTTCAATTATGAATCTGCTCTCTCTTCGATGAAGTCAACCGCATTGTTTTAAGGATATATTTCTCTGCATAGACATTTGATAGAATGCGTCTCCCATTCTCAATCAATTCTGGATTTTGGTTTTGTCTCATGCTATTGACATGGAATCGCTCCAATCCTTCTTGAATTGCATTGAAAAGAGGCGATATGCGGCCAAACTGGACAGTGTTCTTTGTGATTGCTGCAGAATAATTTCAAGACAAAGATGGACGTGCGGCTCATCTTAAGGAAGCTCAGGGCTTTTTAGCAGTCGTGTTACAGTCCACTAATGGCTGCAGACTCAATGAAGGATGATGGTGCATGTGGTGCAAGGAAGACAGCATGGACCTGTCATGCCAGCTCGTCCCCAACGGTCAATGTGACAGGTCAGATTCTTAGGTTAGGTAGGAATCCCTTCAAAATTCTACTACAGGAAAAAATAATTCATTGCACATGCTAACAGAAGCATCCCAGGCAAATGGCTTCACTGAGTATGGTTTAGTTTCCATTCGGTAGCATCTAATCTACCTGGCTGTCAGAACACTCGAGTTCTAGTCCTCATGAAGCTGTAGACCACGACAGCGACCGTACATGGTTCCTGCAGCTTCAGCTCCGCCATTTTGTATCTGTCTCGAGCTAATCATGCATTCTGAATTGCTTTTTATTATAGCATCTTCGATCGTGGTATCAGCATGCGTGCGCGTCGTAACGCGCGTGATGGCGATTGTACTCTTTTCGAACCGGGTATAAGTACTTGAGCTGGCAATTTCTTCCATCGTTCCTTCGAGCCTCCAATTCCTCCATTGGGTTATCGCTTAATTCTCCAATCGACTGCCCTGTCTCTTAAGCAGGCTCAATTTGAGGCTTTATTGAGAGTCTTTATCGGCAACATTAAACAATGCCTGCAACTCGGCGTGCTCCCATAAAATGGGACGACTGGAAGGACAAGGTGATGCTGCTGGCAGTATTCGAGCAGATGAACATGACCTCTCCTGACTTCAAACGTCTCTCCAAAGTGATGTGTGGAGATTACAGTGCGGACGCTTTGAAGTATGACCATCATTCAATGGATAGCTTACAGGCGAAGAGTGCTAATAGGTGCCGGCGACCTACAGAAACCGCTTCAAGACGCTCAACAAAGAAGCTGCAGCTATCTTGCGTGATCGCCAGCGCCATGCCGAATCACCAGAAACGACAGGCGAGATACTTCCCATGATGTCCGGGGCCGTGAACGGTTCAGACGATAACGATGTACTCGTTGTCCGAGAAGTTGCACTACGAAGCGAGCTTACGCCCCCTCCAAGCGAGCCATCCCCGAGCATGCAATCAAGACGCCGTCCTCCACAGACACAGAGAGTCATACCGGAAGCTATCACGCCAAATTCTCAGCCGTCCAGCATAGGTCGCCACACCCAGAGCAACAGCGTACAATATCAGCACCACTCGAGTTTGAACTACAAGTCAAGTGTGCCGCGGCATCCTGCTGGCCGTCCCCAGTGCTCTCACGAAGCAACCTCCTCAGCTCGCCCGTACAGTCATCCTCATAATTCTCCTCACATAGGATCATGCGGACGTGGTTTTCCTCCCAGACAGCAGGATCAGAGGTGGGATCAGAGCCACAAGGCTAAGAAGACTGGTGGAAGACCTTTCAAGCCGCGAAATCAAAATAACCGTCAGCGCAATATTCCCCAGATGACCCGAGTCGAAATCAACCATGGACCTGTACATACCAGGTTTTAAAAGTGAATCATTTGTGTCTTGATGCATGTATAGAATGTTAGCGATGTATTTGATTGAGAACAATTATACGCTGTTTCTGTAACTTAGGGACATCTAGCGGTCATTAGTTTTTTTTGACTTACCTCGAATTCAAGATAGAGCCCATTATGAGCATTACAGTCAGCTTCTATTCATGTTCATTTGACGGGAATCAGCCCCTTCTTCTGTCTATATTCAGGCATCTCCAAACCTGCTTTTAGAGAGCCCGAACGGGCAAACTTATCAGGCTTTCGTAGACCGTACTGTTGCAGCACATACGCATAGAGTGATAACATTGAAGGATAGTCTAGATTACGAGTATAAGGCATTATTTCTCAGATAGCTTTCAAGAATCACAGGAGTGAATATATCTCTGTGATGTTAGGGCTAGACGGAGGAAATATCTTCCGGCGTAAGGTATATAATATATTAGCACGCTAGACAATTGCTCAAGTTCATTTCTTCTCACTACTTCTAATTCTATTGTTCTGATGCAATGCCACAGCTCAAGAATCTTCACAGAGAGGTCGAAAAGATAGAATCTTGAAACTGTAAGTGGCATATCGCGGATCTTCCCTTGATGAAGTCCTTCCCCGATGACGAAAGTTGACACCACTTGCTAGGTTCATGAAATGCTAGTGCTGATTTGAGAAAAAAACATGGATCAGTAAAGCAGTGAGGACATCTTCTTAGTAGAAGCCCTATGATGCAATACCTACTGAGCAGGGAGGGAGGAAAAAGGGAAACGTAGTGGTTGAGGGGACCTGACCGCAGAGTAGGTCTTAATGAAGCTCAGCATGGCCATGGTGAGTGGTCAACCTAGGCCAAAAGATATTCTTAGTGCCACTGGTGCATCTGCGCATAGGAAGAGGCCTGGTTAAGTGCCATACTGTGCAGGCCACGATGGAAAATTTTCACACCTTTGTCTCAGCGCTGGTTATTTAAATGAGCTGGGCGTCTTCTTCTGCTTCTCTCTCTTTTAAATACTCAACCATTATTCCCAACAGCTCTTTGATCATTGGAAACAATTCATTCAGTCGATTGGATACCACCAACCATCACTACTAACCATGGTATCTGCTAAGAGAAAAAGCCTAGAAGGCGGACATGACAGCGCCAGTCATCAGCAGAAGAAGGCCCCAGGAAGGAAGCGCGGTGCAAAGAAGCAAAAGACTCTGTCGTCTGCCCCCGCAGAAATTACTTCAGCTGCTACAGATAGCTCTGTTATGCAGGAATCTGTGGCGTCCAGTGATCAAGCGTCGCAGACCCCAGAAACCACCACTAAGCAGCCTTCCAGGTTTTGGACCGACGAACTCAGGATCTCCTTGCTTGTCGCCGTTCTGAAGGAGGTCAATCACACAATTTCGGAGGACGCCTGGCGCCAGATTGCTGAAAACCTCAAACCAAAAAAGTCCAACATCACTTGGAATGGCGCTCGGTAAGTCTTGATTTCTATGTGTGAACCCATCACCTTGCAACTCATTCTTCCTTCCGAGAGTTCGTCTCCGCTCCTGTGGAGGCATTCTACACTCTCTGCGACCGTCCTTCGTGACTCGGAATTGCTGACAGATTCGAAGAATCGAGGTCGGCCGTCTGAAAAGAGAACATTTCCCCAGTACTGCGCCCGCACCGAGCGGCCCACACGATCAGCCCGCTGAAACCCCGGAGGACGAGCATTAAGAGCCTGAGGCAGTCGCTCCGTAAGTATGTCTCGACCTGATGGCGCAACCAAGTCTCCTCTGACATGAACTGGTCAGGCAAACTCTCTCCTCAAACACGTCGAGGATAGCTCATGGGCATCTTATCCCCTCCATTTTCCTCGCTCAGAATGTTTGACCGGCAGTAAAAAAAGACCATACTGGCAATGTCGGGTTGGAAAGTAGTCATGGAGAAGACAGATTTCGTGCACAACTCCTAGTTCTTGGTTTTGTATCTTAAAGCCCGTAGCTATTCGTTGAATCCACTTATCTGCTTGTGTTTCTATGTATCACCATGGGTATGAGATTGCATCAAAAACGTATCTGGAAAGTTGAAATCGCAGATAGAGAGTACGTGGAAACTCGAGTGTACCATTTTTCATCGCAGCAGCTGCCATGTTGTCGTTGCTGATGCTGATGATGTCGCCTGTGGGGCCTGACTAATATGCGAATCGACAACCCCTCCTCAAACTCACGATTATCCGCGCACGTCGGTCACTGCAGTATCCTTTCTGCAAATTGAAAGTCTCGAAATCGTGTTGTTAACCCATCAAAGTCTGGGAACATGTCGTTGGTTGCAGTAGGTGCATGCTATGTCGACACAATCTTGACGTTGGTTGGAAACTCGTCCCCGCACCTCTTGTTGGCAAACCAACACCCAGCTTACCATCAATGCAGAACTGCTCACTACCCCGGAGAAGATGAGAAGTTGCGAGCTTCCAGTATCTCTCGTCGCCGCGGAGGAAACTGTCCGAATACCTTGGAGGTGCTACAGCAATTGATAGCACACAGCAAGTCAACCTCAAAGGTCTCACTGAACCTTATCGCAGTTCTGCCCGCGAAGGCATCTGTTGCATCGCAGCAGATCCTGGCAGACTTTGAACCCGGAGTTGAACTCAAGCATTGCATCTATCGTGAAGAATTCAATGAGCCAGCATCGAGTTACATCATTAAAAGTCAAGCTTCCGGAAGCAGGACGATTGTCAACTACAATGAGCTCCCAGAAATGACTGTCGAGGAATTTACAGCAATTGCGGATAAGATCGGCTCCAATGCTACTTGGTTTCATTTCGAGGTCAGCGACTTTCGTTCTCTGGAGAGCATTGAGAATACTCATGCTCAATTTGTAGGGCCGGATACCAGAGGTAACACTGGCATGTATCCGTTATCTACGTCAATGCTTCCCTTCAATTAAGATCAGCGTCGAAGCAGAGAAACCTGGGCGGCCGGGTCTTCAGGAGCTTGCGAATGAGGCAGACGTGGTTTTCTACTCGAAGAGCTGGGCTCAGGTATGAGTGCTCCCTACAACCATCATATAGCCTCTGAGGTAAAATCTGCTAAACCATGTCCAGGGGCAAGACTACGCGTCGGCCGAGGAATGCCTTCGAAAGCAGTGGCCCATGACGCGCAATGCGTAAGAAAGCCCTTAGACCCTATCCACGGGTTCAGCAGTTGACTGATATACTCCGCCAGGTCTTTCCTATGTTGCACATGGGGACAAGACGGAGCTGTTGCTCTAGACACTCAAGCTGGTGAACTGTTGCACAGTCCTGCGTACACAGCACCAGACGTTGAGGTCATTGAGTAAGTCGATTTCCTGAAGGTATTTGATAGAGATACTGATCGATGCAAGTACTATCGGCGCTGGTGATACATTCATAGCCGGAATGTTGTATACTTGGCTCTGCCAGGAGAATTGGAATCTCGCGGAGAGAATACGCCTCGCGAACCGGGTTGCTGGCATGAAAGTGGGACAGGAAGGCTTTTCGGGTCTGGACAAGGCGCTGGTGTCGTTTTCTTGAGCACAAAACGTTCAGAGAACGGGCAATATCTATCTTTACGAGCGTGTGTGTCTTGTCTCATCAACATAACCGTGCTTGAACCTCGAGGCCGTGCTGTAATACACGAAAATCAAACTTGGCGATGGGTAGCAAGAATCGTCCTAACGGGCGTCAGCAAAACAGAAACATTGATGATCGAGCATGAAATTTAGCAAGTATTATTTACTCCGTAAGTCTACTCTGTATCAGCATGCCAAGAGATTTAATCTGTGGTCGACTCACGTGACCTTTTACTCCAAAGGCGGTGAACTCTAAAAAAATATTCTGCCCGCATCTTTTGGGTATTCTCGTGGAGCTTTTCTCTGCGACGATCAAGAATCCAAAAGCTCACCCGAAATATTCTATTCCAACCATAATGGCTGCCGTCTACAAGACAGTGTCTAAGAAGAAGTCTCGGCAACTCGCCGAAGATCAGGAAGATGTAGATATGGAGATGGAAGATCTCGCCGGAGCCGACGACACAAGCGACAGCGACGAAGACGAAGATGAGCACACTGTGGAAGCGGCCCAGAAGCAACTTGCCTCTGGATTCATGCCGAAGACTCGTGTCCTTATGTTGACTTCAAGAGGTGTGACATATCGGTATGTTCAGGATTTGTTAGCGGCTTCGGACTTGATCTTCTGAGACACTGACGAGCGGTTTCTAGCCATCGACACCTGCTGTCCGATCTCTGCTCCTTGCTCCCTCACACGCACAAAGAAAGCAAATTAGATACGAAAAAGAAGACGGCCGGTTACAATCTACTCCTGAACTCCCTCGCAGACCTCCACTCATGCAATGTCATTTTCTTCCTCGAAGCACGCAAGCGCGGTCAAGATCTGTATCTATGGCTGTCTCGTCCTCCCAACGGACCTACGATCAAGTTTCATCTCACCAACCTGCACACAATGGGTGAATTGAACACTGGATTTAGCGGTAACTGTTTGAAGGGTGGCCGTGGCATTGTCGTTTTCGATCGGTCGTTTGACGAACAGGGTCCGGTTATGAGCAGCCCTGGAAACGAGTACCGCGGATTGATCAGAGAAATGCTGCGTGGAGTTTTCTGCGTGCCCAAGCGTGGAGTCAAGGGCATGAAGCCTTTCATTGACCGAATCATCGGTGTCTTCGGTGTGGACGGCAAGATTTGGATTCGCGTCTACGAGATTAGAGAGTCCGAAGGTGGAGGCAAAAAGGACGACGAAAACGGCAAGCCCACGCCCAAGGGCAAGAATGTTCAACCAGAGATCTCCCTCGTTGAGGTCGGACCTCGCTTCGTCCTTACGCCAATCGTCATTCTTGAAGGCAGTTTCGGCGGCCCTGTCATCTACGAGAACAAGGAGTATGTGAGCCCGAACCAAGTCCGCAGCGAGATTCGGTTGAGCAAGGCGGCGCGTTACGCGAAGCGTCGGGATGTTCAAACCAACTTGATTTCGAAACGCTCTACGTTGGGCTTGGCAGAAGGCGAGAGAAAGCCAGATGCTCTCGACACTAAGAAGCTCTTTTCTTAAAAGCTTTTGAGGTCATCGTGATTCCGATTTTGGTCCACTTGTTGTTTCTGTCTCTTTTCTTCCATGAACATTAGACTTGATATCCTGAGGGGATGTACATGTGATGCGAGGGGTACATTTTTTCGGTCCATTCTAAGGCGTCTAGGAGTGAAAGATAATTTAAAAGTTTTATATGCTCTTCATTCTTAGATTTGTGGCTATATTCCTAAGTGCCGGGTACTTATGAAACATTGCATGCTACATAGACTTGTTCTTGTTACCCGATACAGGGATGAACTCATTTATTCATCGAAAGAAGATATCTGTATGGAAACAAGAATCATCTGAGGCAATCATAGTTATCCCAAATATTTGACAACATTTCGACTGCAAGAATGAGGGGGATTGTTGGTAAAGCAAGGGGGCGCAGATGAGATAAGCGGGGTGTATAACTATAAATTGTTTTGACTGCCTGTACCCCCGACTCCAACTTTCCGTCTACCATCATGGCGGCGCATTTGCCATCCGGCCGTTGGCGGCTGCAGGATACTCTTTTTGCTTCATCTACAATGTTCCTCAGTATGCTTGCTCTAAATCAGACCACTTTCGCTTCTGTCAGCCCCAACGGCGGGGTTTGCACCTAAATCCATACCCTTGTTGCGACGGCGGCGGCGTTGACTCATTGATATCGAGACGCTGTCAAGGTTGGCGCTTCTCCCGGTCTCCAAGCATACCGGCGCCTTTTAGATTGTTTATCAAGGTTTCTGGTAGGTACCACTGAAAATTACAAGCTGCTGTTCCATTTGCTGTACTGACATATTACTTGGTAACAGAATATATCTTCCTCATGTCGATCGACCGTCTGGCAACGGAGCTTTTGCTCCATATTTTTTGCTCTTGTGAGAGCGTTTCTGATGTTCTCAATCTTGCATCGAGCTGCCGAAGGCTCCGCCGTGTCTTTAACCAATCCAACAAGCTGCAAATTCTTATTGATATCGCGGAAGTCGAGTTTGGACCTCTGGACGAGGTCGTCCAGCTCGTAACACACAACGCAAGCCAACCAGCGCACATCATCCGCCGAGTTCCTATGTCCGAATCGCTTCTCCGACAGGTAGTGCAGGCTGGACTCGTCGCGCGGAAATGGGAGGCGATCTATCCGGTCAAGAAATGGAAGGCTGATTTCGAGAATCGGCGCTCCCTGACTGACGATGAACGGTTTCGTTTGCGCCGTGCCATTTATCGCTTGTGGCTATATCATCGCGCTTTCCATACTTCCAACTTTGACCGTTTCTCGCGTAAACTTCATCACGTCGTTTCTGAGCGTGCGCAGCTTGTGCACAACTGGTCCACCGTCGAACTGGCCGAGGTTGAGGACATTCGGTTGATCATCACTGACATCGTGCAAACCCACATCTGTCCCAGCAACGGAACTATCCAGCGGAAGTTCCGCAAGCGGTATCCCGAGAGCAATCACCAGCTATCATTCAATATTCATCTGAACTATCCGACAACGAATGCCCCCGTAGGGATACCCGAATGGTCTGAGAAGGCTGACCACACAGTCAATCAGTATTTCTATTCCGCTCACCCTACAAATATCACTGAATCACCCGCGAAGTATAGATCGAGATTCCGCAATGACTTCTTTCACGACCCCGGCTTCGAAGGTTGGGGAGATGAAATTCCACATTATTACGTAGTCCAGGATATGATGAAGCTTGATCCCGGGCAGGTCCTCTGGTTGCGCGAACATGCGCCCCTGAAAGAGCAAGTTGAAGCCTTCATCCGATCCTTGGGCGATTGGTTTCGTGATAATGGAGAGACCTTCGGAGATACTCTTGAGTGGGTGATGAATGAGCGCGGTGACGACATTGAGGAGTTCCGGGCTGCGATAGCAGATCGGGAACTGGGAATCGTGTGGTCTTAGTTTTATTTCAGACTATGCTATGTGTACCATTCTAGAGGTTGCAGTGTTGAAGCAGTTAAGCTATATCAGGCGCACTATTTGAAGTGTTAATGTACGAGACGATAATGTACGTCCGTCAACGCCCAGTAAACGCCATTCAGGCGAATCCCTGGAGGCACGTGAGACCTTCCTATTTGGTCAAAGCTGACTCCCCAGACTCCCCGTATCTTAAAGCGGCACAACTTCACAAGAACAGATTAATTCGTAATTCCGTATGTTTGCCTAACTTGACAGTTGACACTGAGGTTATCCGTACCCGAAGATGAACACCAGAGTCTGGACCTTCCCAGCCTCTGACCGACTCACTCGCGTTACTACCCCTGAGAAGCGGAACGAACCCGCCAACCTCGCTCTAGACTAGATAGACAAAGCCAGAAAGATCATGCAACTTGGCTCTAAAGAAGCGGCTAACTGGCGAGACTCGGTGCGACGAATGAGCAATGCGTGGGCGGGGGGTCGCTACGGACTAAAATCCTGTCTTAGTCAAGGGCTTAAGGTAGGTAGTATCGGGATCCGGGTTGTAGCTTGTTGAAGTTCAACTCGCTGTTTTGTCGCAGAGGATAAGGAGCTCGAGCGGTGGCTATGGACTGCTATGGCACGATAAGGGAAATAGAGTACTTGAGGAAATAATGTATTCAGGTTATGCAAGGTGAGGACAAAAGCCGTCATTATTGTAAAATCTCAGTGTTGTGCATAGCCATAGCGTACTGGCGTCGCGTGGGTCGCTCCACTGTTTAGGAAAGTGGAGCCTCAGGAGTCAGGCCCACTAAATGTCGATGCTAATTTACAGTTTACACTACTCCGTACGGGCTGAGGCTCGCAAGTCGTAATTGCGATTCATAATGCCCTGGTAATTATTGAATTCAGGTTAGAAGAATGATGAGAATTGCGAAAGTAATGTTGGAATGACCATGTTGAACCCATATCGCCTGACCAAAGTCTGATTGCATACCGACGCCTGTGAACAGAACAACCTTGAAGGATGATCATTGTCATACCAAGGACAAGCGAACAAGAAGTGATGAGAAACCTAACGAAACAGATTCGTGAAAGACAAGGGCACAAAGGCAAGCGCCCAGAAGAAAGAAGAGTCAATTTCGTAGTTAGGCGAATAAGGACAGGAAAGGGAATAGAAGAAGTCAACAACATAATGTCCTGGGAGTAATGATCGCCTACAGTGCCCATGTCCCTGAATTGCCGTTCCCAACGTTCCTCTTGTGTATCATATCCGTGGAGGCTAAGTAACAGACAAAAAGAAAGATCAAGACCATTCAATTATCACATTGCAGAGTAAAAAGTCGTTTCGACAGGCGTGGCTTCCCTTACAGCAGCAAAATCCGGCGATTTCTAACAGCAGCCTTGCTTCGACTCAGTATCCGGAGCCTTGCTGACTTCAATCGTACGGCCACTGCTGAGGGGGGCTTGACCGGAGTCACCATTATCCAAAGCCTTGCTGGAGACAATGCGGTAGATTTCTAGTTACAGGTTAGTTCAGTGAGACAAGCAACCATGCATAAGGCGAGTGAACCTGTGAGGATGTTTTGGAAAGCAAGCTCAACATTGCTTGCGTCGAGCGCAGATGTTTCGATGAAAGAAAGGTTGTTCTCGCCTGTTCCGTTCCGAGCATATGTAAGTAAATCAATGCATCAGTGGCTGCTTGGAAAATGAACGTACTCGCGAATTGCTTAGCCTCATCTGTTGGCACAGCGCGAAGGTGTCTCAAATCACTCTTGTTCCCGACAAGCATGATGACGATGTTGGAATCGGCGTGGTCACGGAGTTCCTTCAACCAGCGGTTGACATTGTCGTAGGTCTGGTGTTTGCTGATATCGTACACAAGAAGGGCGCCGACGGCGCCACGGTAATAGGCAGATGTAATGGCACGGTAGCGTTCCTGACCGGCAGTATCCCAGATCTGTGCCTTAATTGTCTTGGAATCCACCTGGATGGAGCGGGTTGCGAACTCGACACCAATGGTAGACTTGGAGTCCAGGTTGAACTCATTGCGGGTGAATCGACTCAGAAGGTTGGACTTGCCAACACCAGAATCACCAATAAGCACCACTATTCAAAACGGTCGACGCAGATTAGTTATGGGGCCTGTTGAGGGGAGTAGGATGCCGAAAAGATGAAACTTGCGGCGACTGCGCGGGGAAAGTGGCAACATTACCCTTGAAGAGAAACTATCCCGATCCTCAGATTAGTGACATAGAAAGCTTGGCGTAGATAGGGGGTGATAGAGAGATCACTCACATCATATTCATCGTTAGCCATGGTGGGTAAGTAGTATGTGAGCTAGTACGCTCTACAAAGAGTTTCGATGAGGAGATTCGACGTGGCCGACTGGAGGTCGCAGGAACTGTAAGGGACAGTGTGAGCAAATTAAGCCCTGAGGACGCAAGACGGTCAGTTCTAGAATCGATGGATAGCCATAGAGGCAGAAGAAACTGCGGAGAAAAAGCAAACTCACAGGAAAATTTCAGAAAGCAAGGTGGAAAGAAAGATAGGAGATATCCTGATGCCTCTGGGGATGGAGCGTCCTTGTCTCCCTACTGCTTCCCGTGCCTGTTGCTGTGCCGAGTGGACGCTGCCTATTCGGGATTAGTGGCGAATCACGTGCTAGTACCCTCTGCCTGTGCCAGTCACTACTGAGCTAGTAACCATAATTTGTATCAGAGGAGGGAACGAGGTTGAAAGTCTCCCATCTGTTGAACAGAAAGAGAGGTCCTTTCAGAAGCGACCTAGAAGGAAGGATCTCTTTTGATGTGTTCGTTGACATTTTCTGTTGAATTCCCTGTCGAAGCTTTCTCCCACATTTGATTCTCTGCTCAACGGTTTCAACTAGCCAAAGGAAAATCAAATAATTTACAGGCCATGAGACTTCAGAAAGTCAAGGTAGACTCGGTCACTTCGCCTTGACATCTGATTATCCAGATTGAACTACGTCAATCCTTCACCTGATCATTCTAATATCGAGTCTTTTGTCCTTCTATTCTCTCATTGCCGTCGCTCTATCTCGCTTTTGTATGCTCAGATGAGAAGGACCGCTTCAGTTTGATGTCGACATGAGCGACGATGATGATATATCGATTACGTCAACGGCACCCAGTGAACAGCAGTCTGAATATGAAGTGGAAACCATCTTTGCTGAGCTTGAATTTGATGATGGCATCAAATATTTGGTGAAGTGGGCCAATTACCCCATTGAACGATGCACATGGGAACCCGCCGACTCCTTTTGCGCTGAACAGACTTTGATCGACTGGAATAAGAAGAAAAAGGCAATTGCAGAAGGAAAGCGTCCAGCATTTGATCTTGTCAGGTTTGAAAATCATCTAGCTGCCCTTGAGAGGGCAAAACAAGACAGAAAGCAAAGAAGAGCCGCAAAGAGGAGACGTCTAGGGCTCGACCAACCCCAGCAAAGTCCTCCTGTTGTGGAGAGTCCTCCGAGTAATAACGTGCCTGTCCCAAGGATTTCTGATGGTACTGGCTCCAATGACTTCGAAGTCGACGGATCAAAGTCTTCGTCCGTTCAAACTCCGCAAACGAATGCGAACACAGGAAGTGCACAAGCTAAAGCTCAGCCACTTCCCAAAAGACCACCTCCCCCTATCTTATTCGGAACTGCCCCGGCTCCCACCCGCCCGAAAAGGATGAACAGTTCTGAGACGCCAAGGTTGTTCAATTTGTCGACGAGATGGAAGTACGAGAAGGCGAAAGCTTATGAGCCACCTCCTGATATGAACAAGCTCCAACTCATTCGGCCATCCGACTGGCCAGCCAGGACCGGGCTCGCCGCGACAAAGATAGGACTGCACAACGTCAGCTCACTCAGCGCGGAGAATGACTCCGGTACCGCTAAGCTCGGATCTCATAACGTGAGCTCACCCACACAGGATGGGCCAAGCTCAGCGAAGCTAGGTCCTCATGATGTTAGCTCGCCAAAGCAGGGTGACTTGCATAGCCTAAAGATTGGATTGCACAACGTTAGCTCATCGAAGCAATTCAATGCAAATCCAGTGAAACTAGGCTCGCACAGTGTGAGCTCTCCTAAGTCGGTTACTTCGGAGAGGCTAGGCACGCATAATGTCAGCTCGTCAAACGGAACCGATGACAGTGCATTGGATCCAGAATCGCATGATGTCGGTTCGCCAATGGACCTTGATTCGCATGATGGGGCTCAAGGCCAAATTGGCCAAACTCGAGGAAGTCGGGCTCTGAATTTACCGAAACGCGCAGTGTATGATACATACAAGCCGACTCACAGCGTGCCAGACACGTATAGGCCAGTGTACGGTGCGGATACGTGGAGACCAGGCCGACCACTGCCAGATACCTGGAGTCCAAGCCAACCTTCCGGTGGCAGCCTAAGGCCGAATACTAGCTCCCCAATCCATCGCCATGAACTCGAAGACTATCCGATACCCAAGCTTCCGACGAGGAAACCAAAACCAGGGGCCAAGTTCGCCAGAGTCAACCTCACTCCCTATTTCTGGAATCCTGGTGAGCTCCTTGTCTATCTTTATTATGGCCCAGACAAGAAAGAAATTGGTTCAGCCAGGCTATGTGGCCTCAGTGCAGAGAGTTGGGGCAGGCTCATGACTACCAAAAGGGGCGGTCGCATCAATATCTGGTTTCAACATACGTGCAACCTGGAAGAGTATAATATCCTATGTGCGACAGTAAGTCAACTTCTCAGACTCTTCTTCCCATTCACCTCTCTGAAGACTGCCAAATTTACTTCTTCTACCTTGCGGTCTGGTATTATTTACTTCCATCCCAGCGCTTATTGCTGACCGAGATGCAGACATCCAATCAGAAGTACTCTAATGGTTGGATAGAAGGGTTCGATGATACAGAGCCGAGCATCTACAGAATTGGGGAAGAACTTCGTCGTAACCAGCTGGTGGCCATATTATATCCAGATCCAGACAGCTGGAATCAAACTGTGTTACTTGCCTATTCCCCGAAGTCGTCAGACTTTGCGTTTCTCGATGCAGATTTCAGAAGCCCTGCAGGTGTTTTCCTAAATGTCGCAGTCCGAAGCCCGTTGCGATGGTTTGACATCATCACTGATTGGCGTGAAAGGAAACAACTTCATGCGGAGTCGCACAAGCCAATACCCCTAGCACAAACAAATTCTCAAGATGTTCCAGGCAGAGCTCGACCTTCCTGTGTTGTAGCTGCTCAACCTTGTTCTGTGAAGGCTTCGACTCCAGAAGTTATGAGACCTGTCAATGAAATATCCAAACTTCGCGTTCGAATTCCGGCGGACAACAGAGCCATGACACCAAAAGCACTTGAGGCATCAGACGTGACAACACAACTAGATGCAACACTTGACTCAGGCTCAACAAAAACAACTAGTGTAACCCCAAAGTTTTCAACACAACTCTCTGGCGCACAAAATTTGCAACCGGCACCTCAAAACACACCACGAGAATCAGAGCATGTGAATTTAGCTGCACAGGATCCCGCACAAGAAACTGACGCACTATTATCAACCTCGCAGGCTCCATTGCCAAAACACGGAAGTACGCAATCAGCACCCGAGGCCTCACCCACGAGCTCTGAGGCTCGAACAGCGCCGGAGGCAGAGCCTGGATTTCCTTTCCCCCTCAAACACGACGCGGGCATGGCGCAGTCTATCACAGATGATGTTAAATCGCCGCCACAATCAACTATTGAGAATACTGTTGATCTAGATGCGCTCTTCAAAGAACAATTTAGTGTCACCTATGATCTCCTGGCGACCGTGAACGATGTTGAGAAGCCTACGAAGGCTCAAGTGTTTTACTTGATGTTTCCCACCGAGTCCGAAGTAGTGCGGCAAGAGTACGAACTCATGCACGAGTTTCTGAAGAGGCACAATGCTGTGACCTATTCCAATCGCCTTCCGGAAGATTGGGAGAGATTTGCACGTACAATACATAAGGGAGTTGTCTTGGTCAGTCAGGAAGCACCATTCACTATTAATCCAACAGCTGTGCTGACTCGATGAAGGCTCATGAAAGCTTTATGAACTACCATGCCCTACCTTTCTTCAAGGAGCTGATCCATCGAAACGTCAGCTTCTGGAGCCTTTCTTTAACCAAGCCTCTACAATACGCTGACCACCCAACGTATTTCCAACGCGTATACCCTCACGGTGGTGTCATCTTAATCACAGAAGACTTCATGCTTAGGGAACCAGATGCTACGCTCATCATCCTGGCATGGCTAAAGGATTGGCTTAAGCAGAAATTCCCGGGGAGTTGGAAGATCATGTTCCGTCCAAATATCCTGAACTGGCTCCTGAAGCAACCTGAATCGAAGGATCCATTCAGGCAGGGAATGTAAGTCCCTTATCCAACCCTATCGCTTCTTCCCTTCTAACCGGATACCTCAGATGGTTGAGCATGTATTCTCTGATCCTTCAATTAAACACTCGCGTGGTAGGCTCAGAACAGATGGCTGGAAATATTCTCAGCAGCACCAGTGATGAGCACAACGAAGATCCTGTGATCTCACCCGACGCGATCCCGCTCTATGGGTCTCGCACTGAAGACGATGATGCGAGCATACCGAAAGGCCTCACACAGGAGCAAAGGAATACCGACCACCTTGGGGAATTTTTTGCTGGTTGGGCAATAGTAAACAACCACAGGTTCAGGCGCTTCGTCATGGTCACAGCAGTGAAACCACTACCGAGATGGGAAGCCTGGCAACATATTGAGATCAGATATAGTGCAAAAGATTTTCTGAGGGTCTTCAAGGTTGACTACAAGACGTACTGGGAGAAAGTGAGGCCTAGGCTAGGGAAACCAGGTCTATCGTCGGAGGCAAAGTCCCAAAACCAGAATTCTGCCTATACGCCTCGGACACCTGGAGCGAATGGTCCTTCAGCGGATGGGTTGGATGTTTCGAGGGTCGGTGGGTTTCCTCACGGCCCTTCCAGGCTGAAATACCCTCAACCGTACCAGTGAACTGAAAATGCTTTGCTTGTGCTCTATACCTAAGAAGGACTGGTTTCACGGTCTTGTTTTCATGCCCTTTGGTTCAAGGGCCGTTTGTCGCGTTAGATACCCATGTACTAGCATCATACAAAGTTTTACATCAAAAATCAAGAGAAGAATAGTCACTGCGATCAGAAGGACAATAAGAAGAAACAAGAGTGCTATCCTTCTCCAGAGTCCAGAATTCCCCAAACGCCGTACGAATTTAACTTAGGAACTCCAATCGCTCACCGCTTGTAGTTTGCATGGTCAAATCCTTGACCAGGTAAATATGGCGTGCCAGCATTAAAATAATCAAAACCCTCTCAGGTGACCGCAGGGTCACACAACATATTCCGCCTAAAATCCCGCTGCACGAGTCCGGTACTCTCGAAAATTGGCGATACTAGGTTGATTCTCAGTCCCTTGACCCTTTGCTTTCTTCTCTTTCTCGCTCTTCTCCTTCCGCGTTTTCTCCTCCCACTTGCTCTCCTCGGCTGCAATCAAGGAATGAAACCGACCGCCCTGGCCTCGGGCAAGGTATATCGGTTTCTCCTTACGATCTGCTACGGCCTCTGTAATGAGCACAAACTTGACGCTTGACCCGGGTGTCTCGAACATAGCATCGCTTAGAATATTTTCCATCTCCGTGCGGAGGGCACGTGCCCCGGTTCCCATTGTGAAGGCATTGGCGGCGACCTTGTGCAGGGCCGGGGTTGTGAAGCGAAGCTCGATGCCGGAGAGGGAGAAGAGGGTCGTGTATTGCGCCAGCAATGAGTTCCGGGGTTCTGTTAGAATTCGGACAAGTAAGGGTTGAGACAGTGCTGAAAGTGCAGCGGTGACCGGGATCCGGCCTACTAATTCTGGAATGAAGCCGTAGTTTTGCAAATCTGTAGGGTTGAGGAGGTCCAGGGCGTTGAAATAGGTTGGTTCACCATCTGGTGATGCGGGTGAAGCCGCTGTGAAGAATGGCAGGTGTTTCTTGTACAAGGCTTCTTCTTCGGATCCTGGTAGGATGGGAACAGGATGGTTGGCTGTAGTGCCGAGCGGATCTCCGGGTCGCCGAGTTGGACTCGACGGTGAGCGAACAGGTTGGCCGAATCCCATCGACCCATGTGATATCCGGTCCATGATGACCTTATGCAGCCCCACGAATGCGCCCGAGAATATAAATAGAATGTTATCAGTGCGCACGTTGTATGTTTCCCCTTTCTGGGGGGCGTTGCCTGTAGGAGATTGCGAGAATGGAGGGTTTCCTAACGGGCTGTTTGATGGATATGAGTTGGGGGTACCGCTTGTTCGGGGAGCATTCCTCTCCTGCTTCGCTTGAACTTGGACTGTTGAGCCCTCGATTATTTTCAGCAGTGCCTGCTGCACTCCTTCGCCACTGACATCTTTCCCATGGCTGACTTTTGCAGCCGCTATCTTGTCCACTTCATCCAGCACGATAATCCCTCGCTCGGCTTGCTCCACGTCGTAGTTCGCAGCCGCCAGAAGTCTGTGAACACATACCTCGGCATCCTCCCCAATATATCCTGCCTGCGTCAACGGCGTACAATCAGATATGCTGAATGGCACCGAGAGCACTCTCGCAAGTGTTTTGGCCATCAGTGTCTTGCCCACCCCGGACGGTCCTAGTAAGAGAATGTTGGATTTCTCCAATTGAAGTGGAGATGAATCGCTAAGAAGTGCTTCATCGGGATTGGACGTCGTTGACTTGGGGCTGGGAGGTGAATGAACGGTGCGTTGCTGGCCTGGAAACTCGTCTTTTTATTGTTTAGCTTGGTTTGAGAAGGATATAAGGGATGTATGGCATACCCTCTGCAGGATGATGCTCCAATGCTTCTCTACGGGCTCGCCTTGCTAGCAACTCCATGTTCTCCTCCTCCCTTCGTTGAAGCTCTTGTACTCGTTGGTAATGGTTGAACACAGCGACACTTAGTATTTTCTTTGCCCGATCTTGTCCAACGACAAACTGATCCAGATATTGTTTCAATGTCTTGGGTGTGATGCGAGGGGCTCCGAACGCCGGCGTAGACCCCAAAGGGCCAGCCGTTGGTAACCCAGCTTCATAGATGCCAGACCAAGGTTGGTTTGTAAAATCTGATCTATTGAACTGGGAAGATGTGGGGAAAGATTGAGCAGAGGATGAAAGACCGCGATTTGCTTGACAAGTCTGGCAGATAGCTACATGCCGATAACGGAGAAGGGAATCGCGATGTGCTCTTGAGGCACATTTAAGGCCATGAGCGCGAACAGGTAGCCGCAGCATCACCAGGCGCCAAGTTATCTAGGAAGATCTCAGGAGGAATTCCAAGGTATATAAGTGTACAGAGCAAGTGAAGTTTATGAGATCTGGCGAAGCACTGAGGAGGATGACGCTCATGACGGCAGATAAGACGATGGGGAATTGATAGCTTTCCCCGCAGCACGTGAGCGATGCATCGGCTGACGGTATCCGACGGGCCTGATCATTCTACCCAAGAAGAGAGAATCATGGAAACTGGAGATGGTAGCACATATGAGTCCAGGACGGAAAAGGAAAGATTCCTACACATGATCCAAAAAGTTGAAGTGAAGGTGAGGCGCATGTTTTAGACCGTGCTAAGGGGAAGCGACCCCATAGACCAGGCAAACCATGTTATGCATTTTCAGGATTATTCTGACACTATTTCTTGCCGTCATTAATCATTCTGTAAAACATATCTTGTTTGAGGTTGGCTAGAAAATGCCAATGCACGAATTCAAGATTCAACCAAATACCAGGAGTTTGGCGAACCCTCAAGTCTCTGGTGGAAGGTTTTCGTGATCTGAGAGTGAGATGCCATTCCCCTAGGCGATTCCAATACGATTATGAGCTCATGTGCACTATGGAACATGAGCAGCGCCCGCTTCGATGCAGCAGCACTTCCACCAACTGGTGTGATGAAAAGGCTTCCTCGCACGGCTCGATCCCGGTCCTTATAGGGCATGGACTCAATGACTGGCACAGAATCCAGTTTCTAGTGGAAGTTGATTGAGGCTGTCATCTGTACAGAACAGGACAAATGTGATTGGGGAAACACCTTCCCATAGTTTGGTAATCGAAGTGCGCTCATGGTTTCGCCTTGAAAGCGGGCTGCTGCTCCATGGTCTGTGAGATAAAGTTTCGCAATGCTGACCACCGATTCGAAGTGGAGTTGGTTTCATTCTTGGGCTCTGCTTCGGGTTGCACATTCGTTTGAATGCTCGACATCTGAGCCATATTCTTCGCGAATCGATCCCGTTCCAGCTTCTCCAGCTTCTGTCTGCGCTTCATCGCACCTGGCTTATGTTGCAAAGTTTTCTGCTTGATGATGTTCACTTGATTGCTGGGATCATTCATTTCCGTTTCTGTTTCAGGCAGTGCATCGGCAAGTGACTCGAGATTGGCAACGAGCTTCCTTGATGCGCGACGCCGCCTAGGGGCCTTTTTGGAGCTCTTTTCAATTTTCGATACAAAGCTGGCATGTTTGATCAAACGCTTATCTCTTTTTGTTGTTCGAAAGTCGTCTTCGAGATAGGCCGACTTGGTGGATGGAACGGCACCTTTTCCACCGGAGGTGGTGGTGACTGTCTTTTTGATCGGGCGAATCGGAGCCTTGAGATAGCATATCAGTTAGATTGAGACATAAACTGGGGTAACAAGAGCCTTACCATGTTGAAAGCAAGAGAATTGTGTATCCAAGAGTATCAAACAAGCTATGAGAAGTTACCTATCTTGATCGATGATCGATCATGGCAGCAGTATTCTTTTCTCCATGCTAATCCTGTTAGGGGCTAGTGTTGATAACCCCCATGTTCTCGATAAGCCCCTCATTCACCGCCCACATGATTACCTCAAACAGTGCGTGATTTTCCCCCTTTGAGTGCAACGTCAAGTGACCCCCGGTCTAGTCTAGTCCTACTACCAAATCGTTCGCCTCCGTCGTCTTTGGTTTGCCCCCAACAATACCTAAGGTAGTACTCCGTACCTTAATCACTACTGGCTTAGCCAACCAACGAGACGTACGGCTACATAGATAAGGTAAGGTAGGTACTTTCCATGCCGACCAAAAAATTGAACACTATCAACTTACGAAATTTTTGATTTCCCTTAGCACCCTAGCCGCCGACTCGGGACAAGGAAGATCCACAATCACGGGTACCAAACCCGCATTTCCATCTCGGACTTACATCAGAGAGCCACCACAAGGTCTCTGATTGAAAGATTCGCCATTCGCCTTGCAGAACTACATGGATGCTGTCTCCAGCGCGCCTTTTATCTCGTCGGACCTGCTTTCCTGAATCTCGTGCCACTGCGATCTTGCCTCGGTCCCCGGCCTCTCAGTTCCTATCCACTCGAATCATAAGTAAAATTTTGCCGCCGTCGATCAGTTCAAGGACTTTTAAACCGCTAGTTCTCAGTTCTGTTCGGTTCATATCTGGTAGCAGTATCAGATCTACATTCAACAATACAATCGAAGCATCCAAGATGGGCTCTCTAGCACCGCACCCCCGGAAGCACAAAGTCGCAGTAGTTGGCTCAGGGAACTGGTATGCTTATGATATACTGGGTGCTGTTCGAACGCGAAATGGGAAGCTGACTCCATGTTCTTGAATAGGGGCACTGCTATCGCTAAGATTGTCGCCGAGAATACCGCCAGCAATGACGCAATCTTCGAGAAAGATGTTCAAATGTGGGTATTCGAGGAGAAGGTTGAGATACCCAAGAATTCCCGGCACTACGACCCCTCTTCGCCCTTGTGTCAGGGTCCCCAGAATTTGACAGAGATAATCAACAAGACACATGAAAATGTCAAGTACCTACCCGGAATTGCCCTTCCTGAGAACATCCACGCCAACCCGTCTGTGGTAGATACCGTGAAAGACAGCACCATCCTCATCTTCAATCTCCCTCACCAATTCATCAACAAGACCTGTGAACAAATCAAGGGCAAAATTTTGCCCTATGCCCGCGGTATTTCCTGCATCAAGGGCGTCGACGTGACTGAGGAGGGCGTCAATCTGTTTTCTGAAACTATTGGCAAGACCCTAGGAATCTACTGCGGCGCGCTCTCTGGTGCGAACATCGCCAATGAGGTTGCCAAGGAGAAGTGGTGCGAGTCGAGCATCGCTTATGACCCCCCACACCTGGATTCTAAGGCCCCTTCTCCAAATCGGTCCCCCTCTGCATCCACTGTGGATGTAGTTCACTTTGAGCACAAGGACGTCTCCGGCCAGCTTTCACAGGTTAAACTGCAGCCACTGCCGTCCGAATACCCTCCCGTTGACCACACCATCCTGAAGACCCTCTTCCATCGCCCCTATTTCCACATTAGGGTAGTGAGTGACGTTGCGGGAGTCTCCCTGGGGGGTGCTCTGAAGAACATTGTCGCTCTCGCTGCAGGATGGGTGGATGGCATGGGCTGGGGCGATAACGCCAAAGCTGCAATCATGCGTGTCGGCCTGCTTGAAATGGTCAAGTTCGGTGAAAAATTCTTTGGTGCTACTGTCGACACGAGGACTTTCACCGAGGAGAGTGCAGGGGTCGCTGATTTGATCACCAGCTGCAGCGGCGGGCGTAATTTCCGCTGCGCCAAACTCAGCGTTGAAAGGAACCAGCCCATCGAGAAAATTGAGGAGACGGAGCTCAATGGCCAGAAGCTTCAGGGTACCTTGACCGCCGTTGATGTGAACAAGTTTCTGAAGAAGCAAGGTCTTGAGGATGAATTTCCCTTGTTCACTGCTGTTTATCGTAAGAGCCCCTCTGTGTGTGTCCCGCTTTGTTTGTGCGCAATTGCTGACCCGGTGGTAGGCATTCTGGAGGGCTCCATGTCTGTTGACGCTATTCCATCTTATATTGAGCGGTAAATAGGACCTGATGGCATATTTTTCCTTTGTGGTCATTGTTGATTAACTGGATGTTTCTCTTTCTTTGTGACAGCAAACCGAATTCGACTTCGGTACCTAACGGAGTGGATGGGGTCAACGGTGGTGGCGCCAGTCAGGCCGTCATGTCCAGGTTATAAGAGCCTGCGTTTCAGGAACATGGTAAATAATGATAAGGCATTGTTTGGTCTGTTAATAATTTGTCACAGTCTTATTCAGCGCATAGAACAGATGAAACTTTGAGCGTAGAAAGCAATGAGATTCGTTCGCGTTCGATTCCACTTCCCTGACTTGGAAACTTGAAATCTCATCAGTGGCTTTATGATATTATGACACAGAATCGTATAAAGCGCTCGTTTTCCAGTAAAATTCCCAAACGAGTATCTATCTATGGGTGAGATGGATCTGTGTCGAGGGGGCCCGTGGATTGAGTTGTTTTGTTCCAGACCCTGTGGCTTGACTGTTTCCCCCCGCTGCCAGGAAATAGTTGATGCATGATGTCACACGGCCCGCGGGGCTTGGGTGACATTCAGATTTCGGGGACATCCGTGGAATCGTTGATAACCTGCACCCATCCTTTCTCCTCCAATTGACTTTCCACTTGTATCTCTTTCCACTTGTCCGTTACTATTGTCTGTTTGCGGTGACTCCTTCGGTGGCTTCTGGCGAGTCATCAACACAAGTCGGTACGCCGACATTCTCTCTACAGGCCAACATCGGAGGCTTCTCGACGGAGCGAACTGTTCTGTTAGGATATTCGGGATCAAAAAAGCGGTCTCGAAGTGACTGTCAGAAGCAATGTCCTCTCCGCGGCAGGTTTACCTGCTCCCTTTGAAAGATGATGGCTCTCCTGATGTGCCTGGGGGATACATATATCTCCCACCGCCCAGTGATCCTGCATATCTATTACGCTTCGTGATTGAGGGCAGCAGTTCGATTTGCAGGGAGGGAACACTATGGGTGAACATCCCAGAGAGTGGCAAGCCATTCGATCGCTTGGTATTTCGGAGCTTCAGGTCAGAGCGATACCCGGCCAGAAAAGGAAGCCAGTCAGATGCCTAATTGTATTGCAGATTGGAGCCAGATTTCAACAAGAACATCCAGATCGATATTCCTATTACCTGCCCTGGATCCTTTTCATTCTATACCACATTCTCACCCCTGCCTCAATTCTCTGTCGACCCTGTTCCGGCCCCTGAACCAGCAAGGACGCCTACTTACTACGTCGATGTCGCACCGAGGTTGACCCTTCGTGGTAAAGATTTGCCTCTCAATGCGCTCTCTATATTCTCCGTGTTGTCCAAATTCATGGGCAAATATCCCGCCGATTGGAACAGACATCTGAATGGCATCAGTCAGCGCAACTACAATATGGTGCACTTTACACCGTTGATGGAGCGCGGAGCCTCAAACTCCCCGTATAGTATCTTTGACCAGTTGCACTTCGACAAAGCTGCTTTTCCCAACGGGGAGGCAGATATTGCACAAATGGTCTCGAAAATGGAGAATGAATACGGGCTTTTGTCATTGACCGATGTTGTGTGGAATCACACTGCTCATAATAGCAAGTGGCTCGAGGAACATCCAGAGGCTGGTTATAGCGTGGAGACTGCACCATGGCTTGAGGCAGCTTTAGAACTAGACACCGCTCTATTGAAATTCGGCCGGGACCTTGAGAAACTAGGCTTGCCCACTGAATTCAAGACCGTGAATGACTTGTTGACAGTCATGAACGCATTACGAGAGAAGGTGATCAGCGGCATCCGACTCTGGGAGTACTATGTTGTTGATGTCAAAGCCGACACTGGGGAGATCCTAGAAAACTGGAAAGCTGCTGGGTTGAAAGATCCCGCATCTGAGAAATATGCGCAACTGGATATCAACGGATTCAAAGATTGGCCTTTGAAGAAGCAGGCAGATCTCATACGTCAACGTGCCATTCCTACGATCAAGCAGGTTTTGGGACGGTTCAGCAGAGCGGTTGACTCCGAATTCGGATCTCTCATCTTGACTGCTCTCTTCGGAAAATATGACTCTTCGAACTCTGATATTGCCTTGGTTGAGAAGGCGCTGGCAACGATACTGGATGAGGTCAATCTGCCATTTTACGAGGAGTACAATACAGATGTATCTGAAATTATGAATCAGCTATTTAACCGAATCAAGTACCTCAGGATTGACGATCATGGTCCGAAGCTTGGGCCTGTCACGGACGAAAATCCTTTGATTGAATCTTACTTCACCAGGCTACCTCTCAATGATATCACAAAGAAGCATAGCCCCAAAGCACTAGCCCTTGTGAACAACGGCTGGATCTGGAATGCGGATGCTATGCGGGATAATGCTGGCCCTGATTCAAGAGCCTATTTGCGCCGCGAAGTCATTGTTTGGGGCGATTGTGTCAAGCTCAGATATGGCTCATCTCCCGAGGACAATCCTTTCCTTTGGGACTATATGACCAAGTACACCCGCCTCATGGCCAAATACTTCTCCGGCTTCCGGATCGATAACTGCCACTCAACACCGCTGGCAGTTGCAGAATATTTATTGGATGAGGCGCGCAAAGTCCGACCAAATCTTACAGTCTTTGCCGAGCTTTTTACGGGATCCGAAGAAGCGGACTATATCTTTGTTAAGCGTCTCGGTATAAATGCTCTGATTCGGGAGGCTATGCAAGCCTGGAGTACCGGGGAGCTGAGTCGGTTGGTCCATCGTCATGGCGGCCGTCCCATAGGCAGTTTCGATGTTGAGTTGCCTTCAGCGGGAAGCAGTCATGCGATTGCTTCCGCCGGGGTCCACCGAAATCAAGAAAAGATCTCTCATATCCGGCCCTGTCCTGTTCAAGCGCTTTTCATGGACTGTACACATGATAACGAAACACCAGCACAGAAACGTGATGCAAGAGACACATTACCGAATGCTGCTCTGGTTTCAATGTGCGCCTCCGCCGTCGGAAGCGTCATGGGCTATGACGAGATATATCCCAAACTTGTGGACCTTGTTCACGAAAAGCGGCTATACTTTTCGGAGTTCTCGGAATCGGCCGAGGTTCATCGTGACTGTGAAAGCGGCGGAATTGGGGGTGTCAAGAAGCTGTTGAATGAACTTCACACGATGATGGGAGTGGAGGGATATGATGAAACGCATATTCACCATGACGGAGAATACATCACCGTTCACAGAGTGCATCCCAGAACGCGCAGAGGAATTTTCTTGATCGCTCACACTGCTTTTCCGGGGCATAGTAGCAATGCCGTTCTTACGCCCACTCATCTCGTTGGAACACAGGCCAAGCATATAGGAACCTGGAACTTGAAAGTGGACTCGAGCGATAGCATCAAAGCAGAGATCCTAGCGGATAAGGATCACCTGCGAGGGCTGCCTAGTCGGATTCGAAAATTTGAAGGCACAAAGGCCGAGCAGCAAGGCAATGACATCATTATTTCAGTTCTCGATACGTTCGCTCCGGGATCTATTGCGCTCTTTGAGACATCTATCGCGAAGGCTGAACACGCTGCAGGGTTGGAAAACCACATCACTCAGGGAGCAGATGAAGCATTTGCAGATCTTAGTCTGATCGATCTCAATTTCGTCCTTTACCGCTGCGAGGCGGAAGAAAGGGATTCGAGCGGAGGCCAGGACGGAGTCTACAACGTCCCCAACCATGGTCCGTTGGTCTACGCCGGTCTTCAGGGATGGTGGAGCATTCTGGAAGATATCATCAAGTACAACGCACTAGGCCATCCTCTTTGCGATCATCTCCGTCAAGGCCAGTGGGCTCTCGATTTCATCGTCGGACGCATGGAAACAGCGGCAAAGAAGGAAGGATACACTTCAATGGAGAAGCCTGCTAAATGGTTGCAAGAGAAGTTTCAGGCGGTCCGAGATCTACCAAGCTTTCTGTTACCGAGATACTTCGGTATCATTGTCCAGGTGGCATACAATGCTGCTTGGAAGCGTGGCATTCAGTTGCTGGGATCCAATGTACGACAGGGACAGGAATTCATCCATCAACTGGGCATGGTCAGTGTGCAGGTAACTGGATATGTCAAATCCGCATCTTTGTGGCCTACAAAGACCGTTCCCAGTCTTGCGGCTGGTCTTCCGCACTTTGCAGTGGATTGGGCGAGATGCTGGGGCCGTGACATCTTCATATCCCTTCGAGGCCTCTTGCTCTGCACCGGCCGCTTTGATGACGCCAAAGAGCATATCCTTGCGTTTGCTAGTGTGCTCAAGCACGGCATGATCCCCAACCTCCTAAGTAGTGGCAAACTACCGCGGTACAATTCTCGAGACTCCGTGTGGTTCTTCCTTCAGGCCATTCAGGACTACACAAAGATGTCACCCGACGGCATCGAAATCCTGAACGAGAAGGTTGCCAGACGATTCTTGCCTTATGACGATACCTGGTTTGCGTTTGATGATCCCAGGGCATATTCAAAGAACTCAACTATATCGGAGGTTATTCAAGAAGTGTTCCAGCGACACGCGCAAGGATTGTCATTCCGAGAGCACAACGCAGGGCCTAATCTTGACATGCAAATGAAGCCGGAAGGCTTCCAGATCGATGTCAAAGTCGATTGGGAGACGGGAATAATCTTCGGTGGTAGTCAGCACAACTGCGGTACGTGGCAAGACAAGATGGGAGAAAGCGAGAAGGCCGGGAACAAAGGCGTGCCTGGTACACCTCGCGATGGTGCCGCGATCGAGATCACTGGACTGCTCTATAGCGCTTTGACTTGGATTGCCGGCCTGCATGAGCGCGGACTCTACCCACACGACAAGGTTGACATTGCGGAAGGGAGGTCAATTACTTTCAAGGAATGGGCGGCGAAGATCAAGCAGAACTTCGAACGCTGCTATTACGTCCCAGAAAATTCCGAGGAAGACGGCCAGTACGATATTGACCCCAGCATTGTCAATCGCCGGGGTATCTATAAGGATCTCTACAGATCCGGCAAGCCGTATGAAGACTATCAGCTCCGCGCCAATTTCCCCATTGCCATGACCGTTTCTCCAGACCTTTTCACACCGTCAAAAGCGTTGGGCGCTCTGGCTCTTGCAGACTCGGTCATTGTCGGCCCCATCGGCGTCGCTACTCTGGATCCATCCGATCTCAACTACCATCCCAATTACTACAACTCGGAAGACTCAGAGAACTTCGCAACCGCCAAGGGTAGGAACTACCACCAGGGACCCGAATGGGTCTGGCAGCGGGGATTCTTCCTTCGTGCTTTCCTGCACTTTGACCTTGCGCGCCGGAAGACAGCAGAGGAACGGACTGAGGCGTATCAACAAGTCACTCGACGCCTAGAGGGTTGCAAGCGCGCGCTGAGAGAGAGCCCATGGAAGGGACTCACAGAGCTTACAAACAAGAATGGGGCTCATTGTGCAGACTCTGTAAGTCGTTTTTCATACCTTCGACATTTTTCATCCCACAAATGCTAACAGAATTCTGTGACAGTCTCCCACTCAGTCTTGGTCGGCAGGATGCTTACTTGACCTATATTATGACGCATCCAGACATTCTTGAGACATTTTGTGAAAGAAGCTTGGATGTTGGTGATTGTTGAAGAGGATCGGATATAAGGCTTGCATATTAGAAGTAGACCGAACTTATGATATCCATATACTACTCCGTATATCGTCGTATTATTCGATCGTGAAAGTTGTGCATTACTTATGTGCATATCATTTGCTGAGTAAGTGATCTGCACAACTCATCATCTCCACTAGTACAACTTTAGCGATCGCCTGGTTTGAGCTTAAAGAAAGAAGCCCAACACACTTTAAGATCTCATGATCCTCGACACGGCAGCTAAGAAACAAGGCGACTACTCCTCAGTCCTTATTGACCTGCATTGATTTTCTGCAGAGCGATTGCATCCCTAGCGAGTCTGCAACATTGTGCTCGATACGAAACTCCACCCCTGACGTCAGTTGGTCTTTGCCCGAACCACGTCTGCTGGGACACACTCGCGTGCCGTATGTATTCGTGAGAGCCACAATTGACACAGAAGTTCAGCACAGGCCTGGTGCACCTTGAGAGCCATGTCTCTCACAGAGTCCGCTGCGACGGCTCTGGCAACGGTCGCAGCAGCAACGGCAGTTGAGACCGGGGACCATGGGCGGAAATGGACGGATCAGACGAAGAACCAGCGGGATATATACACGCAGCTTGTTATAAGTCTTGCGCTAGGGCTCAGCGCATTCATGTCCTTTTGTGTATGTTGAATTATTCCTTGCGTCTAGATTACTTACTAACAGAGCATTGCGAACAGATTTTACGACCGAAGTGGAGGGAGCTGTATGCTGCGCGGAGACGACACCGCTGCGCCGCTTCTCACTTACCCGAACTCCCTGACACCTTCTTTGGCTGGATACCGGTTCTGTTTCGGATAACGGAGGAGCAAGTACTCGATTCTGCGGGGCTGGATGCATTCGTCGTAAGTGCGCTACTGGTTTTGCATATCCGGTGTTTATGGCTAACGGAGGACCGCCGAGATAGTTTCTCTCGTTCTTCAAATTTGCAATCCGGTTCCTTAGCGCTGTCTTCGTATTCGCAGTCATTATTATCGGCCCTATTCATTTCAAATATACCGGCAAATATGGGATACCGGGTTGGGATCATGAAGATGGCGACGACGGGAAGGAAGGGAAAAAGAAGCTGATTTCGGACCCGAACTATTTGTGGATGTATGTGGTCTTTGCATATATCTTCAGTGGTCTGGCGATATACATGCTTCTCCAGGAGACGAACAAGATCATCAGTATCCGACAAAAGTATCTTGGCAGTCAGACCAGTACAACAGATCGGACTATCCGTCTTTCAGGCATACCCAAGGAATTGGCGTCTGAAGAGAAGATCAAGGACTTTATGGAAGGTTTGCGCGTTGGAAAAGTGGAGAGCGTCACTTTGTGCCGCGACTGGCGCGAGCTTGATCGCCTGATTGACGAACGCTTAAAGATCTTGCGGAATTTAGAATGGGCCTGGACCAAACACCTGGGGTATAAACGACCGAAAACTTCCGGAAACTCGATTTCTTTGATGCGCCAGCAACCTCAAGGTTCCAGTCTGCTGTCGGATGGAGATAGCGAGCGGACTCAGCTTCTTTCGGAAAGTGGAAGGGAACATATCTCTGAACATGTTCAGAAGCGACCAACGATCCGACTTTGGTACGGGCCGCTGAAGTTGAGGTACCGTAGTGTCGACGCGATTGATTACTACGAGGAAAAGCTTCGACGGATAGACGAGAAGATCCAGGCTGCTCGTGAAAAGGAATACCCGCCCACGGAGATGGCTTTCGTGACAATGGAATCTATCGCTTCCTCTCAGATGGTCGTTCAAGCGATTCTTGATCCGCATCCTATGCAACTGTTCGCAAGGCTGGCACCAGCTCCAGCGGATGTTGTGTGGAAGAACACATATGTTCCTCGCTCCAGACGGATGATGCAGTCATGGTTCATTACAGGGGTCATTGGCTTTCTGACTGTTTTCTGGTCGGTGCTTTTGATTCCCGTCGCTTATCTGCTTGAACTCGAGACCTTGCACAAGGTGTTTCCTCAACTTGCTGACGCTCTGGCTCGAAACCCTATCGCGAGTTCGCTTGTGCAGACAGGTCTTCCAACCTTGGTCCTCTCGCTGTTGACGGTTGCCGTCCCTTACCTGTACAATTGTATGTTGACTCTTTCCCTAGCAGTTGACTACTTGTTTGGCTGACCATATTTACAGGGCTTTCGAACCAACAGGGCATGATGTCGCGGGGCGATATTGAGCTCTCTGTCATATCGAAGAACTTCTTCTTCTCATTCTTCAACCTCTTCCTTATTTTCACTGTTTTCGGTACTGCGACAACCTTTTACCAGTTTTGGGAAATACTTCGAGACGCTTTCAAGGATGCAACCGCCATCGCATTTGCCTTGGCCAAGTCTCTTGAGTCTTTCGCACCTTTTTACATCAACCTGATCGTTCTACAAGGTCTGGGGCTATTTCCCTTCCGGCTCCTGGAGTTCGGAAGTGTTGCAATGTACCCCATCAACTTCCTCAGTGCCAAAACACCGCGTGATTATGCTGAGCTGCAAACGCCCCCGACATTCAGCTATGGGTACTCCATTCCGCAGACAATCCTCATTTTGATCATTTGCGTGGTGTATAGTGTTTTCCCAAGGTCTTGGCTGATCTGCCTTTTCGGGCTGGTTTACTTTACTATCGGCAAGTTCATTTACAAATACCAGCTACTGTATGCTATGGATCACCAGCAACATTCTACCGGACGAGCTTGGCCGATGATCTGCAGTCGAGTGTTTTTGGGCTTGATTGTCTTCCAGCTGGCCGTGATTGGCGTACTCGCTCTGCGCAGAGCAATAACTCGGTCGTTGTTGCTCTTGCCCCTTCTTGGGGTCACTCTCTGGTTCAGCTACTTTTTCGCGCAGCACTACGAACCCTTGATGAAGTTTATTGCATTGAAGAGCATCGATCGCGACCGTCCTGGGGGTGGCGATATCTCCCCTTCCCCGTCGTCAACCTTCTCGCCTCCTTCTGGTCTTGACCGTGACGCCCTTCCTATACAGATCGGTGGGCAACAGCTTGGCCTGAGGTTGAAGAAGTATGTGAATCCGAGTCTCATTTTACCTCTGCATGAAGCGTGGCTTCCAGGACACTCTTCAGCTCGTGGATATCAGGGAGTTTTTGAGGCGCATGAGCCACCTAACGACAATGGCTCCGCGGTCTAAAACACTGCGACTCAGTCAAGCCATGTCGAGCCTTCATGTTCGACGCGGACTCCCATCAACTCATCTAGGCAGTATGACTGCCAGGCTTTCGTTTCTTCTCTTGCATTTATAGATGCCATACCATATGTAATGTTCACAGTACTCACCCAGCTCTTTCCTGATTTGTTGCAGTTTCCATGAATTCATGATGAATGACCGCGATACCTTTCTGTGAGATTATGGACGCTCTGATGATTTTCTGGTGGCTCTTCTGGAACGCACTCGTTATGCAAGACCCATCCTTTAATGTTGCTTTTGCTGTTTTCCAACCCTGCTATGCTGACTGCAGCGATTCGCTCCTTATGCACACTATTTAAATAACTGAACTGTATTTGTCATTCTTCATTCACATTGACCACATGCTTTTATCACCTACTGTTATCATTGCATGTCTGACAGCTCTTAGACCATTTCGGTCGAGGCCCATTGCACTGTCTGTTACTCTTTCATCGGAGGTTCTCAGAATAGCCATTTAGACTAGATGTGATATTACCACTCAAACCCCATGTGAAGAGCTATACCAATGTAAAGGCTTTGAGGAAGGACGCTACCTACACTGCCACGTGTACCTTCTCGTTCCGAAGAATGATGACGGCAGATGAGCTGAAGTTTGAACATGAAGTCTTAATAAGACGTAGTCGACTGTCAGCATTCCATACCCCAAAAAGGGCACGGAATACGACCAGCTACATTTGAATATCTTGGAACATTCCTCGGAGACGCACATGCTTTGGCTTTTGACTCTCCGTCCGACATCCACCAGTGTAGTGAGACACCGCTCCAGGCTATCTTAGACAGGTTTTAGGCAATGCAGATATTGAATGTTGTCAATTGCCACATCCCCTGGGGCTTCTACAAGGGGAATCTTCGTTGAGCGCAAGTACCTGCCTGCGCAGTGAGTAAAACAGGTAGGAATAGAGTGGCCCGAATCTTTCAGAATCTATATGCATAAGCGATGAGGACGCAGACGCCAGCAGGTTCATGCGATGTTCCGGCATTAGTCTAAAGTACATATCGTCTAGACCGTGAGGGCGCAGATAAGACAGGGGGCACATTATTCAGTTGGATAATGCAAAAGAACAACAGTCATTGGCTTGTGGCATGGCTGGCAAGACTGGAATCGAGTTTCAGTCTCGCATTGCTCGAATCTCAATTATAACTGTCTTCGATGTTGTCTACCGTCTACGCAAATGCCTGAAGTCCTAGGCACCGCGGAGGGCACGTGGACAAGCCCCCAAGGAATCTGAGAATTCGAGAACCATCGCTGCAATACTGGGATGTATTATTGACTCTGTTCTAGAATACGCCAAATGTGATCAAGTGATCGAAACGATGGTTCCGGGTCTCAGGATAGTGTCCAGACGAACTCGTTCTGGACCATTATTGTCTTGACCTCAACAGGCGCCAGTGCCTTCCAGCACCATGCGCATGCGACCGTCCGATTCTACGCTTTGCATTCCTCGGCTATTTCTCGCACTTTGATAGCACGCTGGGTGGTCAGCATTGATTTGCCATTTCGCGATTTGTGACCCCTGAACCAGATATTGATGGCTCATCGGAGCATACCAGCAAATCATCTCGCTTATGTGCCAGTCTTGTTCGAAGATGGTGCTTTCCATCAATCTTTCTGGCCTGTCAGGTAAGCTGATTAGCTGAGATTGAAGGAACTGGTTGAGATACGTGCAGGTAGATATGGGCAATCGACGTTGACCTGATTTTCGCCTCCCCTCATCCAGTGAGACCCGCTCAGGATCGTCCCAGCCTTCCAGTTGGCTTTCCCGCCTATCTGAGTTTAGACATTTGCCCAGTGCCCGGGCCGTTCTGGATTCGCCCCCCAGAAACCTCTTCCATGATTCATCCAAAGCTTCCGTGGGATGGGCAATGCCGCCCCAAAGTTCAAGGCCCAATTACGCAGAATTTGAGTCGCCGTCCTCGACATAGGTCGAAATTCATGAGGGTAATCATGGACTGACTGGCTCCAACTATGTGGATTATCACACAATGGGTGCTCCACTTCTCCAGCACTGGCTGGTTCGTTGATGAATATCAGACAATACTATGGTGACTATCTAGACATGCCGTATGCTCATTGCTTGTTGGTGTTCTAGAGGCCTGGCGCCGACGTCAGAACGGTCACCTCGGGAGATATTTATGCCCATCCATGGTCCTCGGATGGCGAACAGTAGAAATCTTATCTACCACGTTTGTGCAGATATTTTGGATTTGCCTCTTATACTCAGCTCTGGTCTCAGCTTCCTTTGCTTGACAACCGGCCTCAATTGTCTTATCTTATCGTCATAGTGTAGAGCATTGGCCTGCCTGTTCGACTTCCACCGGTCTTCACTTGTAGGAAGGACTTGGGCCTGTTGCCACCTGGTGGAAGGGTCAGCGCTTGCTAAACCGTTTTGAGAGAGGGCAGTCCTGGCAAGATAAAGCAAAAAAAGGTACTGAGCTTCCTACATACAGCCTTTTATGCAATGACCCTTTTGCACTTAAGGGCACTGGTGCTAACATTGGGTCTCGAAGTGCAACAGCTGTGAAGCCTCGCTTGCCACCTCATTCTCAACATTCGATATCAGCAATTGAATTGTGATCAATCAAAAATCTGTCAACGACTCCAATTCCGGGTCGTGAAAAGGCAGCATTTCATTTCCGGGCTCCAGCACTCCACCGCAATAGTCGCACGTCCCCGGCTTGGACCAGCATCAGAGAGAATGGTAATGGTCTGTCACACATCTCCAAGCTTAGCCGCTGCAGAAGCCGTATCTGAATCAAGGTCAAAAATGGCATCAGCAAACCTCTCCCGCCCTGCAGCAAACATCACGCCGCCAGAGATTCTGCTGCAAATATTTTATATGCTTAGTCCACGAGACTTTGACAATGCTCGGCGAACGTGCTCTCAATGGATGCGTGTCAGCCTCAATAAGCATTTGCTGGAGAGCATGCTCAAGCGGGCAGGCTGGTGGGACGCCTGGCAACAGGACTGCGACAGTTACCGCATCGATTCTTCTGCAAGCGAACAGAGTCTGGTGTGGAGAATGAGCAGAAGATTCGCTACTGAATGTATCTTGTCTGGTCGCAAATCTAATGTGGAAAGAGTCGGCTTTTTGACAACGGGGGTCGTTGATTTCTCTCGACTTTCTCGGGGACAGTCTCTCCTGAAACACCGGGTCTCTGCTCCCCATTCAGCTGCTGGCACCGTCATGAATTTTGATATGAGACCACTGGCCACGTCTAAATTTCATGTCAGCAATTGTGCCAACTATCTACTCGTTACCTCCGGCCACATGATATACGTTTATCATCTACTCTCTCGGAAATCTGGAAGCGTCCTGCCCACAACGATGGAGGTTTTGACAGATTTGGATATTGCTCCAGTTGCAAGCATCATCTGTCCTGTTGAGGTGATATCAGCTAGTATCGACACTAGCACTCCGAAGATTGTGGTCGCGGCATTGCTACGTGAGCGTCTGGGATTCGTTTGCGACTTGAAGGCATTGGATGAGCATTCATCTGTTCTACCAGACACTATGCGAACTTTGGATCCATCATGTATCCACTATTTTCGTAATATCTGCTCCCCAGAGGATCCTCCCCGCAGTGTCTCGATTTGTCCGGGGCGTCGATGCGTTGCTTTTGGCTCCGGTGCTTGCATCGAGTTGCATTGGGTTGACGAGAAGACAAAACAGAATCAGCGAAAGCGATTTCCCATGTCGCAACCATCGGAGATACTACACTTTCTTCCCCATCGGCCGGATGCACCCATGGAATTGCGGCTCATCTCATCACTGGCTGGACCAGGGATGCCGGGTTGCGAGTGCCACAAAGCATCGTACGGGGAAAGGCGTGCCCCTTGTCAGTTTCACCTTCTGACTGACGTACAATCTTTCACTCGATGGACTCCTTCGAACAACAACAGCAGTCTGAGTGTAGTGAGGGCAACCCATTGTCACCATTATCGAGCTGTCCCGATCAACGATGGATTGCATATCTTGTTCATTGAGCCCCGCACAGGTCTACTCTGTATCGGCTCTGACGCTCCTATCGGTGGACCTACAAGCTTAACACGGGCACTCGTCTGTGTTCCACCGTTTGAGAAGGATTCCTTAAATGTTTCTAAGGATGGTTTGGCTCCTACAGTCTTCGCTTCAGGATGGAATCTGGACTGGGGATTGCGTGTGGTCGCTGCATATGGCGATCGGATCGTACTGTATTCGGTGCCTGTAGATGTCTACAATGTCATCCGGAAAGAGCGTGAGAGACAAGGAGACGGTGTCATGGGCGACAGTGATCTAGCGAGGGACTTTTTCCTCGACAATTCGCGGTCAGGCAAGCGACGGGAAAGTCTTGTGCAAAACCAGAACGGCGACTGGGAGTTCCTTCTCAGTGTCAGCTGGCGACCGACAGTGATGATGTGGCCATTCAAGATCTATGGCAAGGAGATTGCACGTATGGAAAACGTGGTTGAACTGGCTCTTCAGTCTGCCTCTGGAGGTGCGCGAATCTGGGCCTTTAGTGCTTCCGGTGAAACAAACATCATCGACATCGACACCTTCAGTTCGGGCAATCAACGGAGTTCCGGCATCCCTTGCAAGTCATTGACCATCGATGCTGATGGCAATATCGCCTCGGCTCAATGGGTGGACAGGACCGACTCCGGGCTGTTGACATCACAATCCTCGCGCAAGCGCAAATCATCTGATTTTCGGGATGACTTTGGTGGTCAGCAGTCTGCCATTTGTCGAATACCACGTTTCTTGCATGAGGGATACGTTCCCACGAACAACGTTCTGCCCCCAGCGTTTCCCAGCCCTGCTGCACGCCGCCCATCCTTCGCTGCGTGCATCGTGGATTTCAAGATTCCAGAGTTGGGCCCTCGCGAAGGTACCTGGGTGGACGGTGCTTGTGCTTAAGGAGTTCGACTTAGAACATTCAGTGTGTGGATTGATTTTACTTCTTTGTGGAATATAACATAGCGCGGCGCAGGCATATTGGTCTATAATCTATACCCGGGTTACTGTCTATACTCAGGAAAGAGCATCGGCGTCTGCCTCACTCGATTCATTCTTAGGAGTTTGCAATGCTTTGAATAATCTGCTACGAGTCATGATTACCCTGAGTTCAGCTATTCTTTCCCCTTTCTGTCTATATAGAAACACTAGGTATTTTGGTATACAACTCGCGATTGTATCTTAGTCATACCGTCTTTTGTCTGATTTCATCGAAGGACTACATTCGTCGGACAGCGTGCAGATGGTCTTCAATCTGTCTCCGGCTCTCTCATCATTGTTTCGTCGACCACCCCACTCTGGAGGAGGCAAATTCTATTAACTGTGCGGCAATTGTGCCATGTATCTTGATCTTATCTTATATCCATTTCTAGAATCGGGATCCTCTGCATCAATTTGCAGACTGGCGCCGTGGTCCCGACAGGTACCAGATATTATGGATCAGCTTATACAGCCTGGTTTTCCATCAACAACATCCCAAGGAGCTGCAAGTTACAGGCCCATTAATCTGCTGTAGCTGCGGGCAACATCTTGTATGCCGCCTGGTGGATGCTCAGAGCGTCTTCTTCGCCCCATTCTTCTCAACCAACGGTCTCTGCTGAACAGCGAAAGCACCCGCTGTGGCCTTGAAACTCCTATACAAAAGGACTAATATAGAGAACCATCAGCCAAACGTCCCCCAGACGAAGCAAGCTACATATTCCGCAAGGGATATGTAGAAAAAAAACTCACCCAATGGAACCACAATCCAAAACGCATTACAAAACACAAAATATCCCCAGAAATAATACCGCTCGGGACGCGAGTAAGCCACCCCGAAAACCTCATGCCCGAACCAGCTCGTCGCATAGTATAGCACGTCGCCGTACAGCTGGCCCAGCGAGACAACTATTTGCAAGGGATGGCGCAGGACATGGTCCCTTACGATGCACACGGCGGTTATCAGGGAAAGAGGACCCCAGCAGACCGCCGTGATGGTCTCCATGCACAGCACGAAGGCGTCGGGGGAGAGATACCGGCTGTCCGAGAGGGAGTATTCCTTCCACAGTTGGCCGAGGAGGTCCGTTCTGCTGCCCATGGTGCGGAAGCTGTACGCGTAGGAGCCTTCGAGGATGAGGTGGATGGCGCTGCCTGGTGTTTTATCAGAGGGATTTGATGACTGTGTCAGGTGAGAGAAAGAAGGGGAGGCTCTTACATAGGACGAACCACTGCGTTGTCCAAAGATCGGCAGATGAGATCCGGGGTCTGGCGCGGATGACGGCGAGGTATGTCATCACGAAGATCGCGAGGCAGGTGCCTGCGAAGATGGAGATGAGGGCCAGGTCATATATGTAAGACACTAAAATGTCAGGGGTCTGGAGCACAGTAAAATTGGTCTGATTGACGCCTAGTTAGCTCGTTAGGCATCCGCATTTACCTTCATCGAGAATTTCTGCAAGATCTCGCTGTTCAATGGCGAAACCACGCTTTTCCTTGCCAACTCCAAGGAAAGACGGCGCAGTAGTACGTATGGAATCATCAATGCCCGAAAAGGAAGCAGGGTAATGCCGCAAAAACTGAAAATGGAAGATACCTATATACGCGTCGGGTGACGGCGCACACCGAACTCCTGAAGAGAACATCAGGGATGAATATCTGAGACCGGCATCTTCTGTTTACAAGCGTTCCTTTGTATCTACTGAGCCTCGTCGCAAGCCATCATCATGATAGTAACGCAGTACGAGGGCGTAGGCGCAAATTACAACGACACCGCCCTTATCCACCAGTATCCTCCAACAGCTGCCATCCTGGCTAAATTTGGCATGTGCAAGGTTGTGACGTCCTCGATCTCGCCTGCGGCTCAGGCTCATACTCCCGCAAACTCGTCGAGCTCGGAGCAAAGAGAGTCATCGGCGTCGACATCTTCGAGGCGATGGTGGATGCCGCGCATCTTCACGCTCTGGACGAGAGTATCTCGAATTTCCCCGTCGCAGACGGAAGCGAGCCATTACGCCTGGCGCAGTTCGACCTAGCCGTGGCCATATGGATCCTCAACTACGCCTCCCACGAGGAAGAATTGCTGACAATGTGGCGCAATATCCTCGATAGTCTCAAGCCTGGGGGGCGCTGCGTCGGTATCCTCCCTGAAGCCAATCAGGCGGCGGGAAGTAATCGGTATCCGAATGGAGAGAAGTGATTCGGTCGGAGTTCGAAATTTTTATAAGGGGTCCAAGGAATTGCGGACGGCCTTTCATGCGCCGGTCCCAATGTCGTTTGACTACCACATCATGGACCCCCGGTTGCATGAGAAAAGTTCCAGAGCAGGTGGCCTTCCTGGTACTCCTTAGTAGATAGCTCCAGTCGATCCTCAATATCCGGGCTTGGACTTTGCAGACTTTGTCGAAAGGCCGCTTTTCCAGGATTCCCCTGTCGCTCGTCCCATATCTGGAAATTGAGACACTTTGTTTTCCACGCTGCGGAATATTAGGAGAATGGCCTGTTTGATGATCGCTGGGATTGGTAGGGCAGTTGTTCTAGTAAATAGCATTATTCTAGCAGGCAGCAACTTGTATTTTCGCTTGATTTTCAGCTCAATCACTGGAAAGCCGGTTGGGATGAGCACTGTTACCAACGCAGATTTCTGCACAGATGACCCGAGAGCAGTGTCATTCCTTGGCTCAACGCCGAAGAGGGTTCAAAGCTGAAGGGTCATAGGAGCCTCTTAGGGTCTAATGCACGCTTTCAAGTTTGAGATAGCAGGTAGCCCAAACCAAAGGCTCTCTTGAGGTAGCTAGCGTTGATCGTCCAGAGTTCAGCAGGAACGAAGGGGAACAGGAGGCCTTGTGGTGCCAATTGAATTAGATATCTCAAGTATGTAAACCCGAAACTGATCATGTGACAACGCTACTTTCATCGAGCATCACCCGCATCGATGCATCTAATACTTTTGTTGAAAGAACCAACGAGCAAAAAAAGGAAAAAGGCAGAGGGTCATAAATTTAGTTCGAAGCTCCGTTGGCGGCGAGCTTTTCTCTCCGGGCACGCACAGCCTGTGCAAGGGTGTCGAGTACAGCTTCCGAGTCCTCCCAATTGATGCAAGCATCAGTGATACTGACGCCGTACTTGAGGCCAGCCTTTCCCTCAGGAGGAACCTTTTGGTTACCTAAATCGCGATTTAGCTAACTGGAATTCAAATTTCACACCATGTGAACGTCAGCTTACCCTCATTGATATTGCTTTCGATCATGACACCCATAATGGCGGTCTCTCCTGCGGCAATCTGTTCGGCCAAAACGGCAGCCACCTTGGGTTGATTCTTGTGGTTCTTTTGCGAGTTGCCATGGCTGCAGTCGACCATGAGACGAGGAGGCAGACCTTGCGAGGTCAACTTAGTCTTAGCTTCAGCGATGCTCTGAGCATCGTAGTTGGGGCCCTTCTTTCCACCACGTAGGATGACGAAGCAGTCGGGGTTGCCCACGGTGCCAACGATGGACACAACACCGGGCTTTGTGACGGAAAGGAAGTGATGAGGGTGCTTGACAGATCCAATGGCGTCTACAGCAACATCTAACGAGCCATCGGTTCCGTTCTTGAAACCGACAGGGAAAGAAAGACCGGAGGCCAATTCACGGTGGACCTGCGACTCGGTTGTCCGCGCGCCAACCGCACCAACGGAGAGACAATCGGCAAGGAACTGAGGAGAAATGGTATCCAGCATCTCACTGGCGATGGGCATGCCCTTGTTGGTCAGATCGACAAAAAGCTGGCGCGAGGTGCGCAGGCCCTTGTTGATCTTGAAGCTGTTGTCGATATCAGGATCGTTAATCAGACCCTTCCATCCAACTGTTGTGCGGGGCTTTTCGAGGTAAGAGCGCATAACGATCAGCAATTCGTCCTTGTATTTCTCCTTCATTTTCAGAAGTCGATCGCAGTACTCGAGGGCCATATCGGGGTCGTGAATCGAGCATGGGCCGATAACGACCAGCAGACGGTGCTTGTCGGTATCTGTACCATGGACAATCGCAACAGCTTCTCGACGAGCTTCCAGGACCGTTTGCCTGGACTTTTCTGTCATGGCGATTTCATGTTGCAGAAGGTTGGGAGGTGTGAGGGGATTGTATCCTCGAACTATCCACATTCGCAAGAAAGCCCGTCAATAAATGTCATCATGATCATTGGAGCGAAAAGAAACGTACTCCGCGAATCTTCGAGGTGATTATGGTTCCCTACGTTAGGGTTTTCGATGAAGAACTACAGAGCTTGAATGAGCTTCAATTCTCCTCTGCATAGTAGATAACAAGCTTGGCTGGAACTTCGACTCACAGACATAGCGGGCGGCGGGGTAAAGTAAGCGTCTCCCACTGATAGGTGGTGATGATGAAGAGAGGGGCAAAGGGAAAGATAGAGGGATGGAGTAGTCCGAGTCGACCGTAGATTATTTGGGATGTGAATTGAGAGAAATAAAACTCGCCTCAATACTCAAGACCAGCTTTATCCCCGATTTTTACTATGACTCAAAAATTTCCAAGTTTCTGGTGCCCTCCCCTTGCTTGTCCTGCTGCGACTTCGGCCACCGAGCGCCCAAGCACGTGATTTCGGTGAGTCAAGGTGATTCCTCTCTTTCTCATTCGCGGTATCTCTCGGACTTGGGAGTTAACAGCTCAAGGACAGCCTTTGAAGTACTATACATCACATATCTGCGTCTCTGCAATACATATCACGTAGAGACCCATCAATATACGTAGCACACGGTGCTTACAGAAGATCTTTGACCCGAACAATCGACGTCCGCTCCGGTTCCTCTCAAAACGATTTGACTCTTTCATCCCTTTGATCCGAGCTAGGTTCCTCCGAGGTTGCCATCATTGCAAACTGTGTGAGGATTTGATCATGAGTTCTTTAGAACCTTCTTCACATTAGACGATCAATCTTCCTCGCTGACATCCTTCAGTAAACGCTGCTCATTTTCCTGAAGGCGATGGATCAACTCCTGACAAAGATCTGAGTGATGATTTTTGATCGCTTTCATCTGCTGCTTACACAGCTTGATGCGCTCTTCTTGCCTCTTGACAAGTTGGTCTAGCACTCGGTTGTATTGCTGGCGGTACGAGTCCAGGCATTTATTGATAGTCGCCCTCTCCTTGTTAAGCTGGTGCAATAGGTGCTTTGAGCTGCATTAGCAATAGCACAAACATCATGCGCCTTGTAACGGCATGAACATACCTCGTTTGTAATCAGTAGCATGTCGCGGGCGCTCTCATGGAGTGACTGCAATGATGTCGCCAAGTCCGCTTGACCAGGCAACTCCTCGCTGCTTGTGCTCGTTTCAGTTGGATCACAGCTGGAATGAATGGAGCACCCATCTTCTTTGAATGAAAACTGCGTCGCTCCGTTGTCTTCTGCATTCGACAAGTCCATCCTTCTTGCCACCTTCGGTGACTTCTTGGGTGGCTTCGATGAAAAGTACAACGTGAACTCATCTCCAGAGGCGGTTACGACTTTTGATGTGATCAACCCCTTACTGCCGCCAGTCACAGAAAGAGATTCTTCAGAAAATTCCTCATGCGTTGCTGTTTTGCAATTTTTGGGAAGATTTTTGCCATGGTGAGCATCCATCTTTGTACGGAATGAAGAGACCATGGGTTTCTCAAGGGGGACTTCTTCTTCTGGTTGCTCATCAAAATCCGCTTCGTATCCAGATTCACTAATTCCCTGTGAAATCAAACTCATTTCTGCCCGCATCCTTGATGCGTGCCCTGGTTCAAGGTTGAGGTTTGTGTGGTTAGAATTTTGGGATCCAGCAGTGTGTCGTGAGACCAGCCGGGGACTTCCATTGTTGTCAACTATGGTCTTTCTGGGAGTCAGTTTCGGGATGTTTCTAACTCGAGAGAGTATCTTTGGGCCGCCTGAATCTGATGGATCTCCCTTTTCGGGGTTCTGTCTCAGGCGGATCGACTTGAGACTGTGATAACCAGAAGTAATCCTTTCCGTTTCTCCAGCCGAAATCTGCTCTCTACCATTTTCGAGATCTGCCTTCTTCCAGGCATATAAGCCAGGTTCGCTTTTCCTCGGGCCACAAGCCTCTTGGGATTGAGATTCAGACTTATCAGCCTGGCTTTCTGGTTCACTGCTTGCCACCGTTGAGGGCTTCTTCTGTGCTCTCTTTTTCCGCGATGCATTGTCTTTCTCGGTTTGGCCAGCCCTCCTTTTCCTGCTCCTTAGCCTCGTTGGCGAAATTTGCTGTATAATCTGAGAATATTCCTGGCTAGTCTGTTCCTCCGCTACCGCCGGCTCGGCATCTGAAGAGAGACGTGTCGTTCGCTTCGTCGAGGACACTGAGGCCTCCTGGGGCTGTACCTTGACCGAGCGGGTCTCGGAATCTTCATTCTGTAATGCCAAAGGGCTTATTGCGTGGCTTTCAACGTCTTCTTTGTCTACTAAGCCAGTGACTCCGTTGGGAATAGTCGCATCTTCCTGCTTTTCCTCTGCCGGGAGGTAGAAAGAGCAACCATCATGAATGGCGGCAGCCAACTTCTCGCCCACGATTTTTCCTCTACCTCCAAGCTCATTCTCTTCGAAACCTGGATACGAAATAATCTGTGTCTCTTCACAGTCGGAACTTGCCTTCCGAATTTGTTGATTGGACGGTTGGCATGCATGTTGATCGCCGGTGGCCTTCAACGACTCGAAAATGGGCGGGCAGCCCAGTTCCTGTGCCTGATCCATTAGGAATGCAATACTTCGCTCGACACCCGATATTTCTGTCACTGCGACCAGTGCAGCCTCCGGTGCCTGATCGGTAAACCTCTCAAGTTGTTGGGCACTGCCCTCTCCAACACTCTTGTCCTTAGACACTCTATCCGCCTTGGTGCGACTTCCTTTCGAAGTTTCAATCTTACCATTCATCTCAGACAAGTTGTTTACATCATCCGTACCTTCCGATTTCGATTTATGGACTGAATTACTTTCTGTAATCTCATGCTGGCCTTCCCTGTCGAGACCCCTCTTTTTGGATGTTTTTCTGCGCTTGCTGGACGATGGCTTGCCATTCGATTTTCTTTTGGTTCCTTTTCTGGACGTCTGATCAAAGATAGATTTCTCTCCGGGCGGAGGAGATGAAATGGAAGTGACATCAATACTTTTCTGGCTTTCGGGCTCTTCAGGCTCTTCAGGGTCATCGCTTGGTCGTAGGTCTTCATCCCAATCAACAGAAATTCTGGCATGAGTATAAATCTTCCTTGTGGAGTGCCGCATCGGAAAGATCAAGGATTCCTGGGTGTCAGGCACTAGGCATCTAGCCTTTTTACTACTTGTCAATCCTTTCCTCTGCTGGTGGCTTCTGGATCGCTGTCTTTTTTTCTTCACGGGTAGCCAGCCAGCATCATTTTCTTCGGACACCTGAGAGTGATTAGGGTGGACATGCGGCGAACTCTTCTTCCATGTGCCGGCATCAACCTCTGCCAGGGCGCAGCCAGAGCGCCCTTTGTGCGGCTTGTCGGCTGAATTTTCAGAATACTCCTTCGGGGTCAAAAGATTTCCGCCCTCATCTGCCATACTTCGGTCTGATGACTTCCGTCCAAATGCCACAGATGACTTCTCACAACCATGCTGCTTCGGAAAATGATGGCTGAAACTGCGGGGACGCAAAGTTTGGACGCTATCTCCCATGACAGAGGTCCCGCGAGCTGATTCGGGTCGTTGAGACAAGGCGCTAGGGTCATGGCTGCCGGACGTCGCTTCTGATTCACAGGTGTTATTCTCAGGCTGAATACATTTCGATCCCAAGCCACATATGGAGTGTTGCTCTTCATTTTCAAATAGTGTCTGGCTATGGTCGAATGGCTTGCTGATATCATCATAGGTATCGAGCGATATTATGATGGACGATGACATCCGGGTGAGTGTGCTCAATTCGGTGCTTTGCCTCTTCGTCTGCTTGCCATTTGTCTCAATCGTCGTACGCAAGTCCGTCAAATCATGATGTGATATTATACTGAGTGTTGATTCTCCCGAGATTTGACTCTTCCCATTCACTGATAGTGAAGCATCCACATCAAATTGTAATATCAGGCGGGACATTCCGTCATCTGTGTGTTGCCTGAATATGCGTACAGACTCTAAGGTAGACCGCGTCGAAATATCAATGAATCGATAAAGTTTCCCGGATGGGCGAGTCACAGCGAGTATGAATGTCAAAGACTTCGGACTGACTACGCCGAGTAGCTCAGTACCCTGTGCTAATGTCTTGTTTTCGCCGTTGCTCGATTGGACAAGCTCGCAAGATGGCACAATAATAGTGCTTTTCTCAGGTTCCCGCTGTATACGCTGCACTTCGCACTCGTAATGGTGGAAGAACTTGACCGGTTCCTCTGGGAAAGCAATCATGCTCTTGGAAAGCATATCCGACAATTTAAAGTCGTGGGTATGACCAAGTCGCTTGGTCTCTTTTTCGGAAAGGCGAAGTATCTGTAAAAAAGTCCCCGCGAAGAACCTGGTCACGGTATCATTTTCGTATAATATAATCGAGATAATTCTATGGAGTCATAGGGGTTAGAAAGACCAAGAGTATATGAGGAATTTTTCGCTTACCGGGTTATATCCAGATCCCGGATTTCAAAGGGCAAATTGCTAACATCCTTGGTCCCAGGCAATATTTCCACAAGGAATTTACCCGCCTGAAATTGTTCAGTACTTGTTCAAGCAGTCAGACAGTGATACGGACCAGTCGGCGACGCTGCTTGTTTCGTCTTTCGTCTACGAATAAGTCATATAGCGTCTGGATCAGCTTGCGTTGAACGAGCTGCAGCTGGTTCCGAAAACGAAGCAGCGTCACTTCCGATCTTTTCCGTTTTCCCTCGACGACATAGTTTGATTCGTCCTGCAGAGATCAGCTTCATCGCGCTCGTCCTCAACTCAAAGGCAAAGATGAACCGACAAGCAAGAGATTTAGTCCAGTTTCCTGCTCGGACTCAACGTCCAGATTGAGAAGCAGGTAGGCTAGACAACGCACGGAGGTGGTATTCAATGATTGCACTATATCTGCTTCGTATTTGTGTAAAACGCCAATAACCTGCTGAAGATGCTGTGCGCGGATAGGCGTTTCGATGCGTAGAAGAGAGTCGATCAAATAGCTGGGAACCCTGTACGAGATCAGCTCATCAGAAATAGATCGCTCCTGGCTCGAAGACTGACAAGCATCCTCTGTCTTTTGCCTCCCCAGTGAATATGCGCTCTAATCTTGTCGCCAACTCGGTGAAGTCAGCCAGTTGTTCGTCTGTGAGAGCTGCCTGTGGCGATGAAGAAGGCATTTCGTAGCTCTAGGCATGGCTTTGATACCCAAACCCAGTTCTTGACATCAATTCAGTACAGACACGATAAGAGAGAATGGATGAGAAGAGAAGGAGGTATCTGCCGTCACATGATGGGAGCTTCACTTCGAGGAGTGTTCTGCACGCGCTTGGCCAGAATGAGCTGTTTAAGCAACCGACCTCCTGATTCTCGTATGGCTTGAGATTCTCTTCTTCAGGCAATTTTTTTCCCTTCTTTTTCCATTGCATGCAGGTTACTGGGTGCTAACAGGTAAATGGAGCTACAGAGACGTATACAGTTGGCTGGCAATCAGCTTGACTTGAGAAGGTCTTCAGGTACAGAAAGTCCGAGTCGCATCTCACCCACAATAACCAATCTGCCGTTGACTATCCGTCTTATCAAAGATATATGGAGATGACCATTTCGAAAGAAAATGACATTTCCATAAGTCTTCATCCCTGGTGACATAGGCCTTGCTTTGGGATAGAGACGAAAACGTCAAGAGAGCGGACCTGCTGGTTTATGATGCTGATATCTCATATACCAAGCTTCTAAGCAGCAAGAGAACACTCACGAAATGCGAGCATACGGGAGAAAGCCCTCAAGCACAAAGGTATTGAGGAATCAGTTTCAACACCAGTATCCGCCGAAAAACCACCGGCAACGACGCCGTCAACGAACTCAAACGTAAGTAGGAATCACCAAATTGGCTTGTTTATGTCTTGGAAGACAGAGCAACGCGGCTGACAACTACGGTTTGCGAACAAACAGGCTGTCAGGTCTCGCTTATGTGATGTCTTTTCTCTAAGCGAGGAAAAATCCTCTGATCTCCTCAGTGCCCAAGCCCCGAGGCCAGAAGTGAGAGTAGAAGTATGTCGAGAAGTCATGAAGCAGATATATGGATTATTCCAAACAGTCTAACAAGCCCAGGGAAGTAATTGTGATGTTGGGTAACCTAAAGCCGTTGAGCGACTGACTCGAAGGTCGCGTATCTTTTCGCTAACAAGAACTGACAATGTCATCTATGGCACATAATGGCAGAGCCGAAATTGGTAACATCCTCGGCGGTTGGACAGCCGAAAAATGCTTGTTCGATGTCTAAGATGTGGCTTTAATGGATTTCTGTGTCGCTTGAGTGAATGGCCTTGGCTCCATCCATCTGACCAATAGATCCTACTCCTATAGAGACTCGCAGTAAGGCCAAAATCTAACGCTTTGTTAGACGACGCACCTCGAATGACGACAGTGGGGCGATTGTGGTGCATGATTATCAATCACGAAGCATGTGGAGCTTGATGAGGTCGTGCCTCGTGAAGCTACATTTAGAAGACATCACTTTGTATCTATTACTGCAACCCGGACCTAGTTTGATTTGAGATCAGTTGGTCAAGAAGGCTTATTTGAGCCTTCAGAAATCCAAATCTCGGCAAAAGATTCGCTGGCTCGATACCACTGTTTCGAGAAATGGCAGGAACAAAGACTATGAAAGCAGTCGGTCAGTCTTCGTCTTGTTTGCTTTTGAGATCTGGTCTATAAGTGGTTACTGACAGAAGATTAGCTGTGAAAGGCGGCACGGGTCCTGCCGATGCCCTCTACATTGATGACATCCCGGTTCCAACTGTCAGTGGCAACCAAGCGCTGGTGAAGATCAAAGCATTCGGCTTGAATCGAATGGATCTTCTTCAGCGTGAGGGCCAGTACCCACTTCCACCTCAGGCGCCAGAGACCATGGGAGTGGAATTCTCAGGGACTATCAAGGACCTGGGACCAGATGCCAACAAGGACTTCAAAGTTGGAGATGAGGTCTTCGGCCTGGCTTATGGAGGTCAGTACACGAAGCCTCCTGTTATTCGTCTTACCATAGCTGAAGATTTGATGCACAGGGGCTTATGCTCAGTACATTGCCGTGTCTACTAATATGCTCATTCATAAGCCCGCGGAATTATCTTGGGAGGAAGCTGCGGGCATCCCAGAGGTGAATTCTACGTGATCCGGCCCTTTTTGAGTGATTCCATCTAACCTCCACGCATTAATAGACATGGATCACGGCGACTCAGGCACTCTATCTCGTTGGTGAGTACAAGCCGGGTCAGTCTGTCCTGTGGCATGCAGGCGCATCTTCAGTCTCCATCGCTGGTATCCAGCTCGCAAAGGCAGACGGAGCCAAGGCCATTTATGTAACCGCTGGCTCCGATGAAAAGATAGACTTCTGCGTCAAGCAGCTCGGTGCGACCGCTGGGTTCAATTATCACACCCAGGACTGGTCCGCTGAGATCCAGAAAGCCACCAACGGCGAGGGCGTGAACATCATCGTCGATTTCATCGGCGCCAGTTACTTCCAAGGAAATCTGGATGCTGCTGCAAAAGACGGTCGCATTGTCAATCTTGCTTTTATGGGTGGCGTGAAGCTGCCTGAAGGGGTAAACATTGCCCCATTTCTTCGCAAGAGGCTTCGATTTGAGGGCAGCACTCTGAGGAGCAGAGATGAGCAATACCAGAAGGAGCTACGGGATACCCTTGTGGAGCATGCTTTACCCAGGTTCAAGGATGGAAGCTTCAAGGTGTTTGTGGAAAAGGTCTTCCCGATGGAGCAAATCATCGATGCGCATAAGTTGATGGAAAGCAATCAGACCAAGGGAAAGATCATCTGTACTGTATCATAGAAAGCTTGGCGAGGTGCCATCGCCAATTCAAACGTGTCAAAAACTCCTGCCTCAGTCTAGTAGTACAACGTGGCCGTTGATGCAAAGCGCACCAATATCCGACGGAGATTTGCACACTCCGTGCCGACGCGGTGTTTCCGGTTCCTCCGCATGCCGATGGTTCCTTGCAAGCTTGAATCCTGTCGCTCGATTGATCAGCAAGAATTGGCATAAGCGTCGTAGTCATACATGAGCTAACTCAAGAGGTTTTTAAGAGGCCTCACTCGCTGTCGCCATCATGGAATGAGTTGACGCAATTAGGAAGCTAACTGACCACAGAAACGAGGCTCCCTTAGCGCATTATCCGTTAACGAAAATGGCCATACAGCTTCCTGATACTTCAGATGGAGAAGCAGGCCCTGGGGCTACTCATCCCTGCAAGTTCAATGCACTTCAAATATTCCGGCGACTATGGGAACTTATCACCCCAGCCCGCACCGAAGATATTTCTTCCCAGGAGACTGATCGCTATCCTCCCAAGACCACGATCGAGAGACGCCGACAATCCATCGCGGATCAGTCACTCGACAAAGACGAATACCTCGCTGAGAAGGTCACAAGCCACCAGGTCGAGGAAACTGTACCTTCCGAGAAGACCGTCCTGTACCTCGCCTATGGCTCGAACTTGTCTGCAGAGACCTTCCTAGGCAAGCGGGGGATCAAGCCTCTGTCTCAGATCAATGTTGTCGTTCCCAGCTTGCGGTTGACCTTTGACCTGCCCGGGATTCCATACGTGGAGCCATGTTTCGCAGCAACCCAGCACCGTGCCCACACACCGAAGGAAACACATGAAGGAAAAGATGGAAACATCGAAACGCTGGCGGACGCGGATGCGTCTGAACAGTCTACCCTCTTGTCGGAAGAATCCGCATCCATGCCTCTCGTCGGTGTTGTGTATGAAGTGACTGTCGCCGACTACGCCAAAATAATAGCAACAGAGGGTGGTGGAAGCGGATACAAAGACATCGTCGTGGATTGCTATCCCTTCCCGAAATCCCACAGTCCGACCGACCCGATACCCGATCATCCTGCAACCAAGCCCTTCAAATCCCACACTCTTCTGTCTCCAAATGACGACTCAGATCCTAGTCACCTGGCCGCAAAAAAGCGTCAGCTCCTCCCTCCATACAGACGTCCCAAACCTTGCTACGCACAGCCGTCCGCTCGCTACCTAAATCTGATCAACACCGGTGCGGCTGAACATAACCTCCCGCTTCCCTATCGGAGGTACCTCTCGCAGTTCCAGCCGTACCGTATCACGACTGTGCGTCAGACGTTCGGCAAAGCTATATTCGTTACATCATGGTACCCCCTTCTCCTTGTTTTTATTGGGCTTTCGAAACTGCTGGCCGGTCCAGATGGTCGCAGTCCGCCATGGCTGGTGCAGGTGGCGAATCTACTCTTTTATGCAATGTGGAGTACGTATGACCGGTTTTTTGCGCCCATATTCGGTGATGGGGAGCGAACTGTGGAAGATACGGGCTCATATACATCGTGATTACGCTGTCCATCAGGTTGGTCATTAGGGTCAACTTTGTGTATAGCAATTGATAGGCATGAACAAATCCATGGGCTAATACATACATCTTGGCCCGTTCATGGAGCCATCCGTCTCTGGCCCCCTGTCTCCTGGATTAGCTTGTCCATCTCCAGGGTAGATCTGAACTCGGATACCGCGCAAGTTATATCTTTCAGAAATTGTATCTCGCAAAGCGCAAGTAAAAGGAGACTCTAACATAACAAAAGGAAAATGAATTGACATCTTTGGATCTTCGAACGAGATTTTCAAAAGGAGAAGAAATATCTAGGGTACAGATACAGGTGTCCTGAGTAACTTGTAACAAACAAACATGCAGTAGAACCATAGACAAAAAACCGACGTATGAAGGACTGCCGACGATACGAACCGGACGATTTTCTGGGATCGCCATTCGCCATCTATGCCTTCAATTTTGGTATTTCATACATGTCCACTGCAGCATCTAGCGCCGGGGAACGGGAGGGCTGTACACGATCTTTCTTGTCTTGATGGGGGCCCACTTGTAGCGCTTGACCCAGACAGTCAGGGCAAACAAGCCAGTGAGGATAGTGAGGGCCTTGGCACCCATCTTCTTGCGGTCATCCATCTCAGGCTCCGCAGCCCAGTTGAGGAACTCAACGACATCCTTGGCCATCTGGGAGGTGGTGGCAGGGGTGCCATCCTCATACTCAACGACACCATCGAACAGGACACGGGCCATGGCAATACCTAAGGTGGAATTAGATGAGCGTGAAAGCAAGCATAATCACGAAAACGTACCGGTGCCGGGGAAGTAAGGGTTGAAGTTCATGCCCTCGGCAACCTGAGCACCAGCTGGGGGCTCATCAGGGTAACCGGTCAAAAGGCTGAAAATGTAGTTGCAGCCACCGTGACGGCCCTTGACGATCAAGCTGAGATCAGGGGGCAGAGCACCACCATTGGCGGCACGAGCGGCCTCCTCGTTCTTGTAGGGAGGGGGGATGTAGTCAGAGAGCTTTCCAGGGCGCTTCTCAATCTCGCCTTGGTCGTTGGGTTCGGTGTCGTATTCGTGCTCTTCGGCGAAGGCCTTCATCTCGTCGACAGTGTGCATGACACCAACGAACGAACGCCAGGGCACACGGGTAAGAGAGTGGCAGCTGGCGCAGACTTCACGGTAGACCTGGAAACCACGGCGGAGACTGGAGAATATATAATGAGCAAATCGTTCTCGTCTTGAGCTAGAAGCGAAAGTAGTTCCAAGACAGGGACAAACTCACGCGGCATGATCGAAGGTCTTGTTCCACTTCTCGTGCTCCCAGGGGTAATTGGTAGGGTGCAATCTATGAATCCATGTGTCAGCCTCCTCACCATCCTGGAGTCGAAGATTGACACTCGGTATCGGAGCAACGGAAAGGCCAATCAGATGACCATTCGTCCAATTGATCGCAATCGGTTCACTCACCCCTCCTCAGCGGGTGTCATAGCAAAGGCTTCCTTTCCATAGAGGCTGTAGTACCACGCGGTGGATCCGATGGCGGCAGCGGTTGCGACGGACGCAGTGAGTGTGAGGTGGAAGGGGGAGCTGGCGGCTTCGGCACCGGCTGTCGAGGAAGACGCACGCTGTATAGGTTATTAGCAAACAATGCGTCTCGAGGCCTCCAAGATCGTTTCTCGAGCGATTGGCCTCATCGACTCCGCTTAATGGACGTGAGGCGTCGGGATAATGCGTACCGTAGTGGTCTTGCTCAACGACTGGCGGGCGATACCCCGGGAGGGCACGCTGCGCAAAACAGTACGTGCCAGCATACTGACGGTAATTGGAACCCTCCGAATAATAGGTCGAGAGGAAGGCACAATAGCCACAGACGGTGGAGAGGGGAGGGGAGGGGGTTGGAATAGGCTCAGCGCACAGGAGGATGTGCTTTTGGAGGTGAAGTTGAGGTTGTCGAACCGTCAAGTTTCTCTTGGGTTTGGAATTGGCTAAACCCTCGCGCTGATTGGCTGCCGCCCCGGCTCTAGCTGCCTTCGGTGAAAACCGCGAATTTTCGGAACACCAAATTTCAGTGATCAAGCCAGAGCTGTACCATAACCATCTAGAAACAACAGAGTAGACTTTTATCAAGCAGCAATCTTTTACGATATTGCAGTTACAGTATCTGAGAATACATTTCATGATCTAGTCGCAGTCAACTTGTGACGCTCGAGGCAATCCGATAACCCCCCCAGTCCCGTAGTTTGCCGTCGTTAAGTGTGCGGTTCGTCACATGGCCTCAGCCTTGGCCTGGATCTCCGAAGCTATGCACTTTTGCAGTGCTTGAAGCGCGGCTCGAATGTCACATCGGGTGCTGCTGCAGTGAAGCACCAAAGATAGAGCGGGCAATCTTCTTATCGTACGACCGCTCAGTCCCTATGAGATCCGTCATTAGGCGCCTGTCACTTTGTCATGCAACTGAGGATGTGTCGCTCACCACACTGGCGGAAGCGGCGTCCGCAAGCTGCTTGGGTATGGCGTTCGGGAAGATCTGATAGTTGAGAAGCATTTCTTCAAACATTGGTAGCATCAGGGATTCTGCAGGCTGCTCCACATACTGCAATGCGGTCTGTGGATCTTCCGGATTGACTTGAACAACGTCAAACGAGGCGCCCTCGATAATGCCTCGCCGGCCTAGTTCTTCCAGGCAATCTTTGTAGATCCCATAAATAGTTCTGTCGGATAAATGAGGTACGAACTGTTTGATGTCGACGCGGTCGAGGAAGGCCTGGTCCTGGACGAACTTCAGTCAAACCCCTCGACAGGGCATCTGCGTCGATAAGCACATACCAAGGCTGTAACCAGATTGCTCGTGCAGATTACGACAACATTGTGATGCTGCTTCAGCCGGTCAAGTCCTGTGAGCAAGGCATTGACTGCTCGAACAGCATCAAAGGGCTCTTTGCCACTCAGAGCGCGTTCCCTTCGAGCTGCCAGCGTCTCGATCTCGTCTACAAACACGCAGACGAAAGTGTCTTCTTCCTCCTCAAGCAGTAGCTCTATGTTCTCGAAGGCTTTGCTGACCAACTTGCCACTTTCGCCGAAAAATTTGCTTCCGAGGGAGTGAGCGTTGATCTCAACTAGCTTACTCTGTGGGTAATGCTTTCCGAGACGTATAGCAAGCTTTTGGGAGAGGCCACGGCTGATCCTGTCAGTCGATGCTTGTAACTTGAATTTTCTCGATTGACACACCACAGGCTCGTTTTCCCTGTTCCCGGAGGACCCCAAAGGAGGATCAATCTATTCCAGTTGATGGTCCATTTATCAAGCTTCCGAGCAGAGAAAGACACTGTAAGGCCGTCAAATGACAGTCCTGAAGATGGCGATATCGACGAAGAGTACTCACCCATTCGACTTATGGCGCGGAGTAGTGTTGATTGCAGAGGCTGATCGTACTGCAGACTGCTCATTTCATGAGTTCTTTGCCCGTGCTTCAGAAAAAGAGGATCACTATACGACTCCCAAAGCCCATCCAATTCCGTGCTTGGTAATATCACAACTTTGGTCCTTCCAGAATCCTCCACATTATCCACCGTGTCCTCCGCGTGCAGGGTATGTTGGTGGCTCTCTTGGTCAAGTTGTGTGCGAAGTTGATAGGCTTGGACGTCTAGTTCGACGTGTTGAAGACGGTATGCGCCGGACTCGAGATCGCCGTCGGTACACTCGGTGACGAGTATCGACTCTAGAGCCTGTGCATATGGCTCCTTCAGACCCTCTAGGCTGGCATCAGAAGCCCTACTCTTCAGTTGTTCTTCTTCCAGACATACCGAAGGATTTTATCTCTTGTCCCAGAGATAGGACAACAAAATTCTCAATCAACCACTGTGTGATCTCATCTTTGATCTGTGATTACTCTGACTTAGAATCTCGAGAAGTTGTGATGAAGTACAGGAAGCGCAGTACCAGATCTGTCCGGACAATGATGCCGTCTCTGTTGCTCTTGACCCGGGCTTCCACATGGAGAACGGGCTGCTGAAGGACTTCCATTGACGATAGAGGTTAAATAAGAGAGCTCATTCGTTTTCTTGAGAGAAGATATGAAATACTTTTTAATCTCTAACTGGATGACGAAGCCTGGACAGCTGTCTGCCTTTTGAAGAAAGATGGACGTGGGTGACAGAGAGGAATAGGTAGTGTTAAGCAGGAATGCGCACAATCCAAGAGTCAGGTACAATACAGACAGTCCCAATACAGCCTTTAGTATATCTTGCTTGCCTAGCCCATTTATCACATCCACAAAGTGCATTGATATTCATTCAGTATTTACTTCTTCAACACCCACAGGTAGGGTCTTTCTAATCAATGCCAGATATTTCATGCCCATGGCCTTTGACGAGTTTTAGAGCTTCTCGGTCATACTTCATCTAAATGCTTGGTCATCTAGAAAAGAGATGGAATGGTCCTGATGCTCCTACTTCCAAAGTATATATTCTTCCCGCCTGTCAAGATGAGCCTTATTTTCGATCTAGTACTTCACAAACGATTTTAGAAGAAAAAATCTGGTCCTTGGATTTGCGTGTCACCCAAGTTTTCGGTTTCTAATCTGAGGTAGTCATCATCAGAGGAGACCTTGTCGGGTCGAATTACCATTCTGCTAACTTCCTGTATCCTGAGTTTTGTTGGTTGGATGCCGGAGATCTGGCCGCCGACCTGTCCTGTGGGTTTTCCGGGGAACTCAAACAGGCGAACCTAGTTAAGGTAGCTGAGGCCTAAGGGTCCTTGGGCAAATTGCCAACCTTCAGCCGCAAACATAATTACCACCAGCACCACGGTCCATTCTGTTGGACCTTGGGGAATATAACCAACAATGTCTACATGATCGTTTGAACAAGCTCTTTGCTCAATACATTGGATCCTTCCCACATCCATTCAATCTGCCCCGCAGTGTATCCAGTAGCTCAACAGCATTGGGTGACATCGCAGTCCCGAGTGTTAAAAGCTATCTTCAGGATATCTGAAAGCCTTCCTCTCGATGTTGAACCCGAAACAGCAAGATGGCGAACGCGAGGAATGGGCTGAAACCTGGCGGGAAACCGCGCAGAGACGTATTGGCTTCACTCAAGATGGCCTCAATGGAGGAGATCTCCAGGGCCGCCCTTCCAGCAGGTATGCTCGCCAGGGTCGATTGGCTCGTCTTGCCGATAGTTACATCTAGTTAGAATAACAAGTCTGACAACCACCAGAGATCATGTCCTCTATTCTCGATCACCTCTCGCCCGTCGATCTCATCCGTGCCGCACGGTCTTCGAAACTCCTGCGCGAAATGGCCTACGATGATACAAGATGGGTACAAAAACTGAAACGTATGGGATGCTGGAATGAGGCGGAGGCCCGAAAACATATCGAAGAGACTTTTGGGACGATCGCGAACGTGGAATCCGTCGAGCAGCAACAGGCCACTGAGCAAATTGGACGACCATCCAGTGAACAAGCCCCGGTGATCAGTTTGAATGCACTATCGGATGGATTCGATCAAATCAAACTATCCACCTCTGCTCCTCCCGAAGAGGCTCACGATCTGGAGAAGGACTCTGTATTGGGCGCGTTGAAGCAAGTCAGATCATTGCGCGGAGAAGCACGCATTGAGTATGGAAAGGTTCATGCTGCATTGGCGCCGTTCTACGACGACATAGTCACATCTGGCCCATCCGTGGATAATTTACTATTTAAAGAATATCCAGATCCCGAGCATCAAGCACAAATACTATCTCAATTGCGATCATTCGCTAATTGCGATACAACCGAAGGTTGGCGGGAAAGGAACGCGCGCCTACAATCCGCCATATCAATGTTCGAAACAGCTGCTATGAAAGAATTTCGACAAGGTTACGAGAGTGAAGATGTTGACGGCGCGATGCGTAAATACGCTCATGTTCTATTCACTTTGAATGGCGGAGATTCCGCTATCGAATTCTTCATCCACCATAATCACTTGATAACTCGAAAATCGGATTTGGGCAGGGTGGCGGACTGTATCGATGGGCTGAATCAACGGGTCAAGCTCGAACATACTCAGGCGTTCTTTACCAGGCTGAGTGTGGCTTACAATGAGGAAGTCTCGATAATCAACCGCGCCTTTCCCCCGAGCATGAACGTTGGACCGGCTTTTGTTGAAAAGGTTGGACAAGACGTGCTATATCCATTCTTGACCGCGATCTTCGACGAGTTGCATTGCACAAATCTCGAGTCATATCTAATCGCCATCTCGGGGACATTTGCGCAGTGTTTGAACTTGTCAGAAGCACTCTTACCAATCCAGAACACAACTGACACGCTTGATGAATTTCTGCACCACATCGTGGCGAAAGTATATGAGCCTCACATTGACTTATACCTTGCAGAAGAGCTCGACCACTTCCGAAAAAACTCTGCGGCTGTAGTGGATGAGTGGGATAGGCAACTGTCAGAGCAGGCCGCTTCGACTGAATCATTTCTGATGTCCAATGTCAATCGACAGGCTGACAAGCGTGACTTTTTGACTTCGTTCAAAAAGGTAATTATGGCACCCGTCAACATTCTCCCCAGCTTTTCGAGCTCCAAGTCAAGCGAAACAAAATCCGACCAAGAGTCCGTCACCAGCGAACCTTCTTCGGCGCTGAAGACCCCGAATCGGTTTTCCACTATTGCGTCCCCTGCTCTTACCCCTGTGGTTGAGGCCCCTCCGACCACGGAGCTTGCAGCAAAGGCTGCCATTATGAAGTCAAAGTTGGAGGGGATTCGCTCTCTGTTTAGTATCGAAATCGCTCTCAGCCTGGTTCACTCGGCCAAGTCCAGCCTCGACCGTGCCGCCCAATTTGCGAAGATAGGAGGTGAGACTGGAGCAGCGGCCAAACAGCAATGTGAGGCAATATTTGTCGCACTCTTACGTATTCTGGGACATCAGCACCTTATTGTCGGTTTTAACAAAGCGGTCGACCATCTGTCCAACTATCGACCGCGTGAACAAGGCGAGCGCGATCAGGCAGGGGTTGAGCCTCTAGTTACCTTCCTGGAGCTCGTGAACGTTGGTGACCTTATATTACAAATGATTGACGTCTTTTACGAGCAAGAGCTTGTTGGGGCCAAGATCACCGATCGAAATGATTTTCTTGATCCTGCTGTGAAGGAAAAGAAGAAATTCGAGCAGATCTTGGACGAACGTGTCGCTGCTGGATTGAACAAGGGTATCGATGTCCTGATGGAGGAAGTGGATTATATCCTCGCGACCAGACAGCAGGCTACTGACTTCAATCCCGACGTTTCTACGGATCCTTATCGAAAGACCATGGATGTAGCTGTCAGTGAGGCTGCAGCGGCCGTGGTTGACGTAGTCTCGTCACATACGCAGATGCTGGTAGGAAGCACGGACAAGAGCACGCTAGATGTCTTCAACCAGGAGGTCGGATTAAGACTTTTCACAGCTTTGTGTAAGCATTTGAAGCGTCAGAGGATCAGCGTCGAGGGGTCCTTGAAGCTTATAAGGTGAGACTTCTCATATTATTCAAAGGTTGTGATGAATCTTTACTGACCATACTAGTGATATGAACCACTACTTTAAATTCGTTCAAAGCTTGAAGAACAACGATCTTCTCCTCTACTTCAAAGCCTTCCGCGAACTAGCGCAGATCTATCTGATTGATCCATCTGACGCTAAAGAATTGGCGACAATCATTGCTGATGCAGATCGGTTCTATGGAATATGGAGGGTGGAGGAAGTGTACGAGTTCGCCGAACGACGAGCAGACTGGTTTCAGGTTAAACGCGACGTTGAACGCGCGATGTATGGGATCGGGTGTAACGTTATGTGATTATTCAGTATGAGTCTAGTATATATGATATCAGAAAGACGGGCTAGAATACCCTCATTGTTATATAGTCATCGATCAACGGATAGGACGGATGGCAATTATCCGCCTTGGGAAGTCCAGAGCTTGAGTTGATACCACCGCCTGTAACTTTTGAGTTTGTTCTGAATAACTCAATCTCTAAATACCAGCATCTAGAACGCATCTCCCGAGGAAGCAGAGCTTATTTTGATTTGATGCCAATAGACTTTCGCTAGTCGGGCTGACGTCAATGAGCGGCTGCTGATACACAACGCAAGCGCTGTCATCCAGACACTTCCACCACTGCACGCTTGCATGTTTCCATCCTATAAAAAGAAGATGCTACCTAGAGAGAGACATGGCTGGGTAAAACGCAATGTTTCCCACCGTGACTCGCCGTGGTCTACTGGAGTGATTGTTGTTTGAAACATGATGAATTGAATAGTATGTCTTGTCTTTCAGCTATCCAATACACTGTTTGACTCTTCTTGACACAATACAGGATTGCTAATTAAGATGAATGACCGAGTTTGAGCATGTGGCTTTGCATCGATCACATTTCAATTCCTTCGTGCTTGCCTTACTGATGCGGCATGAGCAGAGCACTTGCACTCAATCTGCATGTTCTCGCATCGATAGCTTCCATATATCCCCAAAGAAGAGCAGATGAACCACAAGACGAGGTCCAGCAACACGATCCAAGATCCTGCAGAATGATCCCTACCACCTATCGACTGCTCGCTGTCGCTCCCATCTACCTGTGGCTCCAACTACTCCTCAGCACACATGCGAGCAACGCTGCAGAAACCACGCTCACAGTCACAGTAACACCCACAATCCCACATCCACCTTCCTACACTTCCTCCGAGATATTCAAAGATACGATCCTCTCAGCCAGCAACACTTACCGCCGAGACCACAATGCAAGCCAACTAACCTGGAACGAGACACTGACAAGATACGCCAAACACTGGGCAGAGGGATGCAAATGGAAGCACTCAGTGAGATACATTGCACCTATCCCTATCAGATGTACGCTTGAAACCCTAACCGATAATCCCAGGACAGCCCATACGGCGAGAACCTCGCCTTCGGTTATCCAGACCCGACAGCCGCCGTCTCGGCCTGGGGCGACGAGGGCCAGAAATACAACTACAAGTTACCAACGGGATTCAGCGAAGA